CATAGTTGAAAGGAGATACTGGAGTATTTACATAGTGACGTCTGGGGACCCTCTCATGTTGCCTCATTGTCTGGAAAGTTGTACTATGTCTCCTTTATAAATGATTACTTTAGGTATGTGTGGGAATATTTTCTTACCCACAAGTCTGAGGTGTTTTCAACCTTCAAAAGTTGGCGCATACAAGTTGAGAATCAGATTGGACGCAAAGTGAAATATTTGCGATCCGATAATGGTGGCGAGTATAATAGTGAAGAATTTTAGAGGTATTGTACAGAGGAGGGGATTACTCGCCATTTCACGACGGTTTATACTTCACAACAAAATGCTGTTTTTGAACGACTCAATCGCACAGTGTTGGAAAAGGTGCGGAGTATGCTAAGCGAATTTGGTTTACCAGGGGAATTTTGGGCCGAAGCTGTCAACACCGCAATTTATTTGGTAAACCTTTCTCCTTCTAGTGCAATCAATATCTCAACACCGTTTGAACTGAGACATAAACGGATGGCAGACTATAGTCGCTTGAGAATTTTTGGTTGTACTGCTTATATTCTTATACCTAAGGAGCAGAGGACAAAATTAGCTTCTACATCCAAGAAATGTCGTTTTCTTGGATATGCTAGCGGCGTGAAAGGTTACAGGCTATGGGATCTAGTTGTTAGAGAGGTGTTTGTTAGTAGAGATGTTTCTTTCAATGAGCTTGGCTTATTGAAAGAGGGGGAGAACGTGGACGCTAACAAGGAAAAATCTTTACTCACGGATATTGTTGTGGGAGAGTTTGATCATTCTATCACTAATGTTCCGTCACATGAAGAAGCACCGATACATGTGGAGCAAGTTCTTGAGAAACAATAACTACAAGAGCAGGCTATTGTTGGTGAGCATATTGCAACAATACTAGACGAGAGAAATCAAACGGAAACGTCTTCTAGGAGATCACAACGATCTAGTAGAGCGCCTGGGAGATTTGATGTATGGGCCAACTCATCTATTCTCAAAGATCGTGACCTTGATTTTGAAGATGATGACGGTATGGCGTTGATCTTGAAAGAAGGTAAACCTCTTCATACAGAGAAGCTCAAGCTTCGGTCAACAAGCTTGAATGGAATGTAGCTATGGAGCGGGAGATGCAGTCACTGATTGACAACAATATTTGGGAGTTGGTTGAGCTTCATAAGAATCAAACAGTGATTGACTAAAAGTGGGTTTACAAGCTGAAAGACAATCCAGCAGGAGATGAAGCAAGAATCTTCAAAGCTAGATTGGTGGCTAGAGGTTTCACACAGGAAAAGGGTGTGGATTATAACGAAGTTTTTTTGCCTGTAGCAAAATACGCTACAATTGGTCTGGTATGTGCACTGGCCACAACATTCAGTCTTGTTATGGATCAGATGGATGTGGTTACAGCTTTTCTTTATGGATATTTAGAGGAGGAGATCTACAGGAGACAACCAATTGGTTTTGAGGTCAAAGGCCAGGAGAGGTGTATCTGTAGATTACTGACATCATTGTATAGACTAAAGCAAGCTTCTAGGCAGTGGAATACACATTTTGATGAGTTTATGAAGGCAGAAGGTTATCTACGAAGCGTGTATGATCTTTGTGTCTATATGAAGAAGGTGAATGATGAAACTTTCAATCTCATCATTTTAGTACTTTACGTGGACGACATGCTTATCTTGGCAAAAAATCAATCCGATGTCGATGAATGCAAGAGCCAGCTGAAGTCTGCATTTAAGATGAAGGATATGGGGGAATCAAGAAGGATATTAGGCATGGATATTTATAGAGATTTTGAACAGAAGAAGCTATGGCTTAGTCACGGCAAGTATGTTCGCCGTATACTTGACAGGTTCAACATGGCCGATTCGAAAGGAGTTTGGACTTTTCTGCCGACACATTTTAAACTCTCCGCAACCCAATGTCCTACAAATGCTGTGAAAAAGGGAAGAATGTCATGTGTTCCCTATGAACAAGCTGTAGTCAGCATCATGTATTTAATGGTATGCACTAGGCCTGATATTGCTCTAGCAATGGAAAAGTTGAGCAGGTACATGTCGAATCCAGGGAAAGTTCACTGGGAAGCAGTGAAATGGATTCTGAGATATGTGAAGAGTACTGTGGATTATGGCTTATTGTTTGATGGTTTATAGACAATGCCAAGTACTTATTTGGCTACGTTGATGCTGACTACGGACAAGATTTAGACAAGAGTAGATCTACAACTTGATATGTGTTTACACTTGGCGGCGGAAGCATTAGTTGGAGATCTACCTTGCAAAAGTGCGTAGCTCAGTCAACAACAGAATCTGAGTACGTGGCAGCAGCAGAAGCGGCAAAGGAAGCTATTTGGTTAGATAAACTTATCATGGAGATTGGACTAACACAAGGCGTGGTCAATCTTCATTGTGATAGCCATAGTGCTTTACATTTGGTTGCGAACCAAGTCATGGATAGCAGAGTGAAACACATCGACATCAGGTATCACTTTATTAGACAAGCAGTGTCTGATAAAACAATTGAGCTAGTCAAGATTGACGGTAAACTCAATCCAGCGGATGCATTGACCAAAGTTATTCCTTTGGAGAGTTTCAGCCGACACTGTGCTACTATGCAAGTTGTGCATAGGGATCACGAGAGATATGGTTCTTAGTTACCTTTATATATTGTTACTCTATACTCTTATGGCTGCGGCTTAGTTTTAGTTAACTTTTGTTTAAAGAGGGACCTTGTGATAGGTTTCTGTATAGAACTTCCCGCTGAGTAATAATATACGTTAGAGAGATGACTAAAATTCCTTAACATGAGTTAAGGTGAGATTGTTAAGTTAACTCTGTATATTATTACTTTATCTTGATATGAAAATAATAATATAGGTTAGAGAGGTGACTGAAATTCCTTGACATGAATTAAGGTGAGATTGTTGAGTTACTTATGTATATTATTACTCTATCTTGATATGAGAGTAATAATATAGGTTAGAGAGGTGACTGAAATTCCTTGACGTGAGTAAAGGTGAGATTGTTGAGTTACCTCTGTATATTATTACCCTATCATGTTAACTCTCTTTTAAAGAGAGACCTTAAGTCATGATTCTGTCTAGAACTTTCCCTTGAGTAATAATATAGGTTAGAGAGGTTACTGAGACTCCTTAACACGAGTTAAGGGCGAGATTGTTGAAGTTAACTCTAGTTAAGGAGTTAACCAAGGTTAGTTAACTAAGGTTAACCGCTTATGTAGCTATTTATAGTTTAAAGTATTTGACTACCTCGGGTATATATACCCTGAGGGTGATCAGAAGATGATCACTTCAAGCATTCTAGCAGTAAACTCTCTAGTGCTCTTCTTCCCGTGGACGTAGCCCTTGAGGTTGAACCACGTTATACTCTCGTGTAACTCGTGTTGGTGTGACTCTGGTGTCGGTGTGACGGTTCTGAGTTTTAACGTTTATAACATACATAAAATACTTGTTAAAGATCTTCATGTAAAATTTGTTTTCAACCAAATAAAGAATGTGATATTCATATTTACCAATTGTTACATTATTTATATTATTATATGTGGATGCATTTATCTATCTAACAAAAATCATATATGAAATTACTTCAAATTAAGCTTGAAAACCTCTGATACAGGAAACCATGGATGAGTTGGATTTCATCATTAGAGCTAAATTCTTTGATTCTGTCTCAAGAAATTTGTTTATACATTTGCTTGTAAGTTATTTCGTTGGATTGATCATAGATAGATCAGACTATGTGCATTTTTCACGGAGAAAGTCTACCTACTCGTTATAAAATTGGTGAAGTACATAAGAGAGTTGGATTGATCATAGATAGATAAGACTTTGTGCATTTTTCACGGGAAAAGGCTACCTACTCATTCCAAATGTGGTGACATACAATAGAAAATATAACTTAAAACAATCACGGGTATGATTTGCAATGAAATTGCTTGACTTAACGGTATTAACAACTCATGATTACATCTGTGATGTTATTATGACGCAAGAGGTTGAACCATTACACCTCTTATTGAAGAATAAAACGAAGAGAGATATTGTTCGACTCCAAAACGCATTATGTGTGGGCTATGAACGTGCATACAAGAGCCAAGGTTTCAAAGCATGTATTCAACTTATCACCTTGGTCTTAAAGGTTGTAAGTTGGAGAGTTTGGAAAAAATTATTGTAACCTGTGCTTGAAAGAGTAAGAGAAAGCCTATCATACTTGGCAACACGGGATTCACTCTCGAGTTTACTGTACAAATTTTGCAAAGCAAGATGTACATGTAGGACAATCTAGAGGATATCAATATCATCAGGTGATGTTCATTCCTACTATGCTCATGTAGTATGCCCAATGACCGACATAGCATGTTTGATATTTGCGATGGTATTGAGACACAGCCCACTTTGGTTTGATGCAAAGCTCGAAGGATCTTGCCATACTTTCAGCATAGATTGCTTACTTTCTAGCGTAATGACCAAACAAAGGGTTATTATTATTGACTCCATGGAAAAGAGTCAACGCAGCGAGCCGAGGAGAAAAAGAAGAGTCACTTGTTTGTTTCCCAGAAAGTAGAAAACAGTCATTTAGGATGTCCCCAGCATCTGACCTGTGCATTATTACTAAAATGATGAAGGTTGAATAAAAAAATCAGATTGCCATTCGTGATAAATGGTTCCTGCATGTAGAACGAAAATGGAGAAAACAAGAAGATGCCAAAAAAAGGAGTCAAATAAAGCGGAAAAATCTCGAAATGAACACAAAAGGGAGCAAACCCGTTGCACTCGGCCCTAGAGAGAGGCTATGCAGCTACTTTGGCGAGGTGCTCTCGATACCCACGACGTGGGAGGTCCAAAACACATCTCCATGGAATCGAGCGGCCGGGCGCGGTGGCGCAGAGAATCTAGCTTCGCGACAAACGAAAAGGCCAGGCCGAGCCGAGACTTAAAGGGGGAAAAGCGACCGCTGCGGGACGAGAACTGCAAGCGGACGACGGGAGGGGAGGGGAGGGGAGGGGAGGCAGGGAAGGGAGGAGGAGCGGGCCGAGCGAGCCCTGCCCTGCCCTGCCCGAGCCGAGCCGAGCCGAGGGCAGGAAGGCAACGGACGGTTGACGCCCTGCCCCACCTCGACCGGCCCGACGCTCGCCGTGCGAGGAACACGAAGAAAGTACGTCGTCTGCTGGTGCCCGAATAGGGGGAGGAGGAGGAAGAGGGGAGGGGAGGGCCAACCCGAGGCGAGGGGGAGGGCAGCACTCTGTGCTCCGCTCAGCTCAGCAGCAGCTCTGGGCCCTTGCTTTTTCCTTGCTTCGCTCCCCTCCCTCCCCTCGACTCGCGTCTCAGCGGCCTCTGTTGGAGCTTTCCTGTTGGGGGCATGAGTGAGCTCTCGAGAGAAAGCGAGCGGAGTAATGAATCGGCTGAGATTCGGGGCCAGACTTGGTCTGGAGCAGGAGCAGCAAAGCGAAGCCTCGTTCCGCACCATCCACCTCCTTCTGAGCATCAACTGCAGCCAGCATCTGGTGCTGCTGCAGCAACAGCAGCAACAGCGAGCGAGGGATCATCAAGCGAGCGAAGGAGGAAACCATAGCTGCCGAGGCTGGGGATGCGTAGCGTAGTGCGCCGAGAAGAGGGGAGGGTTCATATCGATGCAAGAGCGTCGGACCGGACTGGATTGGATTGGATTGGAGCGGAGTCCAGTTCAGTGAGCGCTTGAGTCTCTGAGAGAGAGAGAGAGAGAGCGAGAGTGAGAGAGAGAGGGAGAGGTAGGGGCGTGATTGAGCAACATGGGATGGATGTTCGCTTGTGCGGCAGCGGAGGAGAGAAGACTTCGCTGGATTTTAAAGCGACGAGGACATTGACAAGGAGGAGGAGGAGGAGGAGCGGGGAAGAAGGGAGGAAGCAAGCTCGAGATTGAGGGAGAAGGGCAGCAGCAGTTTTTTTTTCGTGAGATAGGAGGGAGGGAGGGAGGGAGAGAGAAAGAGAGAGGGAGGGAGGCAAGGAGGGAGGACGAGCAGCGTGTCGGTCGGTTACAGAAAATAGGACAAGAGAGGAGACGGGACTGAGGATGTGATTGTGCGGGCTACCTACTAGGGAGTTGGGAGTTGGGTGGTGGTGCCGTTCGATTTGTATGACGACGACGAGGCGTGTTATAGTTTAATAGATTTTATTTGGTTTCAATTTTTTAATTGGCCTTTATTCACGGGTACCCGAAATCGGTGGTGGTGGTGGCGGGGGGTTGTATTGTGCATCTCCATGTTCTGTGTCTGTTGGTGGTTGATGGAGCTGATAGACAGATAGATAGATAGATAGAGAGATAGATAGATACTCACTCACATAGATGAGGCGTCTTGATCCTCCTTCGAGTTCTTTCTGCGCTGCTGCACTTCACCATCAGCTCCCTCACCTTGTCCATCCTCCCCCTCCTCCTCCTCTTGTGCTTGTTCTTGTTCTTCCTCTGCCTCTCCTTGTTACGCTTTCTCTTCTTGCACCTCTTGTTTTGTGACCCGAGCCGCCTGTGGGGTGCTTGCTTGCTGGCGGGGCTGGGCTGGGCGTTGCTGTGCAGTGATTGGCTTGGCTTGGCTGGTGGCTGGCTGGCTGGCCGTTTGGATCGCCTGGCATTTGGGCGGGGTGGTGATCTCAGTCACCCAAAGTGGCGGATTGGGTTCTTCCAGATTTTCTTACAGATTTATACCAAGCTGTAGCAATGGGGAACACAAACGTGAGAAGTCCGAAGGAACATTCAGGGATCGATCCAGGTGTACCCAATTCGCATGGAGCCGCTGGACAGTCTGTCCACGGTGGGGATCCCGGTCGATTAGGGGCGATGGCTTACGGCGAGAGTATGCTGCAGAGTCCTCCAGATAGCCCTAGTAGTGTCTCGCGCTCTCCTCTGATGTTCACCCCGCAGGTATATGGCTTGCCACCGCATCGTCCCTCTTCTCCATCGCTCCTCCTCCTCCTCCTCATCCTCCTCCTCTGACCTTCCTCCCTCCCTCCCCCTCCTGGCCCTCTCCTTCTTGCCCTTCTCTTGCTGCTCCGGGGATCGTCTCGACTTTCAGAGGTGGGAATTAGACAGCCCCATTCCCGCCTCTCCAAGTGTTCCTCGTTCGCCGTCCTCTCGATCTTCGTCGTCAGAGCTGAATTTGTAGATCATCATCCCGCAGAGCAATTCTGCCTGAAGCATTTTGCTCTGATTCGGATTGCAGAATCCACTTCACCGATTCCGCGGGCATGGAACGTAGACTTTGAAGCCACTACCACCTCTACTGTTCCGAAATTGGCAACTGTGCCCGCTGGTTTTAGGAGAGGAAAAGAAACAAGTCTGGCCTGCAGCTTAGACACACAGACTGACAGAGTGCCAGACGAGAGACCTTCAGTGATTCCGTAGGTCGTATCGTTTCTGTGGAAAGTCAGTCACAAGTGGATTATTCTTGGACTTGAGTCATCGAATTTTCCAGCCGTCGTAAAGAGGGAGCCGAAGTAGGAGTTCTAATCACTCTGAAGGAAGGTTCTTAGGGTCGTCTCCTTCCTCCTCTCGAAGGAACGAGCGAACATGGAACTATGTTATAATGATTTTCTCATCCCTGAAGATCTTTTAGCGACGAATATGAAGGTTGGCTACTGCTGCCATTCTCCTCGCCGACCTTGACTGACTGACTGACGGAATGATTGCACCAATTACCATCAAACCCGCGAATAAGTCTCTCCCTCTCGATTGCAGAGTCCCCATCATCTCCCTTGTTTTCCCAGCTTTGATTTCTGCCGACTTCCCAAGCGTTCAATCGACGTTAACGTTGCCCCTCCTTCGAGTCAGACTTACGGGATAGGGTCGAGTCGGTTGTTACGAAGATACACTTGCACCATAGAAATCGCTCAGAGCTGCAAGTATCTATGACACTTGCAAGCAACGCCCCCCCCTGAGGCTTGAGCTGGATCAAGGCTGTCGTCCCCCACCCGAGTGACGAGTTCCCTCCGAGAAACTTGGATTTCAGCCACAGAAGAACCTTCGGTAGTGTTCCTTGTCATTTTCTCGAGCCGGCCGGGCCTGCCTTTCTGATGTGTTCAGGGCTCGGTCTGTTGGTTTGACGTCGCCGTTGCTTTGTGTGACACGATCTGAGCTGTTGATTCATGTTTGGTTTGTAGATACCAATGGTCCCCATTGCCAAAGCCGACGAATTCACATTGGGGCCTTATCAACCAGGCATGTATGAACACCATGGGCATGAGATGATGCAACAGGAGAGAGGAATTCCGACCATGATAGTGTGGAGCCACGGGGGAAACAATGTGGCCGTCGAAGGATCGTGGGACAATTGGACTACAAGGTCAACACTTTCCACATTTCCCCTCGCATTTGGCTGTCGTTTGGTTTGCCGCGTGCTCTTGTAGCTCTCGCGTGTTCTTATGCACGTGCTGCGACGTCGTCTTGACGTGGAGTGCCAGTTCTGAATTTTGTGGATCGGCCAATTCGTGCATGTCGTTGCGATGAGAGCTAAAGAACCGCCCTGAAATTTGCCACGAACTTGGCCATCCTGCGTATACAGCGTATTCCCTTGCGGATTGCCGTGATGTGTGCTTGTTTCGAGAATTAGAGGCCTTGACAGGGAGTCCGAATGGCTGTACTCTTTTGTACTCCTTAGATGAAATTTCACCTTCGGATGAGTGCTTTTGTCATCAAGCAGGTTGACGTTGGCTATTGTTTGATGTCTCTTTCGACCGACGGGCAGTTGTTGATTCAGTCGGAATTATGCGTCGAGACCCGAAGATTACAATTGTGTCAAGATGCGGGCTAGAAGGTTGAGACAAACAGTTTTGTACAGCATGCGAACATTGGTTTGTGAACGCATTTCTGAACATTGGTTTGTGTACGTTGTCCCGGAATACAGGGAGCCGCTGCAAAAGGCGGGAAAAGATTTCACAATTGTCAAGATCCTTCAGTCTGGAGTCTATCAGTACAGAATTATTCTGGATAAAGACTGGAACTATCCACACGAGGTGCTGTCGAAGGTCAACAACGTGCTCGATGTGCAGGTCAGTTCCTATTCTAATAAGACTATTCTTGATACTAGCGCAAAGGACCTCTTGATGACCTCAGGTTTTCCTTTTTTGAGACGAGACTCGGCCAAGAACGAAAGAATTGAGCGAAGGAAAGAAAAGACATCTTACCAGGGCTTTGTTTAGTTCTGTACACGAAGTAGATTCGAGGGCACCTAATGTTGTGAATTTGAGGAGAGTCTATTGATGCTGCTCGAACGCTGCTGGACTTCATGTAGAGATAGCACAGGCGAGTCCTACTCGTAGGAAGGTTTCTAGCGCACATTAGTTCAGCGTCTGCTTTTACTCCGGAAATCTGCCGAGAGAAACGTGGGCTGGACATTCCGATCGTGGACGGAGAAACTGATGTGCTCTCGTGGACGACGTGTGCAGGATTACGTTCCAGAGAATTTGGACAGCGTAGCCGGGTTCGAACCACCGCAGTCCCCGACTTCCAGCTACAACGACACCTTCCCGACTCCAGAGGACTTCTCCAAGGAGCCGCCCATTCTACCCTCGCACTTGCACCTGACCCTTCTGAATGTTCCTCCGCTCGAAGAGACGTCCGGCGCTCTGCCTCGTCCACAGCACGTGACGCTCAACCATCTGTACGTGGAGAAAGGCAAGAATCTGCGCTCGGTGCTGGCTCTCGGGTTAACCCATCGCTACCGATCAAAATACGTCACGGTCGCCTTATACAAGCCCGTGCACAAGTAATCTCACCATCACTCCTGACAACTTTTGTGCAGTACGTAGCCGCCTTACGAAATTGTGTATATTATTGGGCATGGTCACAGGAAGATGACGTCCCGCTGTCTCCGAACACCCGAAGTCACCTTCTGCTTCGAGGAGGAAGGTGATGTGTATCATTTGAGATGTGCAGTTCACGCTCCGAGAGGAGTAGAGGTGAAAGTAGGATTAGGGGTTGAAGAAATCCGTCCTCAGCATCCGTCCCAGGTCTTCTTCGTGACGAGCAGAATTGAGATTCTCGAAGGTTGGGAAGCAAGTCCTTTCTCTGCATCGTTCATTTTGCCACCTTCCTGTCCGAGTGTGGCCGAATCAGATGTTTACCAGCTTGAGCTGGATCGAAAGAGAGTGGCAGAGTCTGAGTTGTACATTTCTCACGAGGTCTGTGCCATGGCATTTTGAGTCACCGTTCATCAGGTCATTTCGACCCTATATCATCATGCGATCGAGTGATCTAGGGGATTCGAACCTTCCTGTGCTGAACGAACTGCGAGTCCTGCGGCGCGTACGAGGTTGAGTTTCCATTTCCATCTCCGTCGACCGGAGAGTCTAGGTGGCTGCGAAATGCACTGGACAGGTCCGTAGTTCTCTCTGCAAGCTTACTGCAGTGCGGGTGTACTCTTTCACCTCGCACTCGGGAACGATCAGCATGGACTGCTGCTAAGGTTCTGCTGTTCTCGCCAGTTGAGACATCGAGAGACGTGGAGTTTTTCCAGCTAGTTATTAGGCTCCCATCCCGTGGGAAAATTCTCTGTAGCTGGCCGTTGAGTGCAAATGTTACATGAAGATTTACCTTCTGTTAATACCTCTTTTAGAGGATCAGTTACTCAGGGTCCTGTGTTTCTGCCTGCTCGATTAGGTACTCTCCTGCTCGTTTGTCCGCCGCTTCACGTCTTGAGTTGCTCCTTTGATCCTAGCTCCACATATCCAATTCTCTTCCGTTACTGCCCCCCTTGGTGCCCCAGCTTCTCTCGGAAGGAGGCGTCCAGATGTGCGTCCCTCATTTTTCAAGTTCGCTCCAGTGGCCCATATTGTTTGGCTCAACATGTAGACACACGTAGGAAGATTTGAGGGATGCTGATCAATGTCAGTATTTTGACTACGAGATGGGCATTTTCTGATACCTGCTTTTTATCATAAATTACTGTGTACATCATCCACGTCACTCACATTTTGCGCTTTTCCACCGAAGTTACGTTTCAATATTCTACCGTCAGTTGGCACCTGGCGTCTAGTTCTACGATCTGCAAAATCCCTTCGACATAAAGCTCACGATACCCCTGTCGGAGATTGTTAACTCTACACGACTTCGCCCAAACCGCACGTCTGAGGTGCATTTGGAGAGAGTCTATTCCGCTACTCGTACGAAACTGGAGAACGGCGGTGGGCCCTGTTTTTGGGTTGCGAAGTAAGCTGGAAGAATGAAATATGGATTATCTCACAGTAGAACGAGATTTAAACTCACGGGATCCAGAGCCTTTGGCAAAGTTCGTCGACGGAGTGACAGTTGCCAATGAGTCGTCGTAATGAGTGTTCAAAGACAAAGGAACTGCAGGGTACATGTAACGCAACGAGCAATGTCCTACGATATTCTGAGAGATGGTGAGAGGAGGTTAATCTGCACCCTTGGCGTGATGCGATGCTATAGCTCTTCAAACGGAGTACATCATGCAATTGCCATCATCACCGGCGATCACAAGGTGCCTGGGCCCGGCAAGGGAGATACACCGCACAGCTCCGTCGTTCGTGGCTCCGAGCCCATACAAGCATCTGCCGTTTGTCAAGTCATGAACGAGCAGCTTGCCATCGCCCGCCCCACTCCACATTAAAGGACCTGAGTCAACCGCAGTAGGGAGTTAGTTGGGACGTCCATCAACGCCTCGCCACAGCACGTACAGAAATCTGCAAGAAATGTGGAGAGGAAAAGGAGGCGCACCGCAAAGGTGGAGGCTATATATGAAGTCCTTGTGCTCGGCAAAAGTATGCACGGTTCGGAAGGAGGAGCGCGGCTCCAGGGCTCGGATGATTTTATCAGCGCAGGCCGTGATCATGAGCGGCGGAGTTCTAGCCCCTATGTTGGTAAAGCCGATATTCGACACAGCTCCCCTGCCGTGCTCAGACCTGCAAACGACGAACCACGAAGCAACGCCAAATCAAAACGACCTTGACCGCAACGCAACATGCACGACAAGCATCATCGCAACAACCGCTCGGATCCGAACGACTCGAGAGCATTCACGCGCACCTCGAGACAGCAAAAGTATGCACGGGAGCTTTATTCCGGATGTCCCAGACTTGAATGATGCCGTCCTGGCCCCCGGTGACGAAAATCTCCCCCAAGCAGCCCGAGAACAGCGACGCGCCGGCGGTCTCGGCGGGCTCGTCGGGCTTGCCCGAGTCCACATCGCGCAGACATTCCACCGCCGTGACGTGGCCCTGATGCGCGTTCTTGCATCGCAGCACGGCCCGCCCCGTCGTGGCGTCCCACGAGAAGACCTCGCCGTCGCGGGACCCACTCATGAGCGCGCCGTGCGAGCTCACCGCGAACCCCAGCACCGCGCCTTTGTGGCCTTGCAGGCAGCCCACCGCGCCCAAGCCCGAGCCGCGCCGTCGCCCCGCGCCGTTGAGGTTCCAGAGCATGAGCGTCTTGTCGTAGCTGGCGCTGACGGCGTAGGTGCTGTCGATGACCTTGACGGCGGAAATCGAGCCGTCGTGGCCCGTAAGATCGGCGCAGCGTACGCCCGTGGCGTCCCAGAGGCAGAGCTTGCTGTCGAGCGCGCCACTCAGGATGCGACCGTCGTCCAGGTGCTCGACGCATGTCACCCACTCCGTGTGCCCGTACTTCTTGCTGTACAGGTTACGCAGTTTCTTGCCCGTGGCGACGTCGACGGTGTAGACGCTGTGGTCGGAGCAGCCGATGGCCGCCTCCGTGCCTCTCACGCTCATGCACATGAGCGGGCGGTCCGAGAGGTCCAGCGCCACGCCCGCCGAGTCGGCGGGCCCCGTTCGCCACAGGTACAGGTCCGAGGTGTTGGTCATGGCGATGGCTTTGCTCCTCGCCTCTCGGACGTCTAGCGGAATCCACATCGCGTCCGGCCTCGGCCCGATGCTCGAGCCGGGCACCGACGGCGCCTGCTGCCGGCTCTGGCGTTGGTGCTGCTCCTGCTGCCGCTGTTGGATTTTGGCTCTCGTCGCCGACGATAGTTGTAACTGCTCCATTTCCGCCCTGGGCTCGTTCGGTTGTGAGGATTTGATCGAATTCGATTGAGCCACGACGCGCACGCTGATTTGCGAGCTTCTTGGCCCGACTCGAGTGCCATTTCTCGTTGCGGTCGAACTGCCGGGCGGGGCCTGCGTGGTTGGGCCTAAGGCCGATTCCTTCGGTCGTTGCCTTTGCTGTTGATGCTCGTCCATGCAATTGGGGTCTGACGGTGCTAGAGTGCCGGTCCTTTCCCGTCTGCTTGCTCTGCCTATTCTCGGGCCTGAAGGCTCTTGTGGGGACAGAATTGTGTTTCTCATCCTGCCTGAACTGTTCCACGGAATTGCGTTCTGAGTGTTCACGTTGGCGGTGATGCTGCGTTTTGTTGTAGTCGGGGTCGTAGCTGGTTTGATCACCTCGCCAGGGTATTCTGCTGCTGGTTGTGGAGTTTCAGAAATTCCAGATATGACGCCCGTTGCTGTGTCATCCCCGGCCTCCATCTGAGCGGTTCAAGAGTCACTTCTCATGCACCTGTTTCCTGCAAGAACTAAATCAAATTCTTGCGAAAGGAAAGATGCATTACGTTTCCCATCGTCGCATGATATTGTTCAGATTTCGGCTGGTTTTACAAGGGAGTTGCATTTGGATCCTGTATTCGAAGGCGGAAATTCGATTCGGGCCCGCTACCTATACATTTCGTTCTTGTTCTTGCCATATCATGCTTCTAGATGTTCGATCTGCAGTCTTAGCACGCGCTGGAATCGAGTTCAATGGTTGGAACGTCCCGTCAGCGACGACCTGCGCGCACGAGAAGCAGTGGTGCCTGCAATCATTGCAACTTACACGTGACATGTCACTTCTGTTCGAGTCGGAGCTTCAGTTTCCACGGGTAAGCTAGACATCTTGAGCCAGCCTCGACCTTTCGTAGGTAATGTCATTTCTCTTCGACCTCACCCAACTAACTGCACTGGCTTCTTCACCGAACTAAACCGTTTCGGGGTCAATCAAGAAATCGAAGTCGTTTCTCAGTACGCCCGATTGGAGAAGGCTAGGCTGTCTTGGTAGAGTCTATTGAGTTCAAGGTATTGAAGACCTGTAATACGCAAAGTCTTCTGCTTCACTCGCGTCGGCGGACGATACCAGTCAGTTACCCTGGAAACTTCGAGTTGATACAGCAATGAAATCTGGAAACTTCGAGTTGATACAGCAATGAAATCTGGAAGAAACTCTAGGCCCAAAGTCTGGAAATGTTGGCAAAATCCTTTTGATATACGGCAGACGCAAATATTATTGCATATTTTCCAACAGATGGCTGGCAAAAGTGAACTCTTACACCGTCCCCCCTTGGCCAGTAAGCAACCGGAACACGAAAGCACGGTTAGTGAACCCTCACGGCACTGTTAGGTCTTCAAGGCTGTTGTGAATCTTGACGATGCAATTTTGGTCTTTAACTATTAAGAGCTACGGATAAATACTGTTGGGAATCTTGACAATGCAATTTTGGGCTTTTAACTGTTAAGAGCTACGGATAATTACTGTCCAGTAAGGAATAAGCTTGGCTGTTTAAGTAGGCAACATTTTCTCCAATATCTGAACCTGGTTTTACACGTTCAGGGATTGTGACCACGGTTACGAGCTCTTCCCTGCAGAGTCCTGCACCCGAATATCACTTTGGTCATTTGAAACTCTGTCTCCTTAGTACAATCCAGCCTGCGCTATCCCGTATAACAATAGTAAGGAGTCCTTGCAGACTTGAAGATTTACAAGATTACAATAGATACAAAACCCTGACGTCAATTAGCAAGGGTCTGATGGCACACTCCAGCCTCTGATTTTATTCACAAACCTTGTGACAGCTGATTCTTTGATACGTCAAATAGCAAGGGTCCGATGGCACATTCCAGCCTCGGATTAATTCACTTATATTCACAAGCCTTGTGACAGCCTCTGATTTTATCCACAAACCTTGTGACAGCTGATTCTTTGAAACGTCAAATAGCAAGGGTCCGATGGCACATTCCAGCCTCGGATTAATTCACATATATTCACAAGCCTTGTGACAGCTGATTCTTTGATACGCAGATGATCGTTTGCTGGAACCTCCACAATATTGAAAATATTCTTCAAAAGTCGTCAAACTCATAATTCCGAGGCAGCACGTTCTCATCATACAAGCATCGCCTTCTTAGCCTACGTAACCGATTGTGGGTGGCTGGGCGACAAAGCCTTTCGATCGACCAAGCCTTTCGACCGAGCTGTGGATTAAATTCTTTCACGCACACACTGCCCATAGGTCTACTTCACATCACACTTTTCGTGACATCTCTTGAATACTTCCAAAATTCTTAGAAACAAAATCTGTGGACGTGACGTTACTCCGCGTCAAATGGCTCCATCTACACTCTCAGAATCAAGAGCTTAACATCTACACACAGGATCTGAAAGAGTACACTTATAGTGACTTCATGACTATCGCGGTAAAAGTCCATGGCAGGAATGGCAGTTATCCAAGTTTCCTGGGCACTGAAGTGCGGTGGACTAATTGACCTGTGAAGAAAACAGACAAAAATTTTGGTCTGTTTTGGTGAAGTTGGACATCACGATTAAGCATTCGGATGTTACATCATCCAACCGAAATGAGCCCATTACGCTAAATACCACACCAGTCATTACTAGCGCAAGCATTTCCCAAATTTAGCGGATCAGACACTGACGGGTCAAAATATTCAACGTCATCCCAGTTCCCGATCTCAATTGTCAGCGATCTCTGGACTGCAATTTCATCAGCAAATCTTCTGCAGTTGTTTAAGCTCAGATAGTCTAGAATTCTACATTTCGTGTCAGTTGTGCAGTGCCTTCCCGCTAAGGCAGTACACCATTGTTAACCCAGTTTCTCGAAAGGAGAGCAGCAATAGAAGTCGAGAGATCTAGAGAAAGAGAAATCTGTTAGCCATAGGTCTCGAAACTATCCACTTCATAGACTTCAAGATTCAAGCAATGGAGCAATGGGCGAAGCCGTTCTCCCAAGTGTTTTAGAAAGACCTCGTTTAGAATAAACAAGAAGAACAGTTAAAAGTCATCCTTCCTGATGACATGCACGATTTTCAGATTGACATCCATGGAAAGTTCATTCAATAAGATCTCCACCTCGACATTCTTCCTCTTTCGTCCGGTGAAGTCACCTGCATGTAGTCGCCTATGTACGGATATCGAGCAGTTAAAAGCAAACCATTGATTCCTCGTGCGGTGAACATTGTACAAATCAACTGCATGTCACTAGCCAAGACGGCAACGCTACGGTTTTACTCTGCCGTGTCAGCTTAAGAATAACCGGAGTTTGTACACCTCTGCCTTCTACGCTTTCATCTACTCGCCGAGTCAGTCAGGGTTCCACCTGCTTAGTCACAGGGATTTCAACTTTTGCTTGATTCAAGAATCATCCTAGATTTGTAGTGACAAAAGTGGACAAGATTCTCGACAACTTTCAAGGCAACGATCAGAATCACCCTTCGTCACCTACATTCCATCATTCTACACAAACGATGCCGTTAACTCGCAAATTCATCTTCTGACTCCATTGTCATGATGGAGATATTCGTCATCTACTTCAAGCCCATGTCGCAGCGGGTTGACAGACATCTCTCGTTGTTCGTCTCGGCTTTACTGCTAGATTTCGGTGAAACTAGTCCCGTCATCTCAATTGGGCTTACAAAGGTGCGTCGTCGATACGTGGACCTCAGACAAACCATGCATTACAGCTCGATCGACTCCTCTGCAGGAGGCACGTGCTGTCGAAGACATGCTAAACCGTGTAAGCCAATGTGCACGGGCACACTCCCACCGAGAGCGCATGGGATTGCAGAAATCCCTGACACCAGGACAGATCACAAGACGAAAGCTGATACGGAGCTCGTTCGTCGTGATCGAGAGGTGAACGCTGCGCGCCTTTTACCTGGCCCGCGATTTGAAGTTGCCGAGGACCATTCGAGTCAAAATTACAAACGAAATTAGAACTCGCGCCTGTCGTGCGTACGAATGCCGATCGCCCAGTCATCGACTGCCGCCCTCGAGCGGATGAAGGCGCGCGCTAGACGTTGGGGCGCGTCGGGGAGGCGCGGGGGCGCGGTAAAGTCGAAGGGAGGAAGTCTGGCTCTTGGAGCAGCAGCGCCCTGCGGCGGCCACCGTTGTGGAGGAGGAGGAGGAGGAGGAGGAGGAGGGCCTGCGTCGCCACGAAAGCAGAGCATGGGAGACGTGGAAGCACGGCAGCCATGGCGGGGCTGGACACTGAGTCAGCAGCTTCGATCCAAGATGAACATGTCGTCGTCGTCTTTGGCATTAGTTGCTGCTGCTGCTGCTGCTGCTCGAGACTTCGTCGGCTTACGTACGCACATGATCTCTCGCTTGCGAGAAGCTACGACGTGCGCCTCAGGTCGGTCGAATTTCGCGGTGGAAGTGCAACCGGCGATCGGTCGTTCTCTCGCTCTCGGAAGGCTACGACGAGGAGTTTTCACTGCAGACGAGCGTGCGCGCGGCGCTGCGGACATAGTCGGTTCCCATGCTGTCTAGTCGTGGTATGTGAGCTCTTTCTCAAATCTTTCGCACAGAGATGTCTTTCTCGTATGGTGCATTGGGCTGGGAGTCTGAATGACCGAGACAATTGACATTCCCCTGCATTGGAAGGAAATTATGATATTTCGATCCTCTTGTTCCAACTTCGTGTCTGATGTACACCACATCATCAGTTGATTTGGAACGCATCAGAAACCGACGTGTTCTCTTCGTTTTGTAAACATTGAACCGAAATTGAGTGTTGGGTTCTCGTTCTCCCCAATGATCGAATTCTGCTGAATTTGACTTCTATCGACATGCCTGAGGGTGCTGTCCCCGTTCACTTTGATTTCTGCATACTTTGCGAGAGTTGAGCTGACTGCTAAATCTAATTAGAGCCACATTGTATTAGAAGAGCCTATACGTCATGATACGATAGCACTGTAACAAAACTAAGTAGAATACAAGATATTGTTTGGTGGACCGTGATGTAGCCAGTTTTGAGAGATCACAAGTTGTGGCTCATAGCTTGATTCGGTTGGATCTACAGGCAGTAAGTTTTTGAGTTCAGGAAGTCAGCTGTTAGCCAGCGGAAGTATGCAGAAATCTGGTGCGAGTGCCCGGCCCATGCACGTTATGGCGTCCAAAGATGGCAGCGGACAGAAAAAGGGCAGACAGGGGACAGGGACATCCGTTATGTGGTTTCGGAACGATTTGCGCGTGTCGGATAACGAAGCGCTATTGCGAGCATGGCAGACATCTAGTGCCGTGCTTCCAGTTTACTGCCTGGACCCAAGAGTGTTCTCCACTACACATGTATTTCAATTTCCCAAAACTGGAGGTAACTTTTCCTATTCATTCCTGAAGTTCGCAACTAGAAGTGGTGAGATTAAGCTTCTTTGTAACCAACACCAATTCTGTCTTCACTCAGCAATGAGGCTCTGCGAATTGGTGTTAGTTAGAAAAGTGTGCATTTTTTTGGAGTTTCGACCGAGGAGATTTGTTTACCTCGAGTGTTTTCCCGCACTCTAGTGGGTGTGCTTCATGGAGCGATAACACTGTGGTCGATCTTGAGCCCTGTGACATGTTTTTTTTGCAGAACTGCGTGCTCAGTTTATCTTAGAAAGTGTGGCGGATTTGCGTAAGAATCTACAAAGGCGTGGTTTAGACTTAGTCATTCGAGTTGGACATCCCGAAGAAATCGTGCCTAGCCTAGCAGAAGCAGTCGGTGCACACACTGTAAGTACTTAAAAGCTCCACACGAATTGAAGTGCGCTCTCATCGATTGATTAGTTCAAACCACCCGAAACCTGCACAGCATAGTCGGTCAGAGTAAGATCAAAACATTTTCGGATGTCCTCCGTGCTGCTGCAGCTACGCTAGCTTCCTGTTGTGGGAACTGCTCGCGTATTTGAAGCAGTGATCTCTTCGTATGTGGTTCTAACCTTCCTAGCTCTGATGCATTACCGTACTTAACCTGGTAACAGGTTTTTGGGCACAAGGAGACTTGTAGTGAAGAGACAACTGTAGAAGGACGCCTCAAAGGTCGTCTCGCGAAGGTGAACGTTCCTAGTGAGGTTCCAGGAAAATCAGTTAGACACCCACAACTGGATCTCGTATGGGGAGGAACTCTGTATCACATCGATGACCTGCCTTTTTCCCCCAATCAACTACCTGACGTTTACACGCAATTTCGAAAGGTAGAAGTTCTCATCTATGGTTCCTTTCTTACTCATTTTAGCGATGTAGATCATCTTGCTGAAAATATCCACGTTGTCAATGTTGCTTCTTATATCTTACGGGGCTAATATTTGTTATCAGTCCTATAACGATTACTTTTTTTTTCTCTCTTTGTTACCTTTGATGGCGATCAGATCGTTTTTGGTATTTGTGTTCTGGGATTTCTGTCTGTTTGATACCAGTCCCGTTGGCTGTCCTTCCTGGTGGAATTCTGTCGATAATTTGAAGTACATGAAGTTTTGCTCACTCCGGCTCCTACTTATTTGGCAGGCATGTGAGACCAACTCCAGGATAAGGCCAGCCTGTAAGATGCCTCATCAAATGGGACCTTTACCAGATTCCGTGGAGAAAATCGGCGGCTGTGGTCCTCTTCCCACCTTGGCCGATGTTGGGCTGACACCCCGAGAGCAGGTAGAGAGTCGCCCTGTGTTTGCATTCCCTGCAATCAGACGACTTAAAGAACAATCAATAGTAAAGAGCAAAATGTGCACTGTAGGCTACGAACTAGTTTTTCTGGCAGCCATCTAGACTGTGAATGTAACAACTTATGATTATTATTTTCTGAAATAGCTGACCTGTACCACTCATAGACTTGATAACCTCATAGGCCAATATAGTCAGCTTCAGTTTTGATAGAGAGATTGACATTCAGTACTTCCTTTTGTCTATGTACTTCAGATTGAGATGATTGGCCAATTTGTTGTTATCTGGACGACCTGAACGTCTCTTTCTTAGCAGATTCTTCCTTACTTTCGTGTGAACCGACGCAGAGTCCAAGTGGAGTGATGCATTTTGCGGGGGGTGAGACCGCAGCTCTAGCTCGCCTTCAGGACTACTTTTGGGTAAAAGTACGTATTTTATTCTTTTGTGTCTAACTCTTTTGACTCGTCATCAAGAGTTTAAGCTTTCTTTTATCAAAGCCTGTACAATAGACATCTCGAGCGACTGATGACAGTTCAAAACTTAATCAATAATCGAACATCAGATGTATGGAACTAAGTCACTAAGCTCTCTTGAATGGCAGGACAAGGTACGAGCATATAAAGAGACACGAAATGGTATGCTTGGTGCAGATTATTCCACTAAGTTTTCACCATGGCTTGCCCATGGCTGCATCACGCCACGAACAATCGGCGAGGAGGTAAATCCTGCATCGTTTCAACACTAGTACAAGTCAATGGCACATCAAGAGCTGGTGGCATCTTGAATTGCGAGTGTAAATGAGCTATGTTTTTTAAGTGGTGTGTATCCTAAAAGTCTTGATTGTTTCATGTCTGCAGTTGAAGAAGTATGAGGGAGAGAGAGTGGCCAACCAATCTACCTACTGGTATGGCTCGATCGCCAAAGGATTTTCCTATTCTTTGTCTGCTTTCAGCTTGAAGTCTGGATTCTCGGATCTGCTACATCTAGACTCGATATTTTGTATAACCTTTTTATTTCTGCGTATAAGTTATACCTCCTTATAAATATGGGAGGGTTAAGAATTTTAAATGACCACACTTGCAGGGTGCTGTTCGAACTTTTGTGGCGGGATTATTTCAGGTTCCTTTCCATCAAATATGGAAATTCCATTTTCCACTTGGGTAAAGACCGCGCTATATTCTGATAACTTTCTCTAAGCAAGAGTGTTATTAGACTTTGACCAGACCATCTTTCGCCAAGTGGGTTAACCCAAAAATACAGTCCATTGTTTCGTTTACGTATGATGCCTGTGAGAATCACTTTTGCGTGCAACTAGGTTGTCTAGAAACCTGACTACTCAAATTGAAAAGTGGAAAGTTAGCCGGCTAATGCTGTCGTCCATAATATACAATGATGAGCCTCTGTCTTGGAATGTACAGGAGGTCCTCGCAACGTCAAAGGTAAAAGTTGGGGACAGGATAAACTGCTATTCGAAGCTTGGAGAGATGGAAAGACGGGGTATAGTAATTTCTATCTCGTCCTGTTTTTGGCTGAGATGAAACATTGTCGCGGAGATGAAACTCATCGTTTATAAGTCACATTGTCTTTCCCGATTGTCTTGAAAACTACAGTTCTCACCATCACTTACATGCATATCGAACAGGTATCCTCTCATTGATGCCAACATGAAGGAGCTGGCACAAACCGGCTTCATGTCGAATCGTGGACGACAGGTTCAATATCTTCAATTTTTCCCCACTGAATACTGTCGGTTTTGGCAAGAAAGTTCATCCTAAACCCTGAACCCGGAGGACATCTGAGGGTGCTCAAAATATGGAAATATAACTTTCAATACGCGCGCTGTCTTTACTTACTGTTTGTTGTAACACAACGGTCTTTTGTGTAGATTGTCTGCTCGTTCTTGGTCAGGGATATGGGGCTGGATTGGAGACTTGGCGCAGAATGGTTTGAGACATGTCTCCTAGATTACGACCCATGTTCAAACTACGGAAATTGGACTTACGGTGCTGGTAAGTTTTTTCAGTTGTACCTAGAGCTCCAATAGTTATCGGGTTCACTTTATACCACAGTATGAATCTCTAACATCTCTTCTAAGAATAGATTATATCAACTGATGTTCATTTGCACCGCACTACAGAAATATCTGGATTGAGTATGATATTGAGGAGTTCCCAGTTTCATTCATGCTCCTCTGTCCAGAAACTGATCAGTCATGTTCTTGACGTCCTTGAGGTTTACTTGTATGGAGTCATTGCTTCATTTTCGTAGGAAATTCACGGTGTCTGCAATTGGCTTTCGATTTTGTCCACTGTAGTTTGGAACACACTAATGAACCCAAATGACTGTTATGCAGGAGTAGGAAACGATCCGCGGGAAGATCGTTATTTCAGCATCCCGAAACAGGTACCACAAAATATCTGCAGCTCAATTGCACTCTCTACCTAAGTGGCATCTTGTCAAGAATTCTCTGCTGTCAACTTTGGATTTAACTGCCAAATGTGACTGTAGTGTCACATTGCCGTGTCTATGATTGGTTATAATGTTTGCTGTCCCTTTCAGGCCCAGACTTACGATGCAGATGGAGAATATGTTGCACACTGGCTTCCTCAGCTGAGGCACCTTCCAAAAACCGCTCGACACTTCCCCAAGGATGCATATCTGAGACCTATTGTGCCTCTAAGACATGGGCAAGCTCCACGAAATCAACCGAACTCAGGCCGTCAGCCGGCTTTCAGGAGAAATTGATGTGGTAGCTCATGGACATTACCCATAAACGAATAGAATTAGACCAATTCCACCGTGAAAGGTGCATTTACTCCTGTACCGAATCTGAGAAACCTCAAGAGTCCCGTTTTATTTTCTACCCATTCCATTATCTTACACCGAGAACTGGAGCAGACACGACCAGGCACGATAAATCGAGCGCTAATCCACCGAACAGCCTGATTTCAAACCATTCCTTTAAGAGTCTAGCCTCAAAGGAGGCGTCATACGATGAGATTTTGAAGGCTGATTGTGACTTCGAGATCCGGGGTGCAAGTTTTTAAATCTCTTGCCAGCGAACTGGAGGTGATTTCATCAGGGCCAGAAATCGATATCCAGGCTCGGGATCAAGTGTTTGGTTTCTAATCTTTGCAATCTTGCTGGGCCCTTGCTGGACAACATATCCCGCACTAGATAGTGGGCTGTCCAGCAACTGCCAGTTTGTAAATTTCCAATTTTGATATATTCTACATGCGATTTGTTTCATAATCTCCCTCTAAGGGTACTGCCCAAATATCGTGAATATTTGAAAATAGAACTAAATATGGTGCTTTCTTGCATCATTGGAAGAATTTGAAAAGGTACGGATCTTGAAAATGTATTTCTACGTACTGTACATGCTACAAAGCACGGAGTGTATCAGGTGCGCAAGTACACAGATATACAGCAAATATCGATCTGCATCATAAACTTGGTTTGTGAACTGGAATAACCAAATGATCACATTCATCGAAATCACAGCTTGAATAACGAATTCACAACTTGAATAACCAAGAGATCACATTCACACACATACGATAGAAGTTAATGCCCGTAATAACTTCATAATTAATGCTGAAACTTTAGTGCAACTTCAAACATATTACATGTATTTCCAAAAAAAAGTACATCTTGCCTGGGAATAAATTACGTCCTGAAATCTATACATTCATTCTTAAGTATATCATGTTACATTCAATGAAAAATTTAATGAATTATGAGTGAAAGACTTTCAGAATTCTCATAAATGGTAGGAATTTGAACAGAGGTATTGTTTTCTTTTTCCACACTCGTTTAATGATTCATATATTTATCTGTTAAGCAAACTTTAAGTTGGAAATGCAAGCAATGTTCATAGATTAACCATTCTAGAATATATGAATGGTTGAAATTCTTTACATGATGTTTAATCTATTTATTTTTCCAAATTAAAACAGTCTATTTACAAAGCTTGAGTTATTGAAACAATATAATTCAAATCAATTACTTATATTTAGAGCTTAACAAAGTTTTGATAATTTTTGTTTTGAATTTTTAACAGTTTTGAAATTTAGGTGAGCTTCATTTAGAACCGGGTGATTCGGGATTCTTATAAAATGAGCAATTTTTTAATATACTGCATTAAAATAATTTCAAATACAAGCTTAATTAATTTTTGATTTTTGTAAATATGGAAAGCAAGAATTCATAAGAAATCTTTCTTCTATACACAATTTTTTTGATTGAAACATGAGATTTGAAATAAATGATACGTTCAAAATAAACTGATTTCGAAAGTATTAATGATAATAATTTTAGTAATATTCTACTCTATAAATTTTCTTCTCATCTGTTCAATATTTGATTTTTCTTTATTTAATATTGATGTTGCTTGTGTATTTTGAGATACTCTTTATTAGAAAATGTTTCTTTGAGAAACAATAAATGCAACAAATCTTAATGAAGATGGTTGAAATGTATCTAACTTTTTGCAAAAATATAAAGATGTGCTAAATATACTCAGCTCAATTTATATAAAATCCTGATGTCAAGGACTTAAAACATCATTTAAGAAAAACTATAACTTACATGATCTTAAAATTTGTATTCATAGATACGAACTTTTAGTTCCTAATCAACAAGAATTTAGATGTAGATCATTTTCTTCATCTTAATTTTAATGATTGTTGTGACAAAATGCAATTTTTAGTGAGCTTGTTGCTACTACCAAAATTTTTATATTATACTTTTATATGCAAACTTCGTTTTGAAAGCTCTTTGATTCTCAAGCAATAGTGTTGATGGATGGTTAGTTGAAAAGTTTTGACCTATTACTTAGGAGAGATTTTTGACGTTTTAGGTGTCCTGTTGGACGGTTTGCTAAAAAACCACTTCTTGAATGTCACATACATGCGTCTATTTGTTGTACCTAACCCAGAAGTCTTATTGGAACATGCCCGAAGATGAACTTCAAGTCAGTACGGGATACTATCTAATAAGATGAATTGTGATGCATACCATTTAATTTTTTACGCTCTGCATGAGTCCCATTCAGTAATTTTTCATCTTTTCAATATGTTTTTTGTACTTTTTCAATTTTTTGTTCTATTTATGAAAATAATAATTAATTAAAATTACAAAATATGTTACAATTTGGTTGTGATGAGCTATCTGTTTGATTAAAAAATAACATCAATCAAAATAGATATATATATATAGAGAGAACTCCGTTCTGTGACGGGGCAAAAGTTGATACAAGCAATGGAGATAAAGATAAGTTCAATTGAATTTCACAGATTTGATTAAGAAGTGAATTATTAAACACAACATGAACTTGATTATGGTATAAAGATTGAAACAAACATTAATGAAGAAACTTAATACATGAAGAGTGATGTACCTTTCATAACAATATGGGTTTTGAGCATTTGAAACTGATGTTACACATTTGATGTAGCAATGAATGTAGAGTAATGATTGCAACAAAGTTGACTTGATTGCTTGATTAAACTAACAATTGAGGAATGTAAAGTTGGAATCAAAATACTTTTTCTATCCATAAGAAAAATTTGTTGCTGTTTAAAGTGTTGTGTCATGCGGACAATTCAAAATTGATCAAATAATATTAAAGATATTAATCATTGTTTGTAAGTCTTAGAAAAGATGGAGTAGTGAGATTATTTCTTAATTTTGGAACAAGAATATGTTGTACAAGGCGATGATTAGCTTATGGAGATTTTTATGCATTGAAAGGATTGAATGTTTTTGCTAACCTCCCAATAGCAGCAATTTTAATTTTAATTTTCTTCAATCTATGATCTTTTCTTTTGCTTTTCTTTGACTTATCATCATTTCAATTCAAAAGTTGATGAACCTGAATTCATCTTGAGAGTTCAGAATTAGCATTGAAAAGATCCAAGTTATAAAAAAGATTATCATATTTCAATCAGAGTGTGAAGTTTTTGTTTCTATCACAACGAGCAACTGAAATTGAGCTTCAATTTTCAAACTATGAAGAAGAATCTTGATCTGTTTAATACTTCATATTGATAACTATTCAAGATGGAACAAAACTAAAGTATCTTAAGTTGGAAAATTTAAGTTGAATGATGTAAGTATATTCACTTGTTATTTCGAGGAGAAGATACCATGAGCATAAAATATGCTTTTAAATGGTTATTGTCCTAGTTCTCCCAATCTACGTCCATCTTGCTTAATTTTTAATATACTTCCCAATACTGCTGGGCGGGTGCGGTCCTTTCTTGGTCTTTCGTCTTCTTTCTGCCCACTTGTCAACCTTTCCGTGAGCTCAGGGATGAAATCAAACGGGTGAAGCTAGCTGTTTTGACATCCCACTCGACCAGAGGTATGGTAGCATATGTCTTGAACAGAGTTTCTACATGTATGCCGTACCTCATAATACTACTCAACTGGACGGGCCAATCGGTATTTGGCGAGTGTTGACTTCCACTAGTTTTTTTTATGTACACCTTCCAAAGTGTTGATTAGACGTGTGAAGAGTTCCCTTCTTGCTCTGACCATAAGTCGTTTCTTCATCATTGCCGGAACTTCAAGCTTTAGTTAGTGACAGATGTGCGGTCAAGTTGAGCTTTATGTGAACAGGACATTGAATATGACGAGGGATGAGGCTGCTTCTTGAGAATGTCACGTAACAGCATTTATTTCAGAATTGGAGTCAGATTTCAGGTCGACCAAAGCAATTTTCGCAGAATCGACCTTGAACTTAGGAGCATCTCTAAAAGTCGGTTGCCCTACGGTAGTCAGGAACAACACACGGCAGGAAGGCCCGTTGCAAACGTCCCAGTATCTGTATAACGCTGCCAGTATTTAAACAATGGCAAATGTGCAGCCCACGTGTTGCGCTCACAACATCAACCGTATGAATCAGGCACCTGCGGGATAGTAGTCCATGTCTGGTTGTTTCGTGGCAATGATTCATTAGCTTTCTCTCTATGAAGTAAAGCTTGGCTCTCCAATCATTCAAAAATATGTTGGTAGCTCTTCTAAACCTAAGAACTACGTCTAACACTTTGCGAGAGCAAAATAGGCTAACCAACACGAAGAAAATGCTCTTGATTTGGCCGGATTCATTGATGTGGAGATTCTTTTGCGACCCCACGTCCTAGACCCTACTCTCCGCTTTTCCCTTGCAACTAAGCTCATGGTCGATGAACCAAAGAATATAAAACTGGACCTCTAGTAATTTTCCTGCTAGCTCATCCCTTGTAAGGCCCGAAAACAACACACGAGTTATGACCTCCAAACCCGAACGAGTTGGAAATACCTGCAACATATCCCAATTCGAGAATGTCTATTAGTTTCAATCCGCGATTATACAGCGCATACAGGCATTCCGAAGCCGTATCATGAGATGTCTAAAATCTTACAACCGCAGGTCCACTCCTCCACAAAAAATCTCGGAACACATACATTATTCCTATGTAACTCTTTGTAGATCATAAAATCCACAACAAGGATATGCAATAAACAGTTCAGGCATCAGCTACCGTTGACTCGTCTAGTCGGTCTCTCATTTGAAGTAAGAGACTTACCAACGTTAATCTCGTGTTGTTTCTTCACATTTGCAACGGTATCGAAAGTAACAGCCGGTTCGGGGTTCTGTTGAATTAGCATAAAGAATTCCTCAGTAATCTGATTAGTGGGGCTCAAACGCGCAGGCATTCAACTCGAGTAACGAATGAGGGAAAACAAGCCTATCAAAGAGAAGAGCATATTCAACTACTTACGAATTGATTGATGGTGGGATGCAACCAGCCAGTGTTGATCGCTTTAATGGTAGCAATAGCTTCAAGTCCTCCGGCGGCACCCAAACAGTGCCCAATCATAGACTGCATTTGCAAAAAATTGCAGGTTCGTTACTATGTAACAAAAAGAGACTCCTCCAATGAAGGATCATTCATAATTATTCTTGTCGAAGCTTGCTTCAAGCCAAATTTAGGGACGTGTACAAACAATCCAAGCCATAAGGTCTAACTTAAGATATACATAAGCATGCTCCCCGGGAGCAAGATACGTGACCTGCTTACCTTTGTGGCGTTCATCTTGATTTCTGAGCTATCCTTGAAGACTTTCTTCAAGGCGTTAACTTCTGCCAAGTCCCCAACTATTGTGGACGTAGCATGGGCGTTAATGTAGTTGACCTGAGGTGCAAAATTAGATTCACAAAGGTGGTCAACAAATAGTTGGTGTCCAACGATAATAACGTACGCAATATGATATAAAATAACAAATTTCAATCGGATGAAGAGACGATTTTCAGTTCTCTTACCTCCTCTGGCGATACACCGGCATCTTCAAGACTTCTCTCAATACAAGACGAAACACCAAGCCCATCCGCACGAGGGTCAGTCATATGGTATGCGTCACAGTTTACAGCACCTCCAAGATACTCTGCAAGGATCGGTGCTCCTCTTTTCAAAGCATGCTCCAGACTTTCCATAACCTAAACACAGAGCGATTGACATTGGTTACTAGCGACAAAGTCTGCCTCAAGCTTTACGTCGTACATCTCTGTGGGACACACGAAGAAGAATATGAGCTCCCTCAGCTTGTATTGACAATATTAGAAAAGACCTTGGAGGAGTCTTTTGTATCCAATTTCGAATACTGTTAGTAACTGCACCCGACCACAACTCCACAACTTTCCGCCAACCAGTATAAAAGACGTGCAGGATGTCGTTTGCAAGGAGCTTACCAATACACCAGCACCCTCTCCCATAACAAAGCCTTCACGGTCCTTGTCCCAGGGCCTGGATGCGGTTTGAGGATCATCATTCCTTGTAGACAGAGCACGACATGCAACGAAGCCACCCAATCCAACAGGAATGATCGCCGCTTCTGTACCGCCGGCGACCATGATATCAGCCTCGCCCCTTCGAATGTGGTTGGCAGCAGCATAGAAACAGTAGTTGGAGGTAGCACACGCGGTGGAGATGGAGTAATTCGGCCCCATTAAACCCAATTCGATAGCCAGAAGAGCAGACGCCATGTTGGTGATGGCGTAGGGAATGAAAAATGGTGTAATTCTCTTGTAACCCTTCTCAATAAGAGCTTGAACTCCGTCAGAGAAGACAGACAATCCACCCATACCAGTTCCAACCAAAACGCCAACTCGTTGTTTGTCAACCTACATAGCAACACCGATAAATATTAGTAAAGCTTAAGGTACAGATGGAGGAGTTTACATAGGAGTGCAGGACAATATCCATATGTAATAGCAGTGTAATGTACCTGGTTCAAGTTCTCTCCACCCAAACCCGCGTGCTCCAATGCCTTCTGTCCACTGACCAAACAATATCTAAGACAGTCGTCCAATCGTCGGTCATTCTTGCCATCAATGTAGCCTTGTGAACTGAATCCGCGAATTTGACCACCAAATTTGGTAGGGAAGCTGGAAGCGTCGAATCTATCGATGAGAGAAATTCCGCTCTGCCCTTCCAGGAGTTTGTCGTAAAAGACATCGACGTCATTTCCGAAGACTGAGACGACGCCCATGCCTGTGATCACCACTCTCTTCTTCGGGTCTGTCTCTCTCTTGGGTGCGGTGACTGTTGCTGCCATTGCCCTTGCTCCAGCTCTCCTGGCTCCTGATCAAGAGAACGAGGGAACGTAAAGAACAGAGTATCTCCGGACCACTCACTAACATACATGGCAGCCAACGCAGTTTTACGTTAACCTCCGATTCCACCAAAGAACTCACCACATTGCCTTGTAAAACACTACCTTTGGTAACAGGACAGCCAGGTCCAGATAAAGAGCATTCCCGTTCCAATGCATCACTCACAGTTGGCGCTTTCTCGGGAGTTGCAAATAAGGGGCATTGAGTTTCACTAGTTTCGGAGGTACAGACCCGAAAATTGCAGAATAAGAATAAGAATAAGAAATGAGAACGAACGACAAGATTCATGTGTACATAACTCGATGTCTTGGTGACCCAGCAGGAAAAAGACGTGCGCGAAAAACACCCGAGATGATGCATTGTTCGAGTTAGAAGAATGCACTCGAAAGCTCGACATCAGACTCGACATGCATGCGTCACAAACACGATCAGCGTGGCGTACCAAATCGGAGCTGCGCAGAAGAAGTGGACACATTGCTCGCTCTCAAACGAGAAACCTCGGACACCGCAGGAGCATCGACTGCTCTGAGTCCCTGAAATGTAGCTCCGACCACGGCACTTGCAGCTGCCATGGCTCCCTCCTACTTCAAAAATTTGATCTCAGGCAGCCGCAGCGAGTCGACAATCTGTACTTCTACAACAACCAAAAAATAGTACCCAGAATGATCCCCAATCAGAACCAAGCTCTACCATCAGAGAAAACACTCACACCCTCGAAATCCAAAACCACGGATTCATGTTGCCCCTCACAACCAGCCCTCTTACTCATCCTCCTACTCTCATTGCCCCACGCCAACTCCCGTACTAGTGATCCAATCTGCCCCATCCCAGGACACTGGCAGAGCCGCAAAGGCCTGGATCCTCCACAATGTCTGGCCGCACAAGACCACCCTCCCCCATCGACAAGAAAACCTGACATGCCATACTTATCCAGCGCCCTCACCTCGGATCAACGAGAGTTTACGAAACTCGCGAGCAGCGGAAGCAGCAGCGGAAGCAGCAGCAGCAGCAGCAGCAGGTGATGCGACGATGCCTCGCTCGTCTTCTATCAATGAGAGGCAAGGAAGGCGCGGGCGAAGTGAAGCAAGGAATGCGCCCGGAGCGGAAGAAGGAGAGGGAGAAGGAGGAGGAGGAGGAGCAGGAGGAGCTCGATCGACTCGACTCGTCCGCCTGCGCTGCTGCGCTGCGCTACGCTCCTCTGCTCTGCTCTGCTGAAATGGCGCGGGGCCGGGCGACCCTCAGAATGAGGAACACTGTCCGTCGTTGTTGGAGCCGCTAAACCTTTAGCGGCTGGCTCCGCGGCGGACACTGCGAGGCTGTGCTGTCGAGTCCGCCACACACGTGGAGACCTCCTCATGCGCAGCGGACATTTCAAAGCCCCTCTCGTCGTCGTCGTCGAGTTGTCACCTTCCACCATTCTTATTTAGTGGCATCTCGACCCTCGAGACAGCCCGCACATAGCCGTACGCCCTCTGTATACGCTGGGAGGCCAGCGCCGTCTACTTTGACCGGAAACACAACGAAATTTCGGATTTCAAATACGAGCGGAGGGGTTTCTCTACATTTGTCCATGGCTCTAGATCTAGAGGCAGATCTACATTTGATGATGGCCGACCTTTGGAGACCAGCCCCTTCCCCTTAGCGGTTCACCCGAGTCCGTCCAGTTCTGTCCTCGTCATACTCGTCGGAGTGATGTGTCGTGATTGGTTAACCGTACACTGAGGCTGAGACAGGGTTCATCCACCCAATACCACTTGGAGATGAGATGCTGAGCTGGTCAGTGACTCAGACCGCGCCCTTTCCCCTTCATTTGCCTTCGTGACCCGCTCCCGCTTCGGAAATTTGTTGCCGCCGGTCACTTTACACCAACATCTCTCTCCCCGTCGCTGCTCTTTTCAACGTCTTCAATGCGCACACGACTCCTCGTTTACAACAGATCCGTGGTCAGTGAGTGCATGGAGGTTCCAACCCTTCCTGCTATGTGAACCCATGTGCTCCACGGGAAACCATTCTGACGTTGAATTTGTGTTCGCCAATTTAATGTGCAAACAGCACCCTTTTGTTCGAGAACTCAGAGGATCCAGAAAGTTTTGTAATAGAATACCTTCATCGAACTCTTGCTGTACGGAATAGCCTGCTGAGATATTTATGGGTTTGTACTGTACTGGTGAGGTCTTCGGTACAAGGGATGTGAGAAAAATCGTTAACCATACTGTTAATTGCCCTGATCACAAATTGTCATTCTTAAGGCTGGTGTTCATTCTGCTTTTCTGACAAGATTGATGGGGTATCTTGAATCGCGACTGCACTTGCATTTTTCCTCTTGTCTGGATCTATCTGCCAAAATAAAAGATACTTAGAAACCCAAACCTTATTATTAGTCATATTATTGGATGAAGATCTACCATCATAATGAAGATGACATGAAGACCTTCAAAATTTGTGAAAGCAGAACAAAGCTTTTTCGCTGGAAGCCAAGCTCTCGGAAGTAGGTCTTTCATGACAAAAACGGTGTCATACATTTAAGAATTCCAATGTATGGCCATGTCTACACGAGCGCTCTGTTTTCGACTGGTCTTTTGGAATCCACCCAGATGCACCTTGATCAGCTGATGGCACCAGAAACACCCTAGTAGTTGAAGGAAGAATGAATCATAAGATTTGGTTGGAACCATAAAACTAAATACTCTCATGAGCTCAAACTTATGGGGGCAGTATATTAAAGAAGTCCACAGAATGATTTTCTCCACTACCTTCTCATACGACACTACATCGCAGTGCTTTGCTTCTTTACCGCCTGTGAGTGCTCGCAGTGCTACATGTACATCGGATGAAGAATGTCTTTCAAAGTTGGGGTCGCCGGCATTATGAATACTCTGGATTTGGAAAGTTCAACAAACAGCCTTGATTTTCGAATAAGGTCATAGATATGGGCTTGTACCTTCTGAGTTCACCGCAAGGTACATACCGGACCGATTAGAAAGCAACGTCTAGTCTTTCCGGATAGTGTCGGACGAAAAACAGTGTGTGATCAGTAGGTTTCACTCACATGTGACGAGGTTTCGAAAATTTACTGATTCTGCTCCTGGTTCTGTACACAGAATTTTGCCTTTGCTCAAGGCTGGAAAGGACCAATAGAAATGTCGCTCATCGAGAACTTTAGCATTTCACGCAATCTGGCTACCCCAGATGAGGCCAGGTAGCATCCCGTGCTCTACAGCTTTCGAAAAAAGAGTGCCGCAGAACGAGACAACTACATGAGCACTGCCTGGACAGCCATCGAACTAACATTGAGACTCCCGAGCGTCCCTTTCCAGGCCTGGACCCGGGGATTCTTTTCGCTAAACCCTGGACTCTGGTATACAGGCACTGAAATCTATCAAGCAAACTTATCATTCGTTCTCTTATGGTTCGTTATAAGATGTTCTGCCAATGGAATTCTATGTACCATGAACCTTCATAGCCGGCCGTTCATGTTCGTACAGTAATATGTCTCATGCCCGTCCAACAGACAGCTTCTGCCATCGGCATGACAACCTAAGTCAAGAGCCTTCACCTACTGTCATACGATGAATAGCGTATGTAGACAATCACCAACATATTTCTGCATATTGTCATCCATCTGTGGCTGGCAACCAAGGACGACGATAAGCCACTAAGTCCTATCCAAATTTCATGCATTACCATAGCCAACAAGTCGAGCCAACTTTCGGCTGATTTAGCCAGTTCAAAGGTGATGGACAAACAATGAGAGGTTGTGTCCGCTGTTGATAAACTTTTGGCCATATCTCAAATTTCCACATTTTGGGCCGAACGAGGTAGGAAATGCTCCAGATTGTGGGAAGCTTTGAACAACCCATCGGGACTTCTTTCATCACGGTGGTAATTTCCTAGAGGCCGTGCTAGTTCTTGCAACTGACACAACATAAGGTTTGATGCAAGGATAAACTTGAGATCCGCAAATCGGTCTCTATGTTCTTTGCGACACTCCCATATCTGGAGACTCATCCTGATTCTCTACAAAACTACGAGTCATTCAGGTCCACTATCAAAAAATCTTGAGGAATCTCATCTCAGAACTTCCCGAATTGAGGCCTTGCAGATCCGCACAGGGCCAGGGAGAGTTCTGCATCCGTATCTTTGTGATAATAAGTTGGGTTAAAATCATCTGAATCTATACAGATGAAAGAAGGGGTTGAAACCTACAAAACCAGCAGGATTTGTTGCCACTTGGTTGCTTTGAGCCCCCCATCTCGGTATCCCATTTTCTTCAGCAAACGATCTATTTCTCTAGCCCCGTTCTCGTCGCCTTCCTTTACACAGCGCCTCTGGATCTTCGACATGGTATCTCTTGCAGGTGTGTGGCCAGCGTTGACCTGTACATGGAGACCATACTCAGCCAGCTAACACAAACTGACAAGAGCTACTCACATGAATGCCCTAATTCTGCTTCATGTTCATGCTTAATATTCTTCAAGTTACTCTTTCCCTTTCGTTACTCTTATTGTGATTTACTTCCCGCATTGCAGATCTATGGGTAGAAAAAAGCTCCATTGACCCCCTATATTTACAGAATACTTCAGTGCACATGACAGCGACACAAAGCAAGAAACATCAGAGGGAGTCCTTTCCAAGCATAACATATTTCGTAAAATATAATAAGATCAGTAACGGAATGGATGGATTAACCACAGCGTGGAATCTGAAAAACCCCCTTGGTGCAAACTTAGCCCAGTTACGAAATGATGGGAGTATTTGCAGTTACGATGATAGGAGGTCAGATTACTCACCAAAGCATCCAAGCTTTCCATAGCCGCCTTTACGTCACGATTCACAACATGAGCCTCGATAATAAGGCTGTATGTTCGAGAATCTGGCCTAATTCCCATCTCACCCATGTAGCTATATATTTGCAGCACCTCGGACGTCTTTACCACAAAAATCAAGAACAATGTTCGATTAGACCAGACGAAAGACAAAACTCAATCATAGTAGCTCACTTAAGATGCGCTGACGAGAAAAGCCAATCTGCACAATTACACCTGATAAAAAGTGATGAGTAATGTTCCTGCTTACCTTCCTATTCTTGCCAAAAACATCCAAGAGGGCGTTGCAGGAGTGCACATCAGGCATTAGTCCAAATGTCGTTCCAATAGCCTCAAACGTTTGATAAGCTCGGTCGTAGTCCCAAATATTAGAGCATCCCTGAATCACACAATTGATGGCAGCTAGAGCCACGGGCTTGCCTGCTGCGTGCATTTCAGCAAGTTTGTAGTAGGCCTGCTTGCAACAATGCATTCCAATTAATATGGCAGGAGGAACAGATATACCAAGCATTCTATTACCTCATCAAGCTTTCAACGACTTGGAAGTCACTTTCGCAAGTTCATCAACAACTAGGCACGCAGTAGTACGCAAACAAAGTAATAACAAACAGCGTAAAATGCGAAATGTCAGCTCGGCCTCACCGCATCTAGAGCTGCAGCTCCTCCTCGCGTACATGCTAGTACAAGAGGACGCAAGGAGGTGAATGGAGAAAATATATTCGTATCAGCGGCGTACTCAGTATCGTTGTAGGCTTCTTGCATCTCATGCAGCGTGCTGAAAGCTGTATCGAAGTCCCCTCCAGCGGCAAGAGCATGGATACGTGCATGATAGCTTGAAGGACGAGGGGTTTTAGTCCCACGAAAGGAGGCGCGAAGCATGGACCACGCTTCAGTGGACAATTCGATATCAGCAGCCCGAGCAGCACAGGAAAGGATAGCGTGAATGCCACCTTCATCCATAGTCAAATTTCTAACCGACTTGCTGAGTTCTGATTCTGATAAAACTCGTAGGGCAAGGAGTGCACACTCAGAGTCATCAACCTCGGTTGCGGCAACGGCCAATTCCGCGATGCTCTGAACTTGAGGGGCGACGTTGTACTTCTGCAAACCACAATAACCAACAAAAAATTTAAGAAATTCAAGCTCCGTGTGATCCGGCTGATTTGGTCAGTGGACATACAGCTGATCACAAAGTACCAAGAAAGTATCATCTGGCCATTGAACTGAAATCTGCTGATCAGAATACAACAGGGGTAGTGATAATTACCTTCAAATCCTTCAGTAGTGATACGGCAACACGAGTGCGGTGCAATCGAGTAGCAGTGAGTAACAGCTCATTGTAGGTCGTTTTGCTGGGCACGTAACCCCTGTTATACATGGATTGCAAATGCTTCAACCCGGCGTCGAGTCTTCGATCCAAGGCACAGAGCACAATTACAAAGTTGTATGAGTCGCCGTCCGGCTGGGCTTCTGGTCCACGTTGCTCCATTCTGGTGAAAATTCATCAACAGCTTGTTAGGCAGCAGAAGTTGGAATGTAACAATCTGATGATCGAGCAAATCAGTTTGAGACACCCTCAGTAAGCACAAACGACGTAATCAAATCTGTCCTCATGAGGCGATTTTCACAATTTGACACGATCGCATCTCATCTGAGATCCGTCACTGTGCTAATATCAGAATTTCGTAGAGAGGAGAGCATAAGGTGACTTGCCTCGCTATAATCTTCTCTGCCATTATCGAATCACGATGTCGAAAAATCGCCCGCAGCAGGAAGTTGAAGGTCAACAAGTTTGGATTTATACCGCTCATCTCCATCTCCTTGAGCACTTGTAGCAGATTCCTTGGATCAGCTCCAATTCGCAACTTGGCATGGAGCAACAGATTGTAAACCATTAAGTTAGGAACCTTTGGCTTTCCATCGAGACCCGGACTCTTCACCCATTCTTCAAAAAGTCGAATGGTTTCCTCGAGCTTACCAAGAGACAGGAGATTAGACATTTCTCTTCCCAAAAATTCTAGGCTAAGGCTCCCAACGTTGGAGGGAGGGCTCAGACCCGCAGGAAGGCCCGCTGCAGGATGAGGGAGAACAGAGAATCCAGAGAGAACGGGACTGTAACTGCGGAGGGGAGATGATACAGCGCTATAGCCTGCAGCGGGTTGAGGGGCAGGGACTTCGGATTCCGACGGAGGCTGCGACTCCGAAGCACTGGTACTGAAATTCTTTCTTCCATACGTAAAAGCGCCAAGATTAATTTCTCCGATGCGATGAGCTAGATCAACGGATTCATCGATGCCCTGAGGCTGGCTGAGAGAAAATGTGACAAATTCCCGCGAGCTTGATGAGGACAGAGGGAAGGAAGACAAACTCCTGCTTAAACCCTGCACACTTAGCCTATCCAGTCTCAAATGCCTCGCAAGACACTTCGATGACGCCCTCAACGAAGCCATGTTTTCCCCACAGATAAATCGTCCTGCTTCAAAGTGCGCTTATCCCGGCGTCGAAATTCCCCAGGCCATGCAATTTTTGCCAAACCCTAACACATCAAATCAGCTCGCCGGGTCACGTCACCTCACGCCGGGCACACGCTCCAGCTCCAACATCAGCGAAATCCGAATCCGAATCCTCGCCGATCAAAGAACATCCGTCCCAGCTCCCTCCATATTCTTCAGCTCCAACGATCGCATCTCCGGTCTCGTTGTTCGTCGTTCATCCCCATCGATCGATCGTCCTCGTGCTCCCCCGATTCGTGACAGCCCTCGAGCACACTCGACGCCTCGTAGCCTCCTTCATTCGTCGTCCACAGTCCAGTCTAGGGGTCCCGAACTGCAGTTCTATCACCACGACGTGGTGAGTCCGCTTTCGCAACCTCGTGCCGAGGTCCCACTTTCGCAGTCGCCGTCGCAGTCGTCCGTCTATCTCCGTGTATCCACCGCGAGATCCTGGTTTGGCACTAGACTGCCATCGTCGATTCCGTTCGCGGCTTCGACGCCTACTACGGCCCAAATCTGGCCTCGCTCGTCGCTCACGTGTCTCGCTTCGTCGACACCGTGGCCTTCGCTCGCAAGGGCTTTCACTTTCTCGTCCTACGTGGCAATCTGTTTATAACCTAAAAAGATCCTATTTTTCGATAGTGTATTGTGGACTGGGGAGTTTAGGGTTAACAACAACCGCCGGCTGGTCCAAGGTTCGTTAGAGTAGGAACGTCCATTTTTCATTTTCTTCTTCTTGAGATTCTTAGGCAACGCCCCATTCCAAATCAATTAGTTTGTAGCCCTTCATTATTTAGATGTTTCATCAATACTTGGAAAAGGAGTCCATTCTATGGTCAATGAGAATGGACAAAGCTTTTACTTTATTGTTACGATCATAGAAGTAGAAAGGAGGTGCATGGGAAAGAAAATGTCATGAAAAATCACCCAAGGGCCATAACGGTATGATGAAATTCCAAGTAAGTGAAGACCAAGTGAACGAATTAAAGCGTGGAAAGGCTTTTGAAACTCAAATCGATTATCTTTTACCAGTTTGGATAGTCTAAAGTTGACTGCATTCAAGTAATCCTAAATGCAAATGCAAAGTAGATATTTAGACAAACAATAACTCTCTCTCTCTCACACACACACCTTTCTTTCAATTGCAATAGCGTACCTCGTTTCTCTGCATTGTAGTGCCCAAGTCAATCGAGTGCTGAATGTTTAATGAGAAGTACAAATATGTGAAAATAATGTAAATGTGATCGGTTTTTCTCATCTAGTCATTGTTCTCGCTTCTTCTCCTGGCAAGTCTCAGCTCCAGTGCTCATCTCTGCATGCAGTCAGGGTGGCATATGATGACGTTTGTAGCATAGTATCATGTAGGTCATTTCCACGACCATAATAAGCTCCACAATCATCATCCAACTCCTCACAGATCTCACTGATGTAATCACATTGATTGTATATGTTTAGGTAGATCTAGAAGAGTAACAAAAGAAATGTATCATATCCTCTCTTATCATATTAACTCTTCATGACCAAACATGTATATGAGAGTATCAGAATATTGACATCAACTTTAGTTTATCTTAAGAACGATAAAGTACTAAAAGAAATCTAACGGTGGATTCAAAACATGTTATATAGTATTTGTTTCATGAATTAAATACCTTACATCACTTAATTAATCATAATTTTTCAAAAATAACCATTAAAGTTCAATCACATTTAAGTGTTATTGTTTTCTTGATCACTCATTACTAACAGAATTTGAATAAATCAAAGACTAAGTTTTTCCTTAATCGATGCTTTACACAACCTCAGTCTAGCTTCAAATTAACCAGTTGATCTATGGTAGTTTTTTTTATGAAATGTCAGAAATAAAAATTATAACCTAATTTATTTCCGAATATTATGAGTCAACTAGGCACTACAGACAAATCAGTTACTATAATCATTCTAAATTGAAAAATATTAACCTTTATTTAAAAAATTGATTTAGAAAATAATTGCTGCTAATTTTATTTTGAAATTTATTTTATGCTAATTTTTTTTAAAAATTAACTTTTAAATAATGGAAGATTTACATAAAGTGAAATCACTTTATGTAAAATATTCAACTATAATTTTTCTTAGATTTTTTCAATAATATATTTTTTATGACATTGGCATTTTTAACATGTTTTACATGTTAAAAATGCCAATGTTAATTGTTCAAGCGATTTATTTAAATTTTCAATTAATGTGATATGATGCAATAATCAATCTTGAAAGCTGTTGACTTGAATATATGCGCTCAATGTAAATTATTGATCGGCTTAATTGATCTATTTATTTTCAAAAACAACAATGTATATTGTGGTATTCATGCAAACGAAAGATGAAATAATTATACATTGATATAAAGTATTGAACAAATGATTAAAAAATTTATTAAAGCTTTTTAAATATAAAAGTTTATTTATGATGATAAAGTTTATCATTCATGTTTAGTTAGTTTTTTTTTGGATATGATAAAATATTAACCTCACTCTATTGATATTTTTATGATGTTTAAGACATTACTAATTAGTACCAATAAAATAAATTTTATCCTATATATATACACATACATACATAAAAATCATAGAAAATTTCATTATATAATTATAAAATGTAATAACAAACTCAAAGTAAATATTACTTCAATGAAATTTAAAATTTAAAGTTATTGTGAGACAAAAAGCACACATATCGTTTTAATCTAATTGAAAATTGGGAAAAAATAAAAAAATTACATTTTAATTTAATAAAAAACAATCAATAATTCATGGAAGTTTAGTTGTAGGTATTTTTTGCCATGAAATCACTTACATATTTGTTTCATATGCTAATGTTTGCACTTTACAATAAAACCAGATATGTTTGTTTATTTTTTTTTGGTTTGATTAATGCGTTTTCATGAACAAATTTATATGTTGTTGATTACTTGCTTAAAATAAGATGTGCATTAAATTAGATGAGTATATGACAATACAGTCCAAAAATTATGTGTTAAGTATAAAATTACTTTGCATGAAGAGTTTATTGAAAATCATATAGATATTTTACATATTTTGATTTTATGATTGTATTGATAAAGTTTAATTCTAAACTCATTTGATAAAAAAATATTTGAGAAAGAAAGAAATAAATATTTAGTTATTTCATCAAATTTTTGTAACTAGTATTAGTGTAAAAAATTGCTCTAGTTTTTCATTAAACCTTTTTTTTATCTTGAAATGATGATCTTTGCCATATCACATGGACTCAATTTTAGAACTCTCTAAAATATTTTGCTTATTTTCTGCAATGCATGCCTCTATACTCAAGTGACATGTCAAGTAAATCAAATGTTAAGTTTCACGTTTGCATTTATGTAAACAATTCCTTTACTCTAGATAAAAATTATTATAGGTGATTGCATCAATTACAAACCAATATTATTTGTTGTGAATTAACTCAATACTATTGCAGATATACTAAGTGTGATTGAAAGATAGAATGGATACATGAGATTGATTGCTATCGAACATATTATATTGACATATATTTCTATCATTGTGCTAATTCATCATGCTTCATTTTTCCATTTCTATTACAAAATTATTCACAACAATTTGAAATCTCCACACAAGGAAATTGTTAAACAACATCATCGGACTTCAGACTTCTTTTGGATGTGTATCAAATTGAATTTTCTTCTAGATATATGTTGAAAATTACTGTATCACTGTCTCATGTAAATCTTTCTTAATATGTGGCTAGAGTATCTTCTTCGAGTGTCATTTATTGAGGAAATTTTCCTCGTCTCATATTTCTTTCACATCGTGAGATTTAATGATATGCAATCAGAATTACATAATTATCTGTTATTTCTACACTGAAATATTTTTAAGCCATGACTATTATTCAACATGAGAGTTGCTATTCATGAAGGCATCATCATCAAAGTTACAAACATGGTGTACTTTGATGAATAAATTTGTCATACATTTGACAACCAAATTTCATATGGTAGGCTTAAATGTCAAAGTATAAAGTGCAACTCTATCCTCAATTAGAGTTATCATGCGGATGTATGACATCTGGGACAAATTGTAAGATTGCTAGTTAGCTCTCAATTTCCATCCCACATGTTCTTCACAATTGTATTGGATAAAATTGTAAATCATGTAGATGAACTTCTATTTTATATATGCGAGTTGTGTTTGGTATACAAACACCATTTGTATATACATATCTGTTTGTGATTTGAGGTTTGGCAAGAAGAGAGAAATCTCTGCCGATTCCATGCAGAGTGATATAGTAGGCATTAATTTTAATATTCTTGGAAAGTTGGGCATTCTCTAGTGATTGCAAGTAGACCTAGATTCTGGTATCTGGCCATGTAAATAAGCGTCGATCTATTGCATGAAGTTTACACAATACTACTGTAATATACACAGCCCCTCACTTCAGATCGAAGATGAGGTACCTTTCTATTCACTAAACCATGCGACCGCTACATCGCTGTTCCAAGGGAAGAAGAAAGGTTTACACGGGCACGAGTGATCAGATAATTGAGGGACGAACAGAACAGAACGGAACAGAAGACACGAAAGTGACGTGCAGGACGTGCCGATTTCGATTGAGCAATTCTGTTGAAGATGCAGAGCAAAGCGGATAAAAAATGATCCGCGCAACATTTTCAGCAGGATGCACATTGACGTAAGCCAATGCTTCAGGTTGTTAATCTCTTCCAGCGATTCCAAGCTCGACTCTGTCAGTAACGCTGTGTGTCGGTCAAATGCCTGGAGATTTGAGTCTGTGATGCGGAGAAAAGTGACATTGTCTGTAATGGAGTAAAGGATTGCGCTGGCGGCCCTCGAGTGCAAGGCGCCATCCACTTGGAGAACTTTTCCGAGAAGGATAGGCCAATTTCGTTTGTGTCTGAGAAAGATGGTGCAGAATTCGAGTGGCATGCCGATGCCTGGAATTCCCACGCTGAGGACAACGTGTGTCACGTCCTACCAGACAGAGTAAGCTTAGCAGCCTCGAAATTGGTCGATCCCAATGCCAGTAGAACCGCAGGGGAAGCAGACGAACCGCTGAGGTGAAATAATTTTGCCAACCAAAGTGCTGGTAGCAGAAAATGTGCGCTAATTTGAGAGTGGCACACGAACGTGGCCAAGAGGCCGATCCGAGGTGCAGAAAGCTTTCAAGCTACAGGCATCGGTGAATTTCAAAAAGATTTTGAATGATGAATGGCTAGGCAGCCGGAATCGCTTTGCTTCACGACATCCTTGAGTTTCACCGAGGAAATAGTCTCAGGATCTAGAGCTAGCTAGGCACTTGGACTCAGAAATTTTATTTTTTTGGTTTTTGGAGAGAGAGGTAAGTGCAAATAAGATTTTCTTTGCAATCGAGAGAGATCTTGTCGAGAATATGTGGGATGGAACACTTTCTGCCGCGGATTTCCAGTATGCATCGAAGGAGTTTATGAAATTGTGGAATCATGAGGAGTGTAACATGAACCAGTGGAGTTGGGAAGAGAGGCCGGAGTCTTCTGTGAGTATGATTTGTTATTATTCATTATGTCCAAATATGTCGGAAGTGTAATTGAATTCAAATCCTATACATATACTGGGCTATTTGTAAGTCAAGTGTCAAGAAGTAGAAGAGTCTCTGTTTGCCATCATAGTAGAAACTTATTGTTTAGCTGACCATGATCGCAGGCTCAAGGCTATCTGATTCTGGAAGGAGTAAGCCTCCCGGAGATAGAAACACCATTGATGCATGAATCCTTGTCAATGGTAAGCCCGGACCGTTCAATGATGAACAAATTTCGGCTTGAATTTCGTCACTCATGGTGGAAACTCCACGTTATTTTCTGGCAAGATTACACAGCCTGGCAGAAATTGTCACTTGGTAATTGGCAGAAATTATCGATTATCTCTTTTGTACTTGATGTCTAGTTGCTAGATGTTCTAGAATCAAGTGTATAGCTTACTCGTAGGGCAGAAGTTTATAGTTTTTCGGTGGGTCTACATTTGCAGGAAACTGATGACAAAGAAGAACTTTTCTCAGATGATGCAACTCTGGTAAGTTGCCATGACTGTAACCTTGCACCTTGGCAGTGTCACGTGACGAGAAACAGAACAAAATATCAGGGTCCTCCAGTTTTGGATAGAGAAGTCAACCTCTGATCGGATGATCTTTAGGTCGAGTAACTAAGTTGTGGAAACCATCTGCAGACCGACCTTACAAGCCAACCTTCTCGCTGTACGTATCATGTGATCTACAACGAGTCGTACAACGTACCAACCATTTATTTTCGAGGGTATCATTCAGGTACAAATTACAGTTCCAAGCATGATAATGAGTGTGGTTGCTTCCAATGTTACAACTTTTCTATGCTTTCAATAAGTCCAGAGTGTTTAATGCACTTTATAATATCAGATGGCAGCCCTATCAACTGGCTCGATATTCACATGTCGCTCCCATCGCATCTAGCACAACAAATGGATCAGAATAGGTGGACGTTTCTCACCCAAGAGGTAAGTCAGTAGAAATCACGACGAGTTGCAGTTCTGTCTTCCAAATCCAGTCTGAGTTTTCGGACTGTAATCCTCTAACAGGTAAAAAGTATTGTAGGTTGTAAAGTTTTTTAAACTTACCGTCAATGGTACAATCTGAGCATTTGCTTACCTCTTTTCACTTGTTGCCATTGGGTTCTCAATGTGTTGTCAGGAGCACCCATATTTGCACCGACCATGGTTCATGTTACATCCTTGTGGCACGAGCAGTATCATGTCTCTAATGTCCACTGAGAGACTGAAACAGAAAAGTAGAGGGTATGCCACTCCTCCTGAACCTAGAAAACGAGGGGAGGGAGAGGATAAACAGGCTGTCCCTTCTCGGTCCTCAGACTTGGAATTCGACACAAAGCTGGAATTCATACCATCGATCCGAGAAGCTCCCACGAATCAAGTGGGAAATTACAGGGACCAATATCTCCTTACTTGGTTGTCGTTCGTAGGACCAGCTGTGAGATTGCCTGTACCTCTTGATTTGTTCAAGTCCCTTAATTGACTTGGTGGAATTTCCATATCAGCCAGTTCTCCTATTATAGTGAGCAATTACGACACTTGTGTGGTTTTCAAACACAAATTTTCAGCCTCGTAATTTCCCACCTTGAAATGGAGACTTGAACCCAATTGCAACCGATGTGGTACAAGGCTCATAAGAAGTGTGAGAACTTTTCAACCGAGGGTCAAATTCAGGAGAGAGATCTTTCAAGCTAGAGTAATGGTAACACGGAGCTTATATCCTGTCTCTGACTACGTACCAATTGCAAGAAACACTCTTTTCCTCCAACTTATTCTAGACAAAAACTTGACTGAGCAAGAACATCGTGTTCAAGACAACAAATGTCAAATTCAGGAGAGAGATCTTTCAAGCTAGAGTAATGGTAACACGGAGCTTATATCCTGTCTCTGACTACGTACCAATTGCAAGAAACACTCTTTTCCTCCAACTTATTCTAGACAAAAACTTGACTGAGCAAGAACATCGTGTTCAAGACAACAAATGACTAACGTATAATCATGTTGAAGAAGTAAGGAAATGCCACCATCCAGGTGGTCAAGTCTTTTGAACTAATTCAATCTATACAACTGACCAATAAAGGTACATGTGAGAAGGTGTGCAGTTTGTACAATGAAAGTTCTTGGCATGCCACAGAGCCCAACATTGGTCAGAAAAGATTCTTGAAGAGCTTCAGCTGGTATCTATGTCGCTATAAGTCTCGGAAGACGTGCCTTATGTACATGTATGATTACAGTCCCGCAATCCAGCCCTTGCAAAATTGCGGCGTCAAAGCACCCTCCAGCTGACAACACGGACCTTACGTTACAGAAACAAACTTCAGTCAGGTCTTCGAACATCCCGATGTCCTGAATGCATGGACGATTCGATCTGAAATCTCCTGTCCAAACAAACGTGGAAGATTGACTGAGAGATCAACTTCTATCCCCAACGTCTTGATCTGGTTGTCTCTCTTAACCATGTCATCGACATTTGTCACTGGCAGGCCACGAGTACGAAAGGATTCAACCCATTCCTTGACCATTTTTTCAGACCCAGGATAGACCACATTTTCGATTTGTTCCTCCAAACCGCCACCATCTACCTGTGTACTGGAACTCAATTTGTACAACACAGCTGTAGGTGACACAACGCTTCGGATGAACAGCACAGAAGAAATGTAGGGCTTGGATTCGGGAGCCGTTTCGAATAGCTGCCTTATCTTGTCAAGATCTGGATCTTCGTAAAAACGTTTCTGGTATTCCGCCTCCATCACCAGGTCCTTTCTCGGAAGATGATCCAGAACGACCACAAGGCTCGGACCACTTTGGATGAACTCAAACAAAAAGTGTGGTGAATCTGTCTCGGGACCCAGCATGACCACCAACGTAGCAATATCTAGAGTCCCGAAAGGCAGTGTTGCGTGAAGCCAAGATTCCAGAGTGAAATCCACCTGCAAGGAATTACATGCAGACAAATCTGTCCGAACTTCAGAAACGGCACCAGCTCTCGCACCATTGACACATCCAACGGCACTTACATCTTCCCTCAAAAGAAGGTTCCATGTTCCATAACAATCGTACTGCTCACAATCCTGAACTCGACGAAGCCACGAGATGAAAGTATAGGTGTGAAAGCAAATCTCTCTGACGTCGGCTCTCTTCCTGAGTGACAGTTTACTAATAAATAGACACCCAATTTTCTGGTTGTGCAGTTTGAGGGAAAGAAAAAGTCTATTATAATGTTTGATGTAGCTACCTACAAGCTCCTAATGTTTGGAAAAGAGCTCATGGGAAGGATGTACACTTCAAGAAGAATGTCGCAGCATTGAAAAAGAGAAAGCACCTGGAAGAGAGAAGCGGTAAACTTGGAGGAAGGCATAAGAGGTGAATATCTTGAACAGAGGAGAAGATCGAGAACTATGTCAGTGTTGGTCAAGCTGACCCTTACAGTGTCCATCAGTGTGTGCGCAAAGAGCAAATATTTACAGAAACTCAGTCGATCACGTGGTATAGTCTTGCGGCCATAAGGGTGTACATGGTGGATGAGTAGACGGTCAACGGACTTCTGAATGATCTACTTTCAATTCGTGAACTAGGCTGACTTTGTGTGGAACCTTAGTACCGAATTTCTCGCATCAAACAGATGACCTTTTCAGAACGGGGGAGCAGAAGATCAAGGCATTCCAGAGGGCATCAGAGTTGTGGATATGACGAAATTAAACACCCATTGCAAAAGCACAATACTTCCCTTACATGCTGTCAGATCAATCACGGATCTCGTTGTACAATCGCAGAACTGCATCTAAAATTAGAACAATCAAAATGGGCGACACAGGTGTCATAACAAAAACGTGATCAAGTTCGCACCTTGGAGTCATTTCCAGCTCGCAAAAAAACCGAACCCTCGGCATTGCCCTGTTCATTTTTAAAATACCTAACGTCAGAGGGTGTGGTGCTGCTCTTCAGAAAAGGGCCAAGCTCCTGCTCCAGAATCGAGCACACATTCGTCATAACATTCTGACCCGCCCGAGAGAGAAACGGGAAGCGTCTACCATCGATTGGCATACTGCCACGGCCGATCCCGTCCATCTCTCCGAACGTACTCTCAGTTGCGGCAGCTCTGGCGCGTCCAGGCTTCACTCCTGCGTCGAGCCATCGCCATCGCCATCGCGGCTGCCGACCACCACCGGCTGCCTTCGAGCACTGCAATCGGCTGGAGGAGAGAACCGACACACGCGGCGTCCGAAAATCGATCGAGGACGACCCCAAATTACGGATTGCCAGAGAGGAAAGCGTGCATCTCACCACGTCCATAATTCGCCCACCACCTGCGCTGCGAGCTTGGATCCTTTCGCTCGTCACGTTTGCACCGCGTCAGACAATCGAGCACACCCTCAGCACATCCACTGTCCCGCGAGAGAAACGTTGTGCGCACGCCATCTCGCCCGTCGATCACGAGATCACGAGATCACGAGACGAGGACTGGCCCAGCGACGGACCGACTCGGCATCGAGTATTCTTCCCGCACGACTTCTGATCCAATTTGCTTCCTCATCAATCTGCGCTTCCACTCATACGATTTCTGAACATGACGAACGAGCTTTCTCCATGGCTTGCAGAAAGCCGCACCTCGAATATTCTCTACCGAAGTTATCGTACAAAAGAAGCATACGTAATTCTTCAATGTTCGTTAATTTTGCTACATTCGTTGCACTTCTAATGTTTTAAATCTAAATAATCTTATCATGCAAAAATTATTGTTATATAATTGAAAATAAGTTGATCACATTTGTAAAAAATAATAACTTACACTACTGTCAATACATTTCATTTAGACATTATGAAATCAGATTTTATATTAATAATATTTTTTTTGCAATTAATAAAAGTTATGATACATCTACATTTTGGGAGTTTTCACTGTAAGTGGCACCGAGTGATATAGCGACTTGAATGGGAGGGATCAACCCATCTAGCCGGCTGGATATGAAAACAAATGGCAAGATCTTCCAAGCACCACCACAATATCATACTAGTACTCGCAACTTCAATATACACAAACCATCTAGATTAAAATGTCAACATTGGCATTCCAATGAGCATAATCTGAAATAGTTTCTCTACTCAAGAAATCTTTAGCTATTTGTGGAAGAATGAAATACAATCAACTGAAGAGAAGTTACATTTTAACCATCTACTATTTTCTTCCATCTCTCCCTAACATGTAGAAATCTTCATTTAAAACTTTAAGGTTTGAGTGAATATGAGCTCAACTTTATACATATGTTTATAATTGAGAAACTGGTTGATTCTGCTACCCTTTGATGCTACGTTCCATGTAATGTCAGGTTCCATGATGTCTAAAACACTAATGTAATCTTTCACAACCAAGTGTAGGTTGGCTTTATTCTAGTCTCAACTTCTACTTTTATACGATCGTAGATATTCCCACCCTAATTCGTCATATCTCCTTGTGGCTGATGTTAAAACAGCAAGCAACGTGCCTTATTCACCATACATGATTTTGTATACCATCAAGAAATTATTATATGTATTTATAGCAAAAGTTTTCAAACTTATCCATAATGGTCAAACACTTTGAAAAATTTGAATTTTATTCCATGCTAAATTGTCTTCTTCTTATGAATAAAAATGATTGAATTGTATCATAAGTGATATTAGTTGACGTAAATTTGATTTTTTTAAGTGACAAATAGGTGAAAATAGCATTCATTGTATGAAATTTACGAAAATTAGGCATACAGTGAGACATATGTATCTTGATCTAGATGTTAATATTCGTTCTTTCAATTATTTAATTATATACTATACTTGCATAATTATAGTTTAATTATCATGAGACATTTCTCTTTCAAAATACAAGTTTTATTGTCATTTGTTTTTGAGTTTGGCAATATATAAAGAGTTTTTTCAATGTTTTAGATTTTTTTTTTATATGTATCTTATAATATTCATGGAGGTTTGAAGAATTATTTTTTCCTCTATAAAATAAATTTATTTCAATATTTATATATTATTCATCTTATGGAATTAATTGAAATTATGCTTGCTTTGAAATATTTTCAGTTTTAACATAACTGTAGAAACGTTATAATTTCTGCGGATGGAGTTTTATCAACACTCTGTTATAAATAAGTTCAAGTCTAAGTTTATCATAGCATTCATGATACACATTCAGAACAAAGAGTTAGAAAATCAGCAAGAAGCACAACCTATATCAACTCTTTCCAACGTCCTCTACATGTGATTCACTTAAGGTAAAGATTTTGAACCGAATAAAGATGGACAGAAATAAAACTCAAGCGAATGAATCCCAACTCTGTTATATTCCAAATTCAGATACTTACACGCTAAAATGAATTCTATAGATATTTCCGGATTTGAAGTGGGCTTGTGATCAATTTGTCATATCTTACTTGTGACAGCTGTGGTGCTACATATAGACAAGTACACTCGATTTCTCTATACATGAGGCGGAAATAAAAAACATTATTTCCCTCTCTAAAAACTACCTAAAAAGCGAAACAGATGAAAACTATGTAATACGAGGTCTTGTGATGTCCAAGGTACTTTGTGAGGCAGCTGCTTCGTACAATCTCACAGCAGCAAATATTTTCGTCGGAATATTTTCGTCGTGTGATGTCCAACCTTCTATCTTGCGTCTTGGAAGAGTTCGCTCGACTGGCGATCACTTCTCAAGAGCCTCATCGCAATCTTCACGGCAAACGAAGAAACGCTCCTCCACTGCTTCTCCTAATCTCCCATGGCAATGTCTTTCTCTTCTTCTCACCGATGATTTAGATGGTGACACTTGTTCGGGTGCGTCTGTCAGTCAGTATCACATCACATCATCAGAATATACATATCCACATGAATAGATCAGGTGCGAAGAGGAATTACTGTTCTTAATCTGCTGCCTGTCGAGTTCTGAAGGTCCTTTACCAGCTTAAGTACAACGCAGAAGCACTGAATCCTCGACTTAGAGTATGAATCGTAGATCACATGAATGCAAGAATCGAAACACAATACATACACAGTCCCCTCAGAGTCTGCAACACAGCATTTCGCTATCTCGTGGAGATCTACTTTTGAGAAAACTCTCGAAAGCCCTGCGAGCACTAGTACTACGTGCGAGCAGCAGCTCACCCTCCGTGGTCTCTATATGGGTACATCGATTTACAGATGATGCCTAGCCTAGGAGAACAGCAGAAAAAGATAATCTTCTAGGGCACTCAGAGCTGAATTTCAATGTGATCATCACCTGGGCCTCCTCCAGCACATTGCACGATTCAAGTGGCGCCTCCAGTGACCTGTGGTGTGAACGCGCGTAGCTTGTCCGGTGGTGGTGCTCACATGAGCTGAGCCGCGAGTGAGTCTGCGCAGTCGTACCTTCAGACTGGTGAAGGGATTCATGTTGACTGACTGATTGATTGACTGAAGAAACAACGGAAGCTAGATCGAAACGAGGGTTGGAAGTGATGAATTCGGCGAACGATGTGAGCTGACAGCAATGGAGTGAGGAAATGCAATGTGGAAATGCAGGCGAGAGTGAGGACTTGGAACTCTGAGACTTCACTAGCCGCTTATATACTGAGGCATGAAACGCATCGCTATATAAGCGGCTACACGAGGACTCTTGATAACACGTGTCCGCTCTGCGCCACGTCACTCGTCTTAGCCACGTGGTAGTGGGTTCAAGCTGGCATTGCAGGATGGCAGCCTGCCAGGTGGTAGAGCGATCACTGTGCTTGCGCCACGTATGGGCAGTCGCCGGTGTACTGTACTCGGGACTCGAGTGAGTTTCTTGCAGCAAAACTCCATGATTATAATATCTGATTATACATCCGATAGGTTCGTTGTCCGCACCTTCACTTGCAAGCTTCCCTTAGAGCAAGGAAGCCATCCATTGACAGGCACCTGTTAAATGGCAGTTTTTCCAAGGACCAATCGTGGATTGTCTGGTATCCCAAAACATTCTTATCGGCGAATTTCAACTTGGATTTTCCGGGGTAGGCTTTTGGCCCAAAGACGCTATTTTCAGACAAGTGACTTATTGTTCAAGTTTTAATGTTTAGTGACAAGTGAGTCTCTGATTCAAATTTCTTTATAATTTCTTGGCTGCAAAATCTGGAACTTATAATGAAAGTTCCATCTGAGATGATCTGAGTTCGGAAATACCGTGCAATTGTTTTGAACACTCTTTTTTAAGTCGTATCTAGTGGCAAGAGTAAAAGACGACGACGCACTTGAAACACTTGAGGTTTTCCCTTGATTGGAGTGGAGATAATCTGAAACAAAATGAATGTAAAAATAGAAATACAATATGAGTGTCAAGGTATTTGATATATTTCTACGTGATATATTTCTAGGTGTTTTATGTTAAGCGTTTAGCGTCTAGTAAAGCACACGTTGATGCTTGTATTAAGCACATAAGCATGTAGACCATTTTATTCACACATGAGAAACTATGGCGTATTACGTGGTGGCTTTTAGTAACGGCACGTAATAAATTCCTACGTTAACATTGGACCCGGTTGGTTAACATAGATTAATTCTTCGTTGAGTCCCGAAATCTGAACTATCTGCAGTCACGAATTGTAAGTCACGAACTGAACCATCCAGTTCGTGACGGTAGACACCTCAGATCTTGGAATCAGATGCATGCATACGAGCTCAGATCTGGAGGTCTAAACTCGTGTTCATGCATCTGTGAGGGCTCAAGCATGTTCTGCAGCAGGAATCGGGCCGTCAGGATCTCACGTTTGTCGCCGAATTGTGTGAACAAGGAAATTGTAATGAAGATTGCTCGACCCTCAAACTTGTACTGGCTCACATTCTCGTAGTGCGTCGGATGATAAGAACAGTGTCTCTTGCCTGCTGCTGCCTCGTCACCACAAGTCTTTGGAGCGCTTCGATTCTGGGCGAACGCTGGGCCTGAGCTTCCCCCAAAAAAGAAGAGACTTGTGATCTGCAAGTTGTTGAGGTCCTACTGGTGGATACATTTCCATCAGGCACTCAGAGATCGTGCCTAACTCACTACTCGAAGCGACGTGAGTGCAGACTTGCAGAAGTCCGGATCATGCTTTTGGTAATAACCTCGGTAAAAAACCTGGCACGACAAGACCGTCGCTGGTGAAGAATCGATCCAGTTTTACTCACCGTGAATTTACCACTCCAGATGTTCAATCCGCAGCAGGAAGTCAACATAATGGCTCTCAAGAAGCAAGCGGTTTGCGGTCGAGAGGCATAGCCGCCAGTGCTGTTGAATCAAGCACTGAAGTCAATATTCCGTCGCGATTGTGAAAGTGAGAGCTCGACAGCTCAGAAGCCCAACAACACATCCAGCGCTGACAGTTGCTATGACCTGATGTCAGTGTGTTCTAGATTAGCTTCGCTAGACGTCATGTGCAAAGGTTCGGACGCAGTCTTTCCTCAAGCGCGGCCACATACGTCAAAGTGCGAGAGCCTGTTGAGAATTGCGGCGGACGACAAACTGTCGGGAAAGAGACTCGCGGCGTTGGCTTGCCGTCAAACAGGTCAACCATGGGACTGGATCTATCTGCCACCCAGAAGCAAGCATGCAGTCGACGTAGGAAGTACTGGACTTCTATCTGAAAGCAGCAGCAATCAATGCAGTACTCGGTTTTTATTCGAAGCAATGAAATAGCAATGAAAGACGCACCATCATAGACGAGTTCGGAGATACACACAATTGTCGAAGACATTTCGAATCTTGATCATTTAGACTCCCATGGATGGTCGGTCTATGGAGCGTCCGTATATACATTATCGACTCACAGCTCGGTGCAGCTAGCTAGCTTCCTAGGTTCAGAGTAGGAAGGATTACGGGACTTTGGTCCTACTCAGCGATCGTACCAATTGCAATTGCCCAATTTCTCTCTCTCTCTCTCTCTTCTATGTAACTCTATATATTTCTATGATTTCACCGACAGTGAGCCGATGTCCAAAACGATCTACGCTACTTGTTATGATATCGCCGGGACATTCCAAACAGCTTGCGGCAGTAGTCCAGCATACCTTTCTTCTTCTTGCTGTAAGACTTGACGGACGACGATCTGCTCGTCGATTTGTCGGGGAAATAGAACTCGCCTGTGCCGATGGGCCCGGGGCCGCCCACGGCGCCGGGCAGTCCAGGCTTGCAGGCCTTGCAGAAGCTGCTCGTCTCGCCCGCCGGAAGGCCCTGGACGATGATGCCCAGGCCCTTGCCGCAGGTGACACACTCCACCACCACGGGCTGCACGTGCTTCGTCGTGCTGAAGGTGAAGGTGCGCGCCATGCGTCGGTACGCAGCCTTGTCCGCGAAGGAGAAGGTGGAGAAGGTGCGCGACAGAGGAGGCTGGCGTGAATTTTCTTTCTCCTGGTCTTTGTCGTAGGCGCGAAATCCTCCTCCATTGCTGTACGATCTGCCACACCCGTCCGTGGACCGGCGCTCGACGAATCCCGGCTGCTCGTAGTTGTAGCGCAGCGGCTGCGTGGTGGCGCTGAGGAATCGCGCCTGGCGCATGGCGGATGGGCTGTCCTTCCATTTCTCGTGGATGCGCTGCGCGTCCATGGCGTTCTCCTCGGCGCCCTCGGGCCTCGTGGAATTCGTGTCCGAGAAGCTCACTCGAGGCTTGACCGGAGTGGCACTGGATTTGCGTCGAGGCGCTTGATCCGATGCCGTCTCCGCCTCCGCTCTCGAGGTCGGCGTCTCGCGCATGGAGAAGCTCCGCTGCGAGTGCACAATCTTCTGCGACGAGGACCGGGGCACCATGGCGCTCACTGCAGGAGGCGGCGGCAGAACTCTGGGCTCCGTGCCCTTGCCCGCAGGCTTCCTATCCCACTCGCTGTACCTCGCCGTCTGCTGCCTCTGGAATCTGCGCGGCGGCGATGCCTTCTCCTTCTCCTCGTCGCCGAATCTCGCCCTCCGAGCTGGTGATGACGAGCTTTCCCTGTCTTTGTCGCTCAGTCTCGCCGTCTGCTGTCGGCTGAATCGCTGCGACCCCGAGCGCAGCTCGTTGCACGCCGAATGCATCGTGCAGATGGCTGCTGGCAGCTGATCTGCGTGCGAGCAATCGTTGGGCCCGTGGCCATTGGAGCTCATCTGCTCCTGCTGTTCCTGCTGCAGCTTTTGCTGCAGCACCTCTCGATACGAGGCCACCCTTTGGATGGACGCCGCCCATTGCCCGCCATTGGCAGCATTGGCAGCAGCAGGTGCTAAATCTTCAGCAGCAGCATTGGCAGCAGCACCGCAGCCGCCCGAGGGTCCGAGAGGGCTGCCGGTGGTTCGCCTGAACAGATCGTCTCCGAAAGGCCTCCATCGGCCGCTCATGGTTCTCTCCAAATGCGATTCTCCGTTTGCGCTTCCCTGCCACTTCCCGCTCTGGGACACGCCCAATTTGGCATGAGGCGCATTGACAGGCTCGCGAAACGAAACCACACGCTTGAGCTCGCCGCTTCGTCCCTCGCGCACCACCACGTCGTCCTTCAGCTCGACCTTGATGTAGTCGATGGTGCCGTGCGGAGGAGGGCTGCTGCTGACGACGTCGTGGAAGCCATTATAGTTGCGCTGCGAGACGGACCGATCGTACACTGAGCCTTTGCACACGTTCACGTCCTCCAGCTGCTTCTGCTGCTGCTCGTGCACCGACTTCACATAATTCTGCTCGGCCGAGAACGCATCTTGACGATCAGACTCCTCCCCATCCTGCTTCCCCGTGCGGCCCATCGCATCGGCGTAAAATACTCCTACTTCTTTCTCTTCGAGCGTGTTAGACTCGGATCCGCGCAATCGTACGTAACTGGCGATGCGCGGCATGATGTCCTATTTTCTCTCTCTGAATCTGAATGTGTGTTGTTGTGTGTTAAGATACTGGGTGATGTTCTTCGCCGAATCGAGGCGACAAATGTTTAACTACTGTACGTATCGACGAAACCTAAAGAATCTGGTTCGTGGCAAACTGGGAGGAAAATAATTGCGAAAGGGATGACGACCGTCGGGCTATTTCCCGTCAGTCAAGTCGATCCGCATTCTTCCTCACTAAAGCCAGATTTGCAGATACGAGTCCGAGCGAGCGAGCGAACGAGCTGGCGAAGAAGGCCGTCAGGTGCTGTCGTGCTGTCGTCAATTGCAGATCCCTCGATCACAATGCCGGATCAAAACGCTGGTTCGTCATTGGAGTCTGTGTAGAGCTTCCTGGACCAGCTATCCCAAGTGACGGAGGTTTCAGCCATCGTGCATTTCAACCGCACCTCGCAGACCTGTTGCAGCCGAACAGTGGGCCGAGTCGACATGGTTCTCCTCCTCCTCTCCCGATCAAGCGATTTCTGCCAATTGCTTGAAGAATTGATTCACACTCCGGACCTGAGTGAAGAAGGTGTACACACTCCTCTCCTGTCCTTCGCTTCCCCCCAACTCCTCCGAGGCTCCCGTCGGACTCTACCTACGGCATCGGATGAATGCTGCCGATGCACAAGCACAGCATCGCATCGCATTCATATATATGCGTCTAACCTGGACTCGGCCCTGGGCTCTGTCGGACCGGATGGGTTCAAAAATCGTGGTCTCACAACTCAAACAAACTAATCATCTGTCGACTATCAATGCTCCGCCCCTGCCATTAAAATCTCCACTCCGGAACCACCTCAATAACCTTCCAGAGATACAGGAATGCGGATATGCGTAATTACTTCATTCATACACAAGAATCGTCCTACCGTTACGCAGGTACCTAGAGTAAACAATGTCGCCGGAGATTTGAGGTTCTCGGGACACTCTCCAACGATAATGCCGCTCACGTACTGTCAGCTGTTCGCAATTGAAGCAAGTGCAGCCACCACTAGCACTAGCAGCAGCTGCTACTGCTGCTGCTGCTGTTGGTGTCGTCGTCGTCGTCGTAGAAGAAGAGAGTGACTCGCATCTACTAAAGACAAATAAATCTTCAAAATGCTCGCGCTTCGTCTTCCTCCTCCTCAACGTCGCCCGATCCCATTCAAACTGAATCGGAATCGGCGAGACGACTCTGCTCTCCACCTTCTCCCTTGATTCTGGAAGTCATGATAGTGGCGCTCTTGAACTCAAGCCAGAGCGAGAGCAATCAACCGGCGAGCAATGAATGGAGTGTCTGCGCCTAATGCGGATCTCTTTCAACGCCCAGGCCCCCTTGTGCTGTACACAAACCCACCCGCCCGCCCCCCTGTGAGAAAGAATGTGATCTCAACTGATTCGGCCGAGCGAAGGAAGACCATCGCGATGGCGCCAGCGCTCCCTCGTCTGTCTGTCCGGCCCCGTGAGCCCTCCCGGTGCTTTGCGCCTAGTCAGTCCGCCTGTACACTGCAAGCGAGGCTGCGCCGCCGGCTGAGGGGACCCACCGACCTGCCCCTCCTCCTACCTTACCCCCGGGTTTAAAAAGGCCGCAACGAGCCACGAGCCCCATGGCCAAACAAGCAAGCAAGCAAAGCCAGCAGACGGGAACGCTCTGGATTCGCCCCCATTTCCCGACTGCCGGAGGTTGCCACGCCGAGCACACATTCTGCCCGCCGGCGAGGGGACGCTCGCCGGGATGTGCCGACTGCTGGGGTTGGAATTTTGAATTCTGATTGTGCTATTTTTAGCGGTGGCCAGGGGGGCTTTGGAGACGCTGGCTCCCGGTGGCCAGAGCATAACCACGGCGGTCATGCTCGACAATCACCTGGCTCCAGCAAATCGCATCCGGTCCCAAGGCCCCGCAAGTCAAAGAGCGTAACTTTCTTTTCAGTAACGTAAGAGAACCGCGGCGTGTGGCATGCACGTCGTCTGCCATGAATATGCTTATCCAGCTGGAAACTCGCGTCGTCCGGTTGATAATCCGTTTGCCCGACGAGCCGAAGGGAATGTCTCCTTTTATCCTGATGGCATTTTCTCCTACGCTGGCAGTTTTCCCCTTCTTGGAAGAGCGACCGTCCCGCCCGCCCGCCCGCCCGCCCGCTCTCGTACTCCCTCCCACTCGTCAACGCATGAATCCGTGTCCGTTCGGGTGCAAGAAAGAAATTCCCGAATCTTTCAGGGCTCGCGATGCATTCAGTGTTTTCGACGGAGGACAAGGAGAGAACTCCAGAGCAAGAGGTGAATTGAAGGGTTGGTACTGCTTCCATGAGTTTGTTTGTTGGGGCCGATCCGTGACCTCGCTCTCTCGCGGCTGCTTGCCGTTTTGGGCATGATGAAGAATGGAACAGTTATATTCCTTCCACAATCTCTTCACATAAATTGAACCTTCGGGTGCGTATTGTACTTAGTGGCTGGTGGCTTGTACACATCAGGAGCGCAAGTACATTCCACGTAAATGTAATGTCCGGACATTCCCGAGGACAAAGTCGCATAACCTTCCGTTTCTCAGCTCACCCTTCTTCTTCAGCTTTGACTCAAGCTCCCTCCCTCGACGTTCATGCACGTCGGGACGCGATCGTGACTGTACCGACCCTGGAGGGAGGGATGCTTGGAGTTTCATATCCCCTACTACAACCTTTTCTCGAACATTGTCGAGCTCGTAATTGCTCGAGCTCATTTTACGCCATCCGCTATTCTAGAAGAAAAATTGGCCAAGGAAAATATGAAGATGGAAAAAGACAGAAGTTACAATCAAGCAAGAAATTTGGATCGTCATTCAAGTCTCAACTGTATTTGACTTGCTGGTTGGTTGGTTGGTTGGGTGAAGGGTCCTCCTCCAAGATATATGCCTCCGTGAGTCCACGGTCAGAGGACGGGTGCAGTGTCAACTGAATGGTTCTAGCAAAAGTTGGAAGAGGATGCAGCAGCTGAGTAGGTATGTATGTTGCAGGTGCTACTCCTCCACGTTTTTAACGAGTGGATGGCAACACTTAACACATCTGAGGTCGCTCGCTGCGCCTCAAGTGTGTAGTCACATAGAAATTCGAGCAGACATGGAGCATGGCTCTGCACAGATTCGGACTTCCTCTTGCCCTTCGTAGCAGTTAGCACGTCGCGTTACACACGTCACATGTGGAGCATACGGTCGAGCTTCTGCTGCAATCCGTCATGTCTTTCATTCGAGGCCTCTGTTTGCCCCCTCGTCTACTCGTTGATTTTTGGGATGAGTATACGCCCGTACATATTTGGATCATGATGTGTACGATGTGACTGCCAAAGGTCGTCGGTCTCATTGCCGGTACGATTCTCGATTCACTTTTCGTTTTTTCTTGAAAAGTATTTTCAAGCCCTGGAGCTCGTGCCCTCACTCACACCATTCTCAAATTTCTATCACGACGATTAATTTATTATTGCAGGATTATGGTTGGTACTATATGCTTAGACGAAGACCATGTATTATGCTAACTGAGGAAAATATAGGTCCTTGGCCGAACTGGCCATTTTGACTCGCCACCGAGAACATTGAGTCTTGAATAAGTCTTTGTGTTTGTATCAAAAGGATACATCATCATCAATTGTATCAATGGTACTGTATAGTATAAAATCTCTTTGAAGTGGTTGGATTTTTGTAAATAAATTCGAGCATGTCACAAGAAAAGGTATGGCCTTCAATATACTGGGTACCAAGTTCTTTGTTGTTATTTAATTGTATTGATTTTCACTTTTCTGCGCACAATAAATGATAAAGTGGATCTTAAAATGGCCAAAATACGTGAAGCTTTTATAAATCGTCTGTTCACCTCTCACAATTTATATTTTGTAAATTCCAAAAATTTTAGCATCCAAAATTTGAAACTTTTAAGATAAATTGAGATCTTGGTTAACTTTGCATAACTGAATCACGTCAGTTAGTCAAGTTAGCTTATTACTGAGAGAGAGATTGTAGATATCAGATACATATATTTTAGGGTTTTTTGCAGAATAATCTTGTTAACGTGGACGTAGACTCATCGTAAATCAGATATCTCTTCAGTCAAATGTGTGCTTCGTGTTTGCGTTGTATTGTAGACTGCTTACAGAAATGACTCAAAAAAACAAAAACATTCATTTCCCGTACTTTCTTAGGTTCGGCATTTTCTTGGGCTATTTCTATTTGTGTTCGTTCCAAGATTCTTCGTGTTCGTTCAATGATTTGTGTTTCTGTTCTTCCCATTATCGTATCCTGTCCCTTTGCTTCATGCATGAATCTTCCACTTCTTAGGTCGGTATCCATGCGGAGGGTTTCCATCTTTCCCTTATCTCACCTTGACGAGTGCTCAGCGGTCGACATAGCTGACGAGAGCCGCGGTTCAAGAAATGGTCTACTTTAGTATCCGAGACGCTGATGCTCTGTCCATATCCTTGTCAAAACAGGAGCGAAAAAAGAGTCGTCGTGAAGCTACACGCAGCCGTTCCAAGGAACAGATTCCACGAAGTGTACCTTCTACAATGCCAATTTTTTCTGGGTACGAGGCGCAGTATGATCTAGAAAATGAATCTATACAATCTCCGGACGAATGTGTTGAGTTCAGTGCAAACATGTTAAATGGAATTGTGGCCCAAATTTTTCCCCACCACGAGGAATCTTCCAATCTGATCTAGTTGCCCTCGGCCGAATTTCTGAACGTGCTCACTTGAAGGTTTTGACTGGACGGGTTTATTCTCAACCACGCAAAATATTCAAGAAGAACGTACACATCGTGCGCTTGTTCTGCACCGTACGGGCCTTCAAATTCATGATATCGAGGTAGCCCTGTTGAAACTTGCAAGTGATGGTACCTCTCCATGGTTTGAGGCAATACATAAACAATGAGTCAGGAAAACACGCAGCTCGAAATCGATCCTTTTGATCTGGTTCGAACCATCAGGAGCAGTATGAAGAAAGCAAAGAAACGATGCTGAATTCTTTCTTCCCACTCTCAATACTCATAAGAAACGAATTATGTAGAGTCTGAGAGGTAGGACAGAGCAATATTACATTTCGAAGTGTTAAGAAGCTTTGAGTGCATCGAGTTGTTTGCAGCAATCGGTTATTGCCGGGCAAGTGAAAATCATGAGACATTAGAGAGAGTAAAAGTTTCTTGCTATTTAGTATTTGTCTTGTTCACGCAATTTGTTTCTTTTTTTTGAACTCAAAACACTCGACAGGCTAACTAGAGCCTCTCCAAGCACACTCCAGTTTCTTGTAAGACTTTTCAAAAGTCGTCAGGAATCATTGAAGTGGATAGATGTCCAGAGTAAGATCCTCAACGAGTTGTCAGGAATCTGTGTGGAGTATACATGCCCAGAATATGACCGACAGTCGATATTTACCAACATCAAGTCTAGTCATCACCATCGAGCAGCACTAACTGACTGAAGACACAATACTTTCTCACCCATCAACTTCAAACCCGTTCACTGCTGCACATAACAATTTCCAACAGATTATGTCTCTAGGTGACCAGACATTTCGACCTCCATCGATCATTCATTCCCTCATGCACAACCCTCTCATGTTTTCCCATGGTAGGACGAAAGTCAAGTGTGCATCGTGATGAAATAACCACACGAACTTTGGAGTGTCTTGAAAATTCAAAGGATGGACTCACCAAAAATTGTACTTTAAAATGCATGAAATCATCCTGAAAACATTCAGTGGGAAGACAGAAGAGACAGCGGACATTGTGAAAGTCGGTGTTCATGGGCCAGTACACTTCATGCAAATGGAAAGGGAAGGGCGAACAGACGTCCACATATCACAAGGCTCGTACGAAAATGGACTGAAATAACTTAAAAGTAAAAATGAAAAGACAGGGTATAGACGAGGGATATTAAGATGCGACTCACAATTTGGCTTTGCATGGTGTGAGAACGCCTCTTGACCTACATTGCTCTGTACTATTGAAATTGTTGATAGTTTCACAATACGTTGGAAACATGTGTAATGTATAACTGTGTGTACACACTATATAACTCGTAAACATACAACCACAGAGAGAAGATGGGAGTTCAAGGGATGCAGACAACGGATTCCGTGATAGTTTCTCCTATGCCGTGCAATGCAGGTGAAGAATTACAATTATTGGGTTTTGAAGTAGTCACAAAGACATGTGGATATTGAAACTTCCAAAACAGACATTACAAGAGATGTCATGTGTATAGATGTTGTCTATAATAATCATCGGATTAAGGTTAACTCTGGATAGGGCTTGGGTTAGTTTCACTCTTGTAAGAGATTATAGTCGCGTGGACTCCAAGAAATTCAAGTAGTTTAGCTATGGTGTCTCGCTAAAATCGGACTGTAGTCTTCGGGTGTGGAATGGGCTTGATTCGACTATCATATGAGATTTTGTGATTTATACCTGTAGGGTTTCCACCAACAAATTTCACTCAAAGAACTCTACAAGTTATATGACGATATATATTAGACAGAAACAAACATAGCATCTTTTTAAGACCAGCATATTATCTACACCACGTTAATGTTGCTAATGCACATGTATGTGATCATATGTTTCATAAATGCATACTGTGTTAGGAGAGCATACCATGGTCGAGCCTGCCTGTTTTATATGATGCTATGCATTTATAGCGTATGTGTAGTAATATACTCCTTTCGCAAGACGATATTAATCATTTGCATTCCAAAGTGATCTTCCAACATAACACGCACTTGGTTCTCATCCATAACTAGTTAGTTTTGAGTTTTTTTTCACGTTACGTTCTTAAGCTCCCAATACATCGTAATAATAACTACGATCGATGTACATCACCAGATAACCTTTCCTTTCATATCGTATGATGGCCACAGTTCGACGCAACAAAGGACAGAAAGATACATTCAGAATCGGCTTGGGACATGAGGAAACGTGAATGTGGAATCTTCAATCAATGAAAATCCGTGTATCCATGAAAGACCATGAGCTACGACTTATAAAATAACTTGTGCAGAAACCAAGATTCAAAAAGATACTCATCGATCGGGGTGGTTGTCTACATGTCTTTACTAAGAAGCACCAACATGGCCTTAGAGTAAACATGTATGCAGACGACATATAGACACCACATGTAGAGATGCTTCAACGCAACTCGAGTCTTGGAACAACTTGCATTTCCAATTCGATGACTCTACTGTGCGCGCCTCCTGCCAAGACGAACGGTATCTTGTGCACCTAGCGAGAATTCAGAATGCAGCAGTTGCAAACAACATCGTCCATCTTTTCTGGTCCCAAAAAAAAAAAAAAACGTGACGTTTTTGTCATGGCATTGCCTGCAAGTCTAGGAGTGCGAGCATTTGGACGGGACACAGTGACGTACAGTACAGCAGAGAGAGAGAGAGAGACCCTTCGAGAGTCGCAGCACAAGAATCTCCGGTCCCTGGCAGATGTCACGAATCCTCCTCCTCCACCACCGATGATTGTGAAGCACATGCTTGTGCACCCAAGAGGCGCAGATGTGATGGGTACTTGCTGCCGCTCCTATCCCCTCCTATCCCCTCCTATCCCCCGGCCACTGCAGCTACAACAACAGAGATGCACTATACACTTGTGCACTGTACTGTGGTTCGTCCCCCCCGCCCTACTGTAGTAACTCGAACCGTCCACTACCTTCACTGTACCGCGTACTGGGAGAACTGCGTCGGGAGAGAGGTTTGAGAAATCGGGGGCCGGAGGCGAGGGGATGGGGAGGGGGAGGGGGAGGATATGCCAGCGCCAGCAGCAGCAGCAGCAGTCGCAGCGATGGCAGCGATGGCAGATGGGCAGCAGCAGGAGAGGGAGGGGCCGCGAGTGTGGGCAACAGGAGAGCCCGCGAGCACGCAGCATGCGTGGTTCATGCCCGAGCATCGAATCACATGTCACGGCGGAGGCGAGACCCGTCTTGCTTGCACTTTTACGGAATGCAATTTCGCAGCTCGCACTGTAGGCTGCGTCTATAATTGGACGAATATGGAGTTCCATCCCTGCTCGGCATACCACGTCAACGCGAAGCTAATATAGCTCACGATCGGCAATTTAAGGTCGTTGTGCTGTAGGCCGAGAAATTCCTTCGAGTGAAAATGTGAATCGGAGTCATAGAACCGGCCGGGTAAACATGTTTCACTCACTGTTCCACAGCGCAAGATGTCCATTGTTCATGGCCTGGTGAGAGCTCCCGCATTCACGGCACTTGCGTTGTGCGTCCATGCTGAGATCATGTGCTCGCATGCTTGCTTGCGAGAATCTACCATTTCTGATCAGAAGGTTTGATCTGAAGATAATAGCTGCATCTGCGTTTGGAATCCTAGGCAGTACGTGAATTGGATAAACAGAAGCTAGCAACTCCTAATTGTCTAAATTTGATTTCGAGTTCTCGATTCAGTCCTCGAAGGCTTTCGAGCCACCACCACCGGCCATGACCCGGGGCTCGGTTTGGGAACACACCATCGCCCAGTGTCACGTGTGATGACGTCATGCCACCAGCTCATGAGCTTCGCAAACGCCAACTGCTGAGCAGAAAACAATTCAGGTTCATCAAACTGACATCAAACGAAGTTGCTCGCGTCCATTGCAGACGCCCTGCAGTCGCTGGATGTGCCGTGAACTTCGACCTGCTCGGTTCGCTGTCTTCTCGTCCCCCAATTGCCCTCCCCTCCCTCCCTCCCTCCCTCCCTCCCTCCCACGTTCTATCCATCATCGGATTTCAATATTTGAGGGCCTAGACTCGCCCACCATCGAAGCGTAGTAACCCAGCGAACACCACATGGTGCAATCCAATCCAATCCAACGTAGACGACGATCCCAGCGCCATCTCTCCCACATCCACTGGACGGAGTCGTTCTCCGTCTAGCGTGGAGGTGGAGGTCGTCCTGCACTGCACACATTGGAAAGACTGTTGCGCACACCTCATGACTGATGGAAGCCATGATTTGATTGAAATCATGGCTTTCTTGAGCAGGCCATCTCCTGTTGCGCCTCCTGAGTAAATTCCTCATGAAATCACTAACACTAGGACCCTCAGGCTGACGTCTTCTGCGCTCACCAAGTTCCCTTGTTCTCGGCCTACATTTGAGGAGACCCCATGGTACAGGGCCGCAGAGCAACATCACAGACTACCCTGGTCCGAGGAGGACATGGAGGATATCCTGAAAGGGCTTTTCCAGCCTGTTCTCAATAGGCAGCGCAGCTCAGTGTCTAATTTCCAATCTCGTCTTTTATTTCATTTCTGCAATTGTCGCAATATGTGTCCACAATTTGTACTTACTGTACTTTTGGCAGCTCAAGCCTCACCTCTGTAGTTCCACCAGATCATTTGAGTATCTGACCAAACGTAATTTCTGAAGTATCTGAAGTCATTGATTATTCGATTTTGAAAAGAAATGCACCAGCCATTTGCCATGAGTACAGGGTTACGATCAAATCAGCTCGGACTTCAAAGCACTTGATGCCAAAGGTGCAATCCATGGTGGGAAAGATGTATGGAAGTCAACGTTGTAAATCTTTGTACACGACCAAGGGTCATGCATAGATAGAACGCGAGATGAGTACGTAGATTCGACCTGTTATGTGAACAGCGCAGTCCTAGATTTTCAGTTTCGCCTTTTCACAAGTCGTATTTGTCCGGTCAAGCGGCGTCTGCCAATGCCAACAAACGCAAGATGAATTTCCTGTAAGACGTCGTTTTCAAGCTTCCGTGAACACGTTGAGGTTGGATTGATTGACCATCTCAGTACAAGATCTAATCTCGAGTTAAAATCCCACAATTTGTTATACAGATTTTGTTGTTCCGCATCTAACGCCCGCGAGAAAGTTGGCCTCAAGAAAGTGGGAGCAAAGGTAAAGTACTGTACGAGAAGTTCGCAAGTTTGTCAAGAGCCAAATGCATTTCGTTCCTCTCTGTGCTATCGGTTATGTACTCTTCGGCTGAAAATCAAAGCCTTCATTGTACGTCAATTGCTCAAGACCATCTACCACTAACTCCCTCCCCGTTGTAATATCTCACTAAACCCACTACGACATCTTCGACATTTAAACCAAGTACCTCCGAGCAGCTGAGCTGAGAACAGGGATACGCAGAACAAACGTCTGATTCTTGTTTTGCCGTTCTCTTGAGGGTCAGTGCGCAGGACGACGAGCTCATTGCTTAGTAAACGAGGTCAAATCTAGTGAAGATGGCTGCTCCAATCCAATGACGATGTACAGTACAGTACAGTGGTACATAAGGTGCCGGTGTCTTCTTCGACAAAGTACTCGCCTGAACATGGCTACGTTGACTGGCGTTATGGTCACCGATTGTGGTACTTGATTACTTGCTTAGCGATGTGGGAATGAGCCTTAAAGACCCACTGCTTCTGATGCATGTAGAGTCTAGAACCTTGTTCAGATGCGGTCTTTAATGGCAGAACTGTGACTCGAGTCCTCTTCCGTTAGAAACTTGATTTTATTTTTTGATCCTCCTTCGGCTAGGAAGAGAACGTCGTGCTCGGTCATCATCCTGAGGACCTACCTACTAGAGCTTCTACATATCTATAAGAGCGACGAGGTTGTTCTTATTCGTCCAGCAGAAGCTCGATTGCTGGAGCTTCTCTTCCTACTGCTTGAAGATCATTAAACTCTTTGTAGACTGGCAAAAGTTATCCTACTTGCGCAACAGAATTCCTGTCCTAGGACTTTCCAGATCATGTCTCGGCATGAAAAAGTATTGAGCGCATTGATGAGAATTGGTAAAGGTAAGTAGAACTTCGTCATGCACGTCTACCAAGAACATGCACATCACATACGAAGAATGTTAAGAATGTTAGCTTGCAAGACGGCCGAGTGGCTTGACCATGAGCTATGATGAGCTACTGGGCTGTGCATCTACCGAGATTTCTGTAGAGGCATCGGCACGTGAATTGCTGGCTTTGGGATAAGCTTGAGGCAACTGTTGATGAGCACCAGCGTTTCTTGGTCCTCGGAGCCGCAAAGGTCAGCTGCGTGCTCTAAGTGCTCACGGGCCAAGACGTACATTCTGCTATGGGTGAACGCAAGTCCTAGAACCAAGCACACCTCTGCAACACTAGCGCCTTCTCCTTCTGACGATGACCTGAAAACCGATATTTCCTGCGCAGGGAGAGAGAGCGTTACACCAACTGGCACATCGAGGACTCGAAACGACTTAGAAGCTAATGGACAAGGAGCAGAAACCACCTGCAGCATATCTGTCACTTCCTTAAAATACATTCTCTCCATCTGCGTCTTGAAATTCTCCATTTCTGGCTCACGACCAGGATACTGAGGAGTCTCCCAGGGAGTTAGTCTCTTGTAGGGAATTCCGAGAACCACTTCTTTCAAGGCATCGAGCCACCATTCGACCACCACATTGCTGCACCGTTTGCTCTTGTACTTCTCACCCTGCGCACCAGAGCAAGGTTACACCACGGTGATGAGAGTTATGAAGGCGAGGTCTGCAACATTAATCACCATGGACGCATCATCGTTCGATGTTGTGAAGCATGTATGAGAGAAGGCCAGTGCTTGCCTGCGCTTGAAACACTGTGAACAAGTTGTACATGCCAATACTGTTACGGAGATCCCTGACGCCAAATTGCACGGACGTGTAGTATATGTGCTCCCCGAATGCTTTCAAAGCCATGTCATACTTCTTCTGTACGCTACGAGGAAACCAAACACCGAGAAAACTGTGTTATTATTTTCGTATTCTAATATTTCCAATCTCAAAAGGTGAGAGTGCAACTTGTTAGCAAATGAAGGGTGAAGGTATGTGAGAATGTGACCTCCAGGTAGTACAGCACACCGAAAATTCGTGTAATTTCTGCGCGAATTGCAATCTTATCTTCATCTGACTTATCCTCGATTAACAGCCATGCGGCAATGCCCAGCATGTCCTCGGCCTGCACTGCTCGCCCGAGACCCAGATTTGCCTGACTACACAGGACACGAGGACCTTGATTACGTGTGAAGTGGAATCTTCACTGTTTGCATCGAAAAACGGCAACTCTGTTTCGTGCCCAAAGCAAGTGTTTGTGGAGAAGGAGGAGGAGGAGGAGGAGGCAGCATGAAGCTCTTCACGAGAGTTCGGTGAAAGATACCTGGGCTCCAAGAAGGTACACTGGGACCAGTTGGAGCTTGTATTCAGGATAGTAGAGAACTTTTCCCTTGTTGATCGCATCAATTGCTACAGGTAGGCATTCTTCGAAAAGCCCTTGAGCCAGAAGCTTTGCAGCATCGGCTGAAACGACCTTCAGCAGAGCTAAACGCACAACTTCCACCAGCTCCGCCTTCAACCCATGCCCATCTGCTATGAGTTTAGCATTAGACCCATCCTTCGATTTACGCTAAAGGGATTGGCATCAAAACAACACTCTTGCCAAGTAGTCAGCTTACCTTACGCCGATCACGAAGTAGGGCTTCCACCGTATCTGAAGGAAGCAGAGTTGCCCCAGGAACTGTGATTGATTCAGGAGGAATTTGCAATTGCGCCAGTCTCAGCATCACATCCTCGTCCGTGACATGAAATCTTTTGTATCTCCCGGATCTTATGTCCTGTGTTAGCGTCCAAGAGACAAGCTCGTCATTGCTCCTGACATAGATGCCATGTTCTTGCTTGATTGCTTTAGGCCAAATTTCAAGTTCTTCGATGCTTGCTCAAATTTTGCTGCACCCACCTTTATGAAAGCACCCGGGTTTTCCTTGAATAGCTCCACGGCAAGCTCACTCATAGAGAACATCTGAGCGATAGAGTTCAAAAGCTTAGAACATGTCTATACAGAACCTTAAACATCATGAGTTCAATTCTACACTCTATACCTAAAGCACCAATGATTGCTGAAGATAGTCAATTTCGGTTTTTGAATGCAGGCACATCCGCTGTTGGGACCGTAAATATTCGATTGAAGAGCAGGATTACGTCACGGGTTTAAGCGGGACAATGTCAGGTATGTGCACATTGTACAGAGTTTCTGAAGAGTAAAATAAGGAATGAAGTGAGAGTTAGTCTCCGCGATGAGACCAACTTTCTCTGCTACTGAGCGGATAACTTCCATCTGTCCGATCTCTAACTGGTTCTGGATTTCTGTTCAAGAATTAGAAGTCAATTTTGAATGCACGAATTCTCAGGCGCTATTGGGCTTCTCGCCTTCGCTCCGAGTCACTTACAAATCCCAGACGCGTGCGCAGCAAGTGAAGGACGCACAAGCCATTCATGTCCACCTCTGTGGTGTCCAGTTCATGCGGCATAGTGAAATTGCCAGCCATGTTCACTCCGTGAAGTCGCAAGGCTTACGGCGGAATCCCTACGACGAAATTCTGCGCCTTGCTTACCAGACTCCTGTGCTCTCTACCCTACAAGTCGCCCGCTGACCCTAACATTAAATCCACTTGCTGCTCTCTTGAAGCTCAAATTCTTCCATAATGTACAGTCCCGCTTTCATCGGGAGGACAAGAGTTTGAAATATGTTCGGTTTCCGCTGGAGCCTTTGTGTGAATGTACGAAATCGAAAGCCCCTCAGAACCACGCATGAATAGGATACAAACGAACGCATCTCGGTAATCCGATGGGACGAACCGGGCATTCGGCGAATGTGCTCAGACTGACAGCTAACTATCGGTGTCGCCAGACAGAATCGTCGAAATCAGAGAACCCATAGGCTTCGTGATGCACGGTTTCTGCAGAGTATTAGGTCAACGAGAGGTAGCCATTTCCAGCATGTTCCACGTCCCTGAGACTGGATACAATCTACGAAGAAGTCCAGTGAGAAAATCCGAATGTGCACAGGACTTGGAAAAGAAAGCCCTGTGCTGTAATTTACTCTGAAATTTAGTGAAGTACATTCGAGATACGTGACCAAAACTGAGAGGACCCAGGTCCTTGACCAAGTCACAAGCCCTACGTCTACAAAGCTCTTTTTGTTCTGACAGTTGTCCTCCGTACTTCTTTCTTTGGCCCTGGAACCGAAGTACTAGGGCCACTAGTGCCTACGATCCATTGGTACCCATCCTTCAACCTGCACACCATGACCAAAAGATACATGGTTATCAATCGTGCAAATTCCCAGCTGCGCTCTGGAATGAAACGCAATACGAGAGAACGACACTCCAGAGACGATTGACTCGGTGATCACATTCTCAGATCACAGCCACAGTAAACGGACTCCAAACCATTTGCACTACAAAATTCAGCAATTTGTGATGGTGGGGCTCTTGAAGCCATCTTCAGGACTATTCATAGTCATTCCTGGGGGGGCGCAGCCGCCTCAATTTTCCAAAATTCAACGACTACAACGAGACCAGGCCAGCCGGACATACGTACCTGGGCATACTTGCAAACATGGCTATAACTGCAACTCCGACCACGATGGGAACCACTGGGGCAAGTGTCAACTCCTGAACGTGACATAAGATTACATGCAACGTCAGGGTCGGATGCTTAAGACCATCCAGAAGTTATTGCTTTGACTAAACAGGTTCCTCATGACGTCAGATATAAAGCATAGAGCAGCCTGTAGGCAACGAGATGATCACTCAACAGCAGGTCTCCAGGTAAGAAAGCCACTAACCAAAAAATTGCATCCTGTTCACTGACTCAGCGCGTACCTGACTATGAAGGTTCTCCTCGGCCTTGAAAGTCAGTGAACCCAAGTGGAAATGGTTCTTCGTTACCAGATCCAGCTCCAACACACTTGAATCAAAGTTGTGTGTTCGCTCGGACAGGCCAAAAGCTAACCTTACATTATAAGTTCCTGAGGGTAGACCCTGAACTTCAAAGAAGTAGGACAGGGGAAGAGGAACACTTTGAACAACACTGAAGGGTTCGGAGGCTTTTGAGAATTCGATCATGATGTGTGGTTGCCATTTGTCCAGGTTCTCGCCTTCTACAGCCCCGGTTACTATGGTAGTTGGAGTTTCCTCAAAGACCACGAAATCAACTCCAAACGTGTCATTGTCATTGACCTGCAAGAGCAATTGTCAACAACCCTTACGTTCAAGTTCTCCTAACCATCTTGATATTGCAGAACTCAGAGCCGTAACTGCCTTCCCTCATTTGACTTCCCCTTCTTTGTCTCGAGAAGAGCCCGAGATTTCCTTCCAACATGTTCTTTCTGTAGAGAGCCCTTCCCTTATAGGACAAAACCTAGTCACTGCAGACCTTTCATACTGTGAACTTACAAAATCAATGAATAAGCTGCTGATCGTCCGGCCTGCTGAACTAGTTTTGATTGCTTACCTTCACAACAGCAGTAGCTGGAGACGCTCTCTCAATTTTGGAAGGATTGTCATCCTTCACGATAGTCTTAATGCCGTAGCTAGTTTTAGGTAGAAGACCCCTTAGTCGATATTTTCCTTCAGCATCAGTTACGGTTACTTCATAGTATCCTCTCTCTGAGCGAGCTTCCAATGACACACCTTCGGCTGGTTTGCCAGATAAAAATGTCACAGTTCCAAGGACACTGCGAAAGAACAGGCAAAAGAACTAGCGTCCATGAGTCCCCTAATACTTGACTATGAAGTATCGAAGGCATGCGATGATTTGTTGATGGTCTTCAGTTTGCTCAAGACAGGTAACTGCATCAACATCCTTGAGCTAGGAAATGCTCAAAGCTCTTTCATATCAGCGATCACATATACTAGCCTCCTGACAGCATCGGAAGACTGACCTGTATGCAATACGCCGAGCGCTGAAGCTAACTTCTTTAAACTCTCCTGAGCTAACTTCAATTGCTTGAGCTGCTGGTGAAAATGAGTATTCCTGTATGAGGAAACGACACAGCAAATCATGTATCAGGATACACACGATCATGGTTAAACGACTTGGGGAACCTTGCGCTCGAGAATTCGATGACTGATACACAGGAACTAAACCTTCGGCAGTGCCTATACTTGCCTTCAGAAGAGGTCGTAGATAGAAGCTTCCGGGGAAAAGGTTCCCAAAGGTTAAAGATCCACCAGACTCTGTTGCAGCATTCTTACGATAACCATCATCGCCACTCAGGGACAGGAGAACTGCTGGGAAATTCTCCTCTGCCCCTTCTCCGGGAAGAATATTTACAACAATCTGACCCAGTTTCTGGCAGGAGAAGGTATTCTCGCCCATAGATTTTAGATAATATCCTGCCTGGAAAAACAGAAGGTGAGGGGTTAACTATTCCACTTCCATTGAGAAACACCTACAAAAGAGAAACACCTACAAAAGATGACTAGAAAAAGCCGTGGTCAAAGTCCAACCATTGACATGTTTACAGGTACACCCAAACCAACTACATCTGGGAGATTTCGAGTCATGTAGAATGCGTGTAGGACACTTCAGATAGAGCTGGAAAAGCAAAGGACAGAACCTTCGCAGCTTGCACGTCGTATGACGTATCATCGTACAGCGGTCCAGCTGAAAAGGTACCATCTTCTCCAGTTAGAGTCCATGCTGCTAATTCTCCTGCCTTCAAACGCCCCAACGAGCTATCTCCGACCGCAAGAATGGTGACATTTACACCCGCGATAGGTGGAGTGACTGTGCCCGACTTATAGACTCCGGGACGGCCGTTGAAGACGGGGATCTCGGGCTGACATCCGTCTGTCTCAACATGAAACTGCATTGATGTGCAGGAACCAGAAAAATGAGAACACTTACAGCTAAATCTCTCCTCTACAGGATATGACGATAGCATCCAAGATGTGCTTGACTTTAGGCTTTCGAAGATCAATTACCTTTTGATCTCTAGGATAAAATAGAATCTTCTTTCCGTCTGATAGTTCAGCATCGGAATCCTGCTCTCCATGTCTTGGGGCGAATACCAGCTTGTCTCCAAGTTGTGCCCAGTGAGCATACTTATAGACTGCAACTGGATGAGTTTCATTTGATTCGGCGACAAGATGCATGTGAACCTTCTGCGCAACCTGATCGCCATCCTCATGCCATACATCTACAGACATCGAATTCGCAAGATTGTTTGCCTCTGGGTACAACTTCGAGTCGATGTTCAAGTGCCCTGTCAACACGTATTTTTCCCCCACAAGATGCAACGGCTGCAGTAAACAAAGACCCCGTTAGTGTGCACCATCATGTACACTGACTAGTACAACCAGTACAGGCAATTTTTTCCTCCTATTGAAGACTTCACATGTCGGAGCATTAGAACGCTTTGAACAATTATCAGCGCTGCTCTCCTCCTTGGGTAGAAACATAACCAGGTTTCAGTGTGAGTGATGTCAGGCACATAGATGAGCCTAAACGCGTAGGGATCATAATGATGAACACAACTCCTCATTTCCCGTAAAAATTTAAAGCGTTCATTGCATCCGTCTGATGATCCACAAGATGCGAGTGACATGTCTTCAAAGGTTGCACGGAAACTGCTCTTGAGACACTACCTCAGGAATGGCTGTGTCGACTCGGAATGACAAAGCTCCGAAGAATACACATGGCCAAAGGAACTGAAGCTCATGGATGCCTGGAGATTCCAGACAAACTTTTTGCCACCCTTTCTGCACAAATACAGATAAGAAGACGTTCATATTCATGTTCGCTATGGAGTCATCAAAATCTCCGCTATCGAGAAGTACAGAGCATAGATGTCGGGTTAATCAAAGAAGCAGGAATGTTAAGATTGAAGGCCAAAAGTCAATGCAAGAGATTGCAAGATTTGCCATCATGTGTAGAAAAATGCACCTTAATTTGAAGAGGCATGGCATCCTTCTGTTCATGCAGGAAGTATGCACTCGCTGCATGCGTGGATTGGATGTGCAGCCAGTAACCCTTTTGCACAAACGTCAACCCACTGATGTCTTCGATACCAACGTCAACGGAAAGGGACTTTTGCTCCCAACACCATTCGTCATCCCAGCTTGCTCCCTGAGTCAAGGGCTCATGTGCGATCTGTCACCATACGCAAAATAGCACAATAAGTCAATCAGATCCTCATAGAAACAAAGCTGGATACAAACCTCGCACGTCCACTTAAAAAGGTCAGCAGATTTTTAAAAAGTTTCTCAACAACGAAATTAGCAAGGTTCTGACCTCGAGGTGGTACTTTCCCGGCAAGACTTTCTCAAAAGAGAAAGATTCTCCATCCTCTCCTACGCGAGCAATCTGCTTTTTGCTGGAATCTGCTTTTGCGGAGGGTGTTGTGCTTACAGGGCTGAGGGAGACAACTACATGAGAGGAGCACGTGCCCTTACACTTCACGATACCCGAAACACTGACTTGGGCCTGAAACGAGACACGCTTGCAACGTGAGTTTCATCCACACAGAGAATTTCCCGGCTTCCTTAGTACATACATGGCTTTCAGCGAGTTTATAAACTCTGCATAGAAGCTCAAACCATACCTGGACGAACAAAGCATCGGTGACTGGACCGTAGACAGTGATATCCAGATAGGGAGGAGAAAATATGAGGCCAGCGACAGTTTCTGTGGGAGTGATCAAAGGGGATAGCCGATAGTCTCCAGGAGGAACCTGATACAGCAAACGAAGTACTTTAGTCCACAGAAGTTGGAACTGAAAAGCTTGATGACATCATTACATCAAGCTTTTAGGGAATCAATCTCAACTTGATCTCTTTGTGAACCATCTTTACAACATCTGAGAGTCCTAGCCTCAGATCAAGCAATCAGCACAAAGATCTTCTGAACACATTAGGTCAAGTCGCCGACTTACCTCGAAACAGAATGAACCGCGTTCATCACTTCTTTTGGTTTGCGGTTTCACATTTGCTGGTCCATGAGTGAGAGCAACCTGTCTCTGCATATTTTCCACACGACATGATTCAGCTAGCAAGGAATCCAAAGTTGTAGGTGACCTTTTTTTTAGTTGAAGAGATTTCGAACTCATGGCGTAATATGATAGAAGAGTAAAAACAGAATCAGGAAGTTCTATGTAACAGATAGAATATCTATCGTATAGTGGACCCAAAGCAGTGTGTCGGAAGGCGACTGGTCCTAAGCTCCATACAGACTCTCAAATGAAGCGGGCACAAACTACGGCGAGTACATACCACTCCCGTATGAGCTGCACTGAGAACACTGACTGATCCACAAACAGCATAATGGGTTGCTTTGATGTCTGGAACCGACGCCATGTTTGGAAGAACCTGTCACATCCAATAATAACACTTGTAAGAAGGCATCACGTAAAAAAAAATTGTCAAATGCACATCAGCGGTGACCGTGATTGCAGGAACCTACCATGAAGTTGTCCAAAGTGCTGAACTTGTAGTATGGCTTTTTAGCCTTCACAGTGTGGTGTGTTGATGTAACCTGCGCAGGTGTTGTGATGAGCGATGACTTCCATCAGTAAACCAGCACACCATGCTCACAATTGGAACCGGTTTACACAGGACAACATGGAAACACGAATTCAGAGCTGTGGGCATTCGACGCTGCATGGGCTGAATACATCACCTGGTCAAGCTTGTAATATCCTTGTGCATCGGTGGTTGCGCGCTCTACATCTTCAATCACTATCTTCACACCTCCTATTCCTGCACCCTGAGAATCTACAACGCGGCCTCTAACCGAAAACCCAGTGACCTGCATTTCGTGTATACACAATCTCAGTATGCATTCCTTATTATGTGACATGGGACACAAAAAGATGGAAGAAGGAAAGTAAATTGTTCAGGCAGGTTACCTGGAAAGGTTTGGCGATTTCAACAGAATCGTGTGTGACATGTATATCAACAGATGGTGGTGAAATATCAAAAACAGTTGTATCGCCCTTGTAAAAAGGAATGAGCTGATAATGACCTGCGTTGAGTACCAGACGTGGAGATTATGGGCACTGGCCTAGGATAAGCCGAATCATAAGTACTTCATGTAGCCTGATCAGCAAAGACTTAGATTTAAGACAACTACAACAACAAAAAGCACATGAAGATTATACAATCCACGAAATACAACAAAGTGGAAGTGAGTAGAAGAGAAACTTCCACAACTTCTTACGTACCGCATGGAACAGAAGAGAATGTGAATTTCCCATCTACACCTGAAACAGCGTGGCAAAGAGCTTTCTTCGGCATAACGTTTGAATCGCCTGGTCCGTTGGGACAAGGAATCTCCTGGACATCGTCTGAATAGAGATACACCTCAACTCCAAGAACAGGATTGCCCTGTACGAATGTAGAAAAGTGAGCATGAGCTTCGGACAACTACTTCACAATTGCCCTCATCACAATAGGCGGACTAATATAACTCTTAGTTTGGCAAAAGCCATGGAGTAAACATTGTCCGCTTGAAACCCCAAGATGGAAGTTCCAGAAGTTACTACCTGAGATACGACGGAACCATCGATGTCGTAACCCGCTATGAAGAAAATGTCATCCACAACGCCGTTGTTCCAGTTGAGTTCCGCCTGCAAAATTCAACAGCACGCTGAGCTTAAGGAAATTAATTTGAAATATACAATTATCTCACTCTAGGTATGTTTGAAGGAAAACAAACAGTCTGAAATCTTCGATTCTAAGGGGGAATTTGCCCGGTCAAGTATATAGTTAAACCTAAAAGCTAAACGATTCCACGTTCTCTGTCACTGACCTCTGGCACTCCATTGACCTGGACGTTCCACTTTGGATGGGATGCCGAGAGCTTATATTTTCCTGACAGAACAGCTCATACACGTTTAGACGCATAAATTACATTATATTAAAAAACGAAGGCTCTGCATCTATCACCTCCAAATGCTGGACACTGACAAAGAGTAGACGGGAATTTCAAAGCTCGCCAAGTATTGTACCTGCGGGGAGGTTCGAGAATTTGTAGCTGCCGCCTGGTGATGTAACCACTGTCATGGATTCACCAGATGAACCACCTTCTGGAACAACAGTGACCTTGATACCAGCAGGGCCTTCAGTTCCGGAACAACTTGCTCCTCCAGCTGCCCCCAGTACCTTTCCGGACAGAGAAAATCTACAAAGCAAGGTATATCAAGAAGAAAACCTTCCGTTCAAAAAGAAAAACAGCCGAAAGAACAAGAGTTACAATTTCCAAGCTGATGACAAAGATATCATCTTTGTCATTAGCTTGTTTTCCATCAAATGCAACTCTATGTAAAACGACACCAGAAAACACACCAAAAAAAAGCAAGCAGGTATATGTTCGGGAAACGTGACCTACCCAGTATATCTAAAGTTGATGTCGTCATTGTTGTTGCAACCATTGTGATCAACAACAGCAGTAACCTGTACATGCTCTTTCTATTCAGTAAACGACGACGATCACAAGCACAAAGATATGATATGAATCTAAAATAGGCTCATAGAAATCGCTCGGCGCACAGACATGATTAGATTGTTCTGAATGCTAAAAGATTCATGTTGAAGTGTCCACTGGATTGATGGATTTGTTTTGTGAATCAACGACCTGTACAAGATAAATGCTCCTCAGCAGCAAAAGCAGAAATCTGAAGTCATCGGAAGTACTTGTGTCTGAAAACACTTACCTGCTCAGGTTCAAACGACCAACCTTCCAACCCTTTGATTTTGATAACAAAAGTACCCTGTAATCCACAAAGCACAATAATTTCAAGAGGTATACTGGGTTGTGGCACTGCGTGTAGGAAAGGGCATCTTGAGAACTAGAAGCACAACTCCTGCAACAGAACTTCCTGCACGTCCTGTACTTTCGGATTCGTAATGAAAGACATGTAAAAGAAAATTATGTTAAAAAGATGCTACTACTTTTTGATGGAAGAGAGGGGAAGAGTCATATCATCAGGTTCATTATAATAGGAGGACAACGTACCCGATCATAGACAGGCAGATAGTAATACCCATTGGGAGCACACTGTGTGCTGTCCTTTATGAGACCGTCCAATGTGCGAAGTTCCACCTGTGAAATTGAGATAGCAGAGGAGTTAGATAATTCGCTCCAAAAATGCGAAAGTTCTACGAAAGGTAGGCAAGTTTGTACCCTTCAAACAACACTACATTTTGTGGGTTGTCAGAGGTCTTACAGTCATGTGGGAGTAGTCCAACTTCGGATCCGAGGGTCGTCGCAACTTTGAAAGGGCTGTACTGGCCTGGAGCAATGCAACAAGCTCTCCTTTCAGCGGTTTGAAATCACAAACGAAAGTCATATCTTACGATCATGAAAAAATCATTCTGAAACCGCCTCAATTTGTTGGCACTCTGAGTAGGTCACGCGTTAAGAGTTTCTAGAATATAAATGTGAATATCCCACTCAATAGTGTAAAGAGCAACACCCTTGTTTCTAAATCTTCAAGGTCCACATCAGCATGCTGCATAGAAGCAGAGCTGAACAACTCTAGTATTTTTCTCTTCAGTCATCTAAGAAAATGTGGTTGTGAATATGTGGTCAATGCCCACAGTTCGACGAGATAACGAAGAACTGGCGTTCAAATATTTTGCAAAAAGACGAAATTCAATCAAATTTGCTGCTCCCTCAGTCTTCTGTTCAAACTCGTTACAGTCCGACCCCGATAGGAAACTAATCAGCAGGAAACTCACTTCCGATAGCTAATTCAAACTTGGTGTTTCTATCAAATTAATGTATACAAAAACAATACACAGTCTGCTTATCACTTCCTTCAAAGATAAAATCTTAAATTATAGATCAACGTCGGTATGAAGTGAACGGTTTGATATTAGATGGTTGTAGTACTTATAGCCCATTCGTTTTAGTATGGCGAGATTAGGTGTATAAAACCATCGTTAACAGAATCCCTCATGACAACGTGGACGAGGTAAGCTATGCATTGAGCGAAGCTGTCCTCGTCCACATTGTCTTCATCAAATTTTGCCCCAGCCGTAAGTCGGAATTTCCGGTCGTCTGCCGTAAGTCGGATCATCACACGGTGACTCCGTGCAATTACCTCGCCATGCATCTCTCCAAAGAATAATCAAAGTTCCTTTAACCACCGAGGAGGTTCAGCTCCTAGATTTTCTATTGATGGGATCTCCAGTAGGTCATGTAAGGGATCTGTGGAAATGAATCTACATGTCCCAAAATCAGAATCCTCAATCCAATTAGCAGAGGACTTCCCTCCACATCTGATGAAGGTACACAAAACCAAAAACACCTCAGGGCAAGTCAACTCTTCAGCTCAGTCAGTGTACCACTGTTTTTCAGATTCAGATCTGGGTGGTTGATCGATCGATGTCAGTAGAAAATGAATAAATGGATAAAAGGTGTACATTTGAACCCTACAGCCTGATCACCTCAGCTGCTAAGTCAAAATATACAACATGAACAGGCTGTTGGGGAATCCGAAGAGTGCTCGAGACACCGCACGAAAGTGCAGTATGAGGCAAATCAACATCCCAGAAACGGATCGTGAAGCACAAACCTCGACAAAACCTCCACATCCCTGAATGGAATCGGCAGCTGCAGACGAAACGCAATGCAGGAGGACCAGTGCTGCCATTAACCATGACAGCTTGTCCCCCATCGCGACCTCCATTCACGCCGTTAGGCTCAGAGCCTCAGGGAAAAATTAATTCCCTTTTATTCGACCGATCCTCCCGTACACAGCTACCCGAAGCCCTCCCCTTCACGCGACAATGATCGGGAACGTCATTCATTCATTCGGCCGGGCGCGGCCCGCCTCGATGCAAATCCTCCTCGAACAAAACCGGGGCCGCGAGACGCTGAATCTTCTCGTGTCTTGCTTGAGTCGGCCGATGTCGTTCCCCTCCCCTCCCCTCCCTTCCCTTCCTTCCTTCCTTCCTTCCTTGCTTGCTTCGTGCTGCTCCATCACAGGAGCTCCCGGTCCGTCCTACTGTTCCGCTCCACCTCCTCCGACTTCGTTCTTCCGCTCCATGGTACTCTACTCGTCATTCTCTGTTCGTGGTTGCTCTAGTTATTTTTAGTATTTGGCGACCGACGCAGGTCCACCACTCTCCCATGGTATTCTCACTTTTCTTTTCTCTCGATTCCGAAATATGATATACATGTGATATTACACATACAAATCTAAATAACCATCTAGCTTGCCGTTTTGTTAAAAGTTTTGAAATAATTTTAGAATATGTGAGTTTTCATTATTTTATTCTTTAATAAAGAATTGATGTAAATAAAATAGAATCAATTACCAATATTTCTTACTTTCTAGGGATTGATCATTATTGAATAAGAGAGGTTAAATTTCCTAGTCCTAAAATGCTACAGTTGAAAATTAAATCCATATTTCATAATCTTAAATACATTTTTATCAATATATGAAAATATAAACCTAATTTAACTCTGTTTTAACATTATATATTTATTTATTTATTTATTTATTTATATTTATATAATGTAAGAAAAATCATTGGATGCTAGAATGTAGATATCAGTGAGAAATTTTTTTGGAATAGTTATTATATTCGATTTAACATTTCAAACAAAATCTGTTTAAATTTGAAAATGAAAATGTTCTTCTTAATAACAAAATTTTGCAGACGATAGTTATTTATATTGTTGGTCAATATGTTCGATTACATTTTTATAATATCATAAAATCACTATGACAATACTCATATTCTAGTACTTTTTTGTTAAATTCATTTGCTTTTTACATCATATGACATGTTTTAAGTGAAATCACAATATTGAACATTGTGATACATATAAAAAAAAATTAGACTCTTCAAATTATGACCACTACAATATTTGTATGAGAATATGTGTAATTTTCTCCAAAGTTAAATCAAGTTAAAAAGAGTTGTATATATCTAAAAAAACCTTTTATACAGATTATATATTTGCACATGGATATAATAAAATATATTTCATGAAACATATTATCTTGAGACTTTAATGCAACAATTATAATATCTTGTTTGCATAATTCAAGATGATTGTACGAAAAAATGTTTAATAACATAAAATTACAGAAAAAATATTCAAAATGTTGCATAGTATTAGAAGAACATGTTTCATGAATTTTATTTTTAGCCATATGTTAATATTTATCAAATTAAAAAAATTTAATTTGGTGTATTTCATCATGATTTGATCTAAATCATTATCTAGACTTTTTTACTTAGATTTGAGAGATATATAAGTTTTCAGATATTTCAAAAAATCAAAAGATACATAATTTTCTTTCAGAACTATAGATTGGTTCAATAAACAAATCTATAAAATACAAATCAACACAGAAGACAGTTTTTCATATATAAAACTGATTATTGTTATAAGTAAAATTGAATTCCAAATCACTTCCACAATCTAATGATGTAAATCACAATTTTATATTTATAAATAATTATATCTTTAAAACTTCAAAAATGATGAAATATCATTATCATCTCGAATTGAATGATGATATTCATTATATTGTGATATTCAAGTATTTGTGTTCTCATAAATTATGCATTTTAAAATAAAATGAACATTATGATAGTCAATTTTTTTGTTGAATTTTGATTGATTTAAAATATAACTACTTAAATGTAATTTTTAAATTTTACAATAATTGATGTCATTGCTCACACATAATGAAATTTCATGATAAGTTGATAGTTGATAAGTTTGGAAGATTCAATTTATGTATTGAATAAAAGTGTGATAATATTAATCAAATTGTGTATGTTTTTTGCTACATTGATGTAAATTATTTTTCTTGAAATTATATATTTATTTGAGCACCTGTAAATTGTAGAGCCATCAGATCTAGTAAAAAACATCAGATGAAAAGTACCTTATCTTGACGAACATATGATTATTTATGAACAAAATACAGATTTTTATTATACTTCGCTTATTCTAAAGATAATATTATACAAAGATGACAACCATATTGAGTGTTAATAAATTTTATGATAGATTCTACAAGCATATAAAATGTGTTAACCTGTTTTTACACCATTGCACTAATTTGTGACCATAGATATGATTTTGTGACCTATTTATTATTCACTTATTGAATGCATGATCAAACAAATATAAAATGAAAATAAAAATAAAAATTGAAACGTACCATGCAGTATGTATAAAATAAAATATCAAATGATTCCTCTTCATCTTTTGCTGATGATTCTCAAAGTAAAATGATCAAATACATGAAATAAGTTCAATTAAGGGGGAATTTATGATAGTCGTGAAAATTTGATTAGATTTATTGAATTGAAGTGAGAAACATAATTTTACATTAGCATAATCATTATAATGAAAAGAAATCTATTATCAATATTACATTCTAAAATGGGTTATTGTGATAATGTTTTATAAAAACTCTTTATTTCTCTTTTAGTAATGAATTTGCAATTTCATGAAGATTCTACATAATATTCATACAAAGCTCAACCTCCCTATAGTGGCGTACAATGGTGCTAGGGTTTTATGTCAGTATGGGGAGTGTCACTCACGAGATTAAAGTGATCAACCTTGAGTATAACCTCAAAATAGTAACATACATTGGTGTTAGAGTTGGATGTCGCCATTGGGAGTGACTAATCTTGAATACAAACTCCTAATAGTGACATACATTGTTGTTAGAGTTACATGTTACTATTGACAATAGTGAATTACCGTTCTAATTGAGCAGATTTACAATTTAGAAACTAATGGTTTTGGAATTTGAGTTACTAATGAGAGTATGTGACTCATGACATGTGACACTATTGGGAGATTTAAATCTGTATGTATACTTTTTTTCTGATTCTGATAGTTTTGAAATTCATATAAGAAAAAATAATTTTAGAATACACCTAGCATAGTTTTCATTAACATATAATTTAATGTAGTGCACATTACAGAAGACGCGAATGATTTTTACCTTGCAGATATTATCTCGATCTATCACTGAATCCGTTGAATTTATTCAATTTCTGGTTGAATTAGATATTCCTGTGGTTTGCTCTTTTCATTTCATCCATTCTTCTCCTCTCATAGCCCAACATTCAACACTTGACAAAGCGTCGACCAAACAACATGAAACTCTCGCAAACAACGAGCAAGTCCATGACCGGAATTAAGGTGGCGCAAACTGAAGGAATAACAATAATTCGACTGTGAGGATGGCAGATGCCGCTGTCAGAACGGGGACGAGCGCCGTGACGAGGATCGCACATGACGAGCCTCGTGGCTCGGACTGGCAGACGAACATGGACGCCGCTCGTGCAACGACGATGCGGACGTTGCGACGTTCGCGGAATTCGAAACAGGCCCCAAGTTTGAACTGATCCGCGACCTTCCGCTTCCTCTTCGGCAGCTCCCTTCGCGCACCGGCGACCTTTCTGCTCATCTCGTCCCCGATCGAGCACGAGGAAGAAGCGTGCGGATGCTCATTATCCTCGAGAGTTAAGACTTGAGAGTTGAGACATTGCATCTGTTGACGACGACGATCAGAATAGTGGCCCCGGGCTTGTTATGCCACTCCCGGGTGTGAATTCTGTTGCTGGTCCCGTTGCGTTACATTTGCTGGTTGGAGTTTTCAATTTCGAGCTCGTATGTTAGTGGTGTGGTGCTCGGGATTCGAGGGAAATCCTCAGGTTCCGTCGGCCGGGGAATGAAAGAAAGGTGGTCGAGAGCAGGGCAGAGCAGAGGAGGACTGAGAGAGTGTATGTTTGGCACTACTGTGCTCGGCCAGGTTGCCCTTGAATGCTGTGGAAGCTGCTTCTCTCGAAGATTCTTTCGGGGGCGAGATTGGATTCGGTAGAAGAATTGAGTCTGTATTCGGTTTGAGCTGGCTGCCGAAATAGAGAACGTGAGCAGGAGTGCGCGTTGAAATTGGAGTGAGTTCGTCGACTATAAGGGTGCATCCTGGTCAGCAAGGTTTATCGGTGCGCAGCATTGGGTGGCGCCATTATAAAGCGTCCTGAAGGGTCGATGACTGGCAGATCCCCTTCTGTGTAGTCTCGGTTTCACAAGACGGTGCGGTAAGGTGTACTAGGAGGAGCTCGGAGACTTGGACGCAGTTTGAGAGATCCTCGCTATTCTGGTGCAGCACCAAGAAAGTCAAAATAGTGTTTCGACAATTTCGCGTCAGAGATCTTTTACTGTATTTGGGGCAGGCAGGATGAACTAGCCCGTGGTTTGATAATTCTACGCCTGGAGGTGTTTCAGATCTCTGTCAGCTTTTCGACAGGGCACAATGCGCCGGGGTATTGGTAAGGCCTTAAGTTTAAATCGAAAGCAACGATTTCTGTTTTTTTATCAAGTATTGAGAATTGCTGTAGTTTCAGGACTGACATTGACACAATATTGCAGAAGGAGGGTCCGGTTTACTGGACACTGTAATTCTGGAGATGCGGAAGAGAACCTTATGGACTCAAGTGGTCTGGAATGTGATCACTGCGCTGGCATTTTTGGCTGTAGTGACGCCCGTATTTATATGCGTGCACGATGCCATTAGCTGGAGGTCATCTTTCTTTAATGTACGTCTCCACCTGGGCCACATTCCTGGAAGTGTTCCTGATTCTTGTACCTCAAATTGGGAATGAATGTCCATGAGTTCTTTTCGAATACTTAACTTCTTTCTTTCTCTCAAGTGTGAGTTATCAGTGTTTAGGATGTCTTTATCCCTGTCAATGAAGGTCTGAACGACAACTAGTGATAAATAGGACAACCGCAGGTCAGTCATGAATTTATGGATCTATCATCCATTCTTGACTCTTGCTCACACCTGCACTCAAATACACGGGCTTCAGTACACTCAAGAAGCAAAGTACGGTCATGCGGATTTGCTTCTAATCGAGCATTGCTGCCGTTTAGTAACTAGAGCTTGAGGTCTGAGGCGCGACCAAGTTCATAGTTATCACGGTCAGATTTACTGCCTTTCGAGGAATTCTTTGAAAATTTTGTTGCTCGGAAAAGTCATTTCTGATTCTTTCTTCTTGAGTTCGAAGAGACATTACCCTTAGAAAATGAAAGAGAAAAGAATGGAAGAGATGGGAAACGAATCTGAAGTTTGACGTTTCTTGCATGAATGAGATGGGAGATGAGATGGGGAGGAGACATAGCTCCTCACCCTGTTAGCCATAATATTTTTCCACAGCCTAGGAGGTTGAAAAAAATATATTCTTATCATACATATAGCAATTTCTGTCGTTTTTTATTTCCTTTAAACCTTCTCACTTCTTCTTCTCCGTCTTCTACCAGCCCCCTGCGATTCTATGGTCTGGAGGCCATGACATATAATTGTGATAAGTTTACTTCTCCGCGCAGGATTGGGAAGTTTCGAAAGCAAGACACCCTCGCCTTGTGGATGCCATAAATGTTACTCGCCTGGTAAGTGCCACAAATGTAAGTCTGAAGCAAAGGTTCGTCGAATCCAGTGGAGCTATCTGTTGAAATAAGTAGTCTTGTCGCAAAGCTCTCCGGAGACTAGTAACGCTTTACTTATCTCCATATTTTCTTTTATCTCTTTATACAGAAGGATGCAGAGCCCGAAGACTTATGGTATCCACCTGATTACCACGGTTGGAAAAAGTGTCCAACACATCTCAAGTCTTCATCGAGTATGCTACCGCACTCTCTGCTTGCTTGAGTTTTTTGCGAATCTGCTCTATACCGGATTGTAAGGACTACATTATTCTATACTTGAAGATCTGTTTTCGATTTCCTCTTCATAGGAAATCGAGAACAGATCTTAAAGTGTAGACGTCAAAGTGTAGTCGGAAGTTGAATGTTGACTCTGTTATATATTAGTTTATTAGTTCCAAAAATAACTAATAATTTGGATACATGAATGGATTAGTCAGGCAAAGTCGATCCGATGTGCATTTACGAGCATTTGCGAGTTGGACCTTTAGTTTAGTCACGCCACGTGGATGCTCTAGATGCAGATAAATTTATCTGGCTGAAAGAAGTCTTACATTTCCTAAACCGTCTTTTTTGAAGCCTACCGACGTTTTATTGTGGTATGTGGTTTCTGTTGCAGCGCTGCCAGAAAAATCGAATGGCTACCTTCAAGTTTTTCTGGATGGAGGACTTAATCAGCAGCGAATGGGGGTAACTCTGGCGGCCTCTTTCATATTCTTTTTCATTATCTTCTTCCTTACGTGTACTCAATTTCCGATGTAGAATCGTAGTCCTTCTTGCGCCTAGTGGGAACACTGAGTGTTTTAGCTCCGAGAGGGTACAAATCGTGTCACTGATTTCTGCATCATCACATCAAAATTCGTTTCAACCGCAGCTTGCGTTTCGAATTCTTATTTCTTCATAAACTTGTAAGCCGGAATAGATTACAAGTAGGGCAATTGTTTTATGTGTTTTGATCATCATTCTGGAAAAATAACATGGAATTACAGACCATACTGAATTGGCCTACGAAGTTCGAGGAGATCAACAGCTTTTCTGCTTTAGAGAACTTGTTGGCGCCTAACGTAATTGTGCTTTCCCTTCTGGAAGCATTTCTAAATTATTCACATGAACAATGCCTTCAGATATGTGATGCCGTTGTCATTGCGAAGATTTTAAATGCCACTCTCGTGCTTCCACATTTTGACATGAATCCTGTGTGGCGAGACCCAAGGTTTGGAGCTATCCTTCTCAGTTCCCCAGCGTGTTTGGATCTGTGTTTCGATTTTCTGGGGATCAGTTTCAGAAAACAGATTGTAAACTTGACTTTTAGAATACTTTCAGTGAAACATGTTCATCATATGTACAACTTTAATCACGTAAATCAATGGTAACTAGCCAAGTCATTTGTTCTAATAGAAATTGAATATTACATTTGGTATTGTAGATGTAATCTACTATTAATCTTTATGTATGGTAGTGGAAGTATGCGTAAGTTCAAGTTACGTGGAGTCTTAAGTTGTGATGTTGTTTACCACCTCGACACCGATGGTCAAATTCTTCCAAGTTCACGATGAGAAGAGAAGTCAGTGATTTGTGTGCAGCATCTTTGCAGACGTATTTGACGTGGACCATTTCCTTGACTACTTGAAGAACGATGTACACATAGTATTGGAGCTGCCGGGAAACCTTAGTTGGAGTTCTCGTGAATATTATGCTACTGGTGTCCGCGTCACAAGAATCAAGGATGCTCCTTCCTACTCTGGACACATGTGGTACATAGATAGAGTTCTTCCCATACTTCAAACGTAAGTACTCAAGTTCTGTGCTATTCTGTAGTGCAGTACAGTATGAATTGTTCGCGTATCTTGAGATGGAAAAGACACCGACCTGCTGGGATTCATTGTAGTGTAACTGAAATTCTTCAGACAAATGAGATGCATAGTTTTAGAAGTTTCAATGTCTACAACCTTGTAGACGCGTGACGTCGGCTGATACCTACTGGAAAAGCCCTTCTGGACTATTCTGTACTATTATGTAGTCATTCGTACAAGTTCATATGATTTATATAGAGAATGGTAATTCTGAGTTAGGTTAGAATGTGATACCAACTTGGATGTAAGAAGTTGTGCGTACATTCCTTGAGTGAGATACGTACAGTGAGAGCCAGCTGCTGTCTCATTGAGTGACAAGGAATGTATATGCAATGAGAGACAGCTGCCAGCAGGGTTTACTTTTATTGTTTGCACCAAGAAACAAGAAAGCCCATGAGGGCATCAACTAGAATGTAAGCAAGGGAAAGACCGGTTTGGAGGAAGACCTGACATTTATTGTGGTTCTGGTTATTAGCGTAATATTGTGGGTTTTTTCTCTATTCTATAGCAAGCTTCTCCAACCAGGTCAAAATCCTTCGAGATGTCATTTATATCTATCAATTGGCTTCTTTTTTGGCTTTATTGGACGGTTGCCTTGCCTTTACTTTGTTGAAGTGAACCAGTGTTCGTACTCCAACCCGCCTTTGGATATTGTTGATTCAGGCATGGTGTCGCCGCGATTGCTCCTTTCACACATAGGCTTGGGTACGAAGGCCTTCCTCCGGGGATCCAGCAGCTCCGATGCCGCGTCAATTTCGAGGCCTTACGATTTGTGCCGAAGATCACAAACCTTGGAGACCTTATCATCCAGCGTCTCCATCTGAACTCCTTAGAGTACAGAGTGCGGGAGAGCAATGTTCCTCGTATGAGGAATCGGTCTTCTAAGTTCTTGGCCCTGCATTTGCGCTTCGATAAGGTACAGTATATTTTGTACTAGGGACTGACATGGAATGGTAAGGGAAAATATTCACCGATCCCCGTTGAACAACTTCTGCGTGTTTACATGGTAGGAAAGCAATCCAGTTTTGGTGACGGATTTCTCAAAAATCCACTTTGAGCGATCAAGTAATGTAATTACTGTTTGATGAGTATTATTGCATAGGAGCTGATTTAGATGCTCTTACCAGAAAGGACCTTCAGTTTACCCTCTCCTAGTTGCAATTGGTTAAACCATTCCTCTTCATGCAGACCGTAGATGTCGTAGTTGTTCATTTTAAGAATATCAGTTGCAGCAAATTGCTTACATGGACCTCAAGAACTCGTAACTTTTTTATACAGAAGATCACAAGATGTGTTCTAGTAATGAAAAACTTTAGTACGCTGTATAGGTAGGTAGAGACCAGAACTTTTTAAGCAAAGTCCTATTTAAAGGTTTGGTTCTTCTAAGTTTTGATAGTTATTCGTTTATTTCTTCGTTGTTTTGCAGGATATGGCAGCTCACTCTACTTGTGATTTTGGTGGCGGTGTAGCCGAGAGGCGTTCTCTTGCAAAGTATAGGCAAGTTATGTGGCAAGGTGGAGTGCCAAATATACAGTACACAAAACGAGAAATTCGCAATCTAGGAAAATGCCCATTAACTCCAGAGGAAGTTGCAATTATGTTGGCTGCTCTGGGCTTTGATGCCGACACACACCTTTATCTCGCCTCTTATAAGGTACTTCTAGGAAGTTTTGCTCCTATCAACAGCTTCCCTGGTGCAGTAAACTATCATATTTCTCGAAGTCTTCTGGGCTGAAGCAGTGCTTGGATAGGACACGTAGGAGTCGTGTATAGTTATGTTTACCTGAACGGAATTGAAGGCTTACTTTGTGGACTTGTTAATAGTTACTAGTTACTAATGTATTGATTTTATACAGGTCTACGGAGGAGAAGCAAGAATGGCTCATTTGAGAAAGTTGTTTCCAAATTTGTCCAACAAGTTTACTTTGGCCACAGCAGCCGAACTCGAACCTTTCAAAGATAAATCTTCGCAACTTGCTGCGCTGGATTATCATGTTTGTCTATATAGCGACGCCTTCATCTCTGCTTCACGAGGGAACATGCATAACGCCTTGGTAATACTCATTTTGCTTGTTCCTCCACTACGTTTGTTGGGAGTTTGTTTGGTTCAGTGATGCGACCAGTAGTGTTGCCCACATGAGCGTAATGAACCTTCAAGTCTGAGTGTGTTACGAAGGATGAACTTGAGCGAGCCCTTAAGTTACTTGACAAGTATAGTAATTTTCAAAGCTACCTTCTTAACTCTTGCCATCCAAGCTTTTGTGGTGAATACTTACGTACCATACTATTCATCACAGTTGGGACATCGTGCATATGAGCACAGAGGGACGACGATCAAGCCAGACATGGTGTTACTCCAACAACTGTTCGCCAATAGTTCCTTCATTGAATATGAAGATTTCCAGGATAGGGTGAGAGTAGGTCATCAAAATCGGATGGGTCAGCTTACTATGAGAAAAGAGATGCAGGCGATCTACACGTATCCAGCACCAGACTGCATGTGTGGACCAGGTTTGTATATGCAAACGATTTCCAGATGAGAAATACATACTTCACAAATATTGAAGCTGGATCTGGAATTGTTTTTGCGTTGGTTGAATGAGCAAAGAGTTGAATGGCATATTCGAGCCCTTTTTACTATCATCATCAAGAGGTCTTTGCATTGGTCATTCTGATCAAATTTGAGTTACTGAAGATGGTATTGCAAGTTTAAAAATCTGAATTACTCGTCTTCTTTTGGTTGACAGATCCACGCTAGTCCTACAAAAGCTGTAGAACTTCCGCATCAACTGGGCATCTTCAGTGATGTCTTTGGGAAGTATTCAGTATATGAAATTAGATTTGTGGAAGCCATTACTTCCGCTGATGGTCAACCAGGATGGGATGCAACGCAGTAGAGTCGTGTACATCACCAGGATAAAGTTCCACCATAGAGCGGAGATTTTCTTCCTTTGTCGCTTGGTTCAGCTGTCAATACCTTGGGCCACCTGCAATACCGTTCACTTCTTTCCACTCAAGTTTTCACGTGAGAAAGACCTGTATGCTTGCCAGCAATTGCTGCTGTAGTTTAGCTCTTAATTTAGAGTTTTTCGAAAGCGAGGTCATGTTAGTACAATACTTTGAGCTCTAGAAGCATGGAATGGTATTCAGGTGATTCTTGTGGGCAAGTTGTAAAGGAGCACTGAGATGAGAGTAGAATGTACAGCGTACACCATGATGTAGAAATACAGATTTTAGCATTGGTGTTGAGATATAAATATCGTGTGGAAAATTTGCAGATTCAGAGAATTTAGGAGAAGTTAGCCGGGATAGATGTGGGAAGTTGTTTGTGATAGCTAAATTGGAAAGTTCAGTACCTCCACATCTCCCCCTTTCATCTCCTGAAGGGTGAAATGTTGTACTGGCTAAAGTTTATGGAACCAGATCTCATGAGTATAGAGCAAGGAAATCTCAATTTGCCGTTACTTCACCTGTTCAAGCTATTAACGTAAAATTTGTTCTGTAAGATCAGATTGCAAACTGGATACAAGCTGCGAGGAGATTTCGAGAGATCAGAACGATTGAAGTACTAGAACTTTCTTCTATGCGAGATCTGCATATGTTCTTTCCACTCTTGCTACACGTACTGACGATGAAGGGGTCTTCAAGCGCTGTATATATCAGTCAGCATTGTATGTGCTGGGTACGTGTTGTAAATTTCGGTCTTTTGTGTCTGCCACACGAAGATGCGCGAAGCATATGTGCAACCAAATTTTAATTTTCTCACTAAGTAATAACCAAAACATTCATGCTTCCAGCTACATTCGTAATTAAAGTAGACTCATCCTCTTTAGATCTGACGAATTGCTAGTGTTTCCGTCAAAAGCAACGTTTCTGTTTGATGCCCGGACGGGAAAATCTAAGGCTATGTCTTCGTAGGTTGAACTATTTGTTTACTTTGAACAGCTGATCTAACCTTGCATAGAGCATGTATAACCAACACGTGAGTGAGCAAGAGCTGCAGCCAAAACTCCGTGAGCACAACGGCTACTGAACTTGAGAGAGGATCTAAATCATCCTGGCAGGAAGTCGAATGTATCACTTAGTGAAGACAAAAGAGATATTATTTCTTGAAAGTTCTCGAACCTGCGAAAAGTTTTAAAACGGTATTTGGGTATACTCTGAAACCGCGAAACTCGCATAAAGTACACGTGACGTAAGCTCTCCACAGAACGTAGACCCATCTGAATCCTGGGAGCATTTATGATATGCTCAATAAGAAAATCTGCGCTTAGATGTACGTATGGTATCTGAGGCGATTCCCGTATCCGGCGAGCGTCCATCAGAGACATCAAAAGTTTGTACGGTCTTTTCATACTACAGCTCGCTTCTGCCTTTCTTTCCAAGGGACACTAAACAAGTACTTGCGTACCCGATAGAAAATGTAGGACCGAGTGGTAGGCCTGCTCGGAACGAGTGAATGTTATTACCTCCAGAGCGACGAGGCATTGTGTAGACATCCGGGGATTCATAGTCTGGTGCCTTATTTGTCTAAATGAAAAGCTTATGCGATCTCCTCTCCTCCACTGTCCACGGATCAGAGCCCAGCTTGGATTTCTAGACATATGGTGAGACTAGCGTAGAAACTTGTGCTCAAGACAGCAGCAGCAGGAGCTCGGTCTTAAGAGTATGATGTAGTGTTTCGGCGACACGGATTTCTATTCATGTCAGCGAAATCAATCATCTCCAAGTACCCTAACATTCTGTAACACTAACAATTCAATTGATTTCTCATCATCTTTGCAATTACGTGTGTCCTTATTAGTCATTCCTGTCTTGATAAGCCAATTTGTCAAATCAATTTTATTTTGAAGATCCAATTTTTCTCCGCGAAGAAATAATCTGGTATTGCTCGATTACGAAGTGAATTTCTTAGTTATAAAAGTGTGAAAATTTATTTTCAAAATCTTAGAATGTTTTGAAGAAGTGAGTTACATGAGTGAGCTACTGAACTCGGCCGTGCCATGCCAATGTGTGTGTGGATTTGTTATTGCTGTTCTCGCATTTATAGGAACCAATCTATGAATATTCGAACTAGTAACTAGTAGTTGATTGACACAAGAAAGTTAAATTCTTTTCTTCACATAAATTACAACGCAATGTAATTGATACTAAAGTTTTATTAAAGAGATTTCAATAATTACAAAGATTCGTTTTATGACTATCATGAAAATGTATGAGTAGACGAGTGTACGATATACTAAAACTCTTTTCTTAAAAAAAGTAAAGAGATTTTTTCAAAAGATTCTTAGAGCAACATTTTCTGTAATCAATATTCTTTGTTCGAGACATTTCGTTGAATGTATTGTTTAGAAAAGAATTTTACTTCTTGTGTCATTCGACTACTAGTTATTAGTTCGAAAAGACAATAGTCAGTGTGTAGTCGGTGCGTACAAATCTTATTTATAGATGCTTATAAATAAGATTTGTGCCTTTGATTGCGACACCAGCAAGAACAAATCCACAAACACGTGCGTATAGATAAGATTTGTGTCTTTGATTGCGACACCGGCAAGATTAAACCCACAAACACGTGCGTATAGATAAGATTTGTGTCTTTGATTGCGACACCGGCAAGATTAAACCCACAACCACATTGGCAAGGCGTGGGTCGAGTAACTCACTCATGTAACAGACTTCATTGCGTTGAATGAACATGGACGTCCAATGTCCATGTAAAAGACTCACTTATGGCAAAGGCAAATTCTTGTGAAGAATGAAAACTACATGGACATCGCGTTTACTGTTGTGTCATTCAACTTCTAGTTACTGGTTCGAATATACAATAGATCGTGCATATAAATAGATTTCTGCCTTTGAGATATTATAACAGATCTTATTTATAAACATGAACTATTGTATATTTAAAGTAGTACCTAGTACTTGAAGAACAAAAGAAATTAATATTTATTTAAACAATACATTTAACGCAATGTTCGAAACATTTCGTTACATGTCTCAAAATTCGAATATTGGATGAAAAAGTAGGTAGTTGGTTCGAATTTTTTGACACTACTAGTGAGAATCTAGCTACTAGCTGAGACTCAAGGATGCATATAAGAAGCCACGGCTTGCTCTCTTCACATATATCTTCACTATCTCTTTTGCCATGAACTTTGGATCCGTGCTAATCTTTTCACCAGAATAGTTCGACTGAAGAAGAGAAACTTTGGCCACATCCACGGCAGAGATGACGAAGACGCTTCCGGCTGCGACGTTTAATGTGGGCAACAATGTGCTCCTCTCCAGAGAAGAATACATTAGAAAGCTGCGCAGCAGATACGAGAAGTTCTTGAAAGATATATGTTACGTCAACACCCGTGAGAGCTGCACTTCTGATGCGACGGATGAGATCTACGCTGCTCTCTCGAGCATACTTCCAGCAACCAACAGATTGCCCGAGAATTTGATCCTAGGATGCACTGTATTTGGAGGTTTGGTTTCCAAGACAGATACGCTCCAGAACCGGATAAAAGTTGCCCATTTCTCAGCTTTGGTAGCAACATTTGACTCGCTTATGCAGGCTTCTAGCTTGCTCTCGATGCCTGATGGTGGAGCTCGCGTGAAGGAAGACTGTGGCCTTTTCATCCTCAAGCTCATCAGTCCTGCAACGTACGAGAAACATTATCACTCACGTGGACCTCTGCATCCTATTAAAATAGGATACAGCAATTGATCGACTGGCTGCAGACAGATCAGAATCCTTTCTTACCGTTGCACCCTCGACTTCACATGACGTGCGTCACAGTAGTCGTGCGCTTCGTGGAAGTGTGTCTACTGGAGCACGAGTTGACGGAGAGTGGGTTTCAGATCGAGCCTGAAATGCAGGGCTTTCCTCAACATGTACGAGAAAAATCTGGCATTGCCGAAGCGTACACTCTTATGGTCCTCGTTGCGCCTCATCTAGTTCCACAGAACTATTCTTCCGAAGATGGAAAGGCGGACCACTCTTTCTTTTACAACAAGATATATCCACTGATCCCTGAGATAAATGCTGCCGTCGACAAAATCAACGACATTTTGTCCTATTACAAGGAGTTCGAGGACGAAGATGAATGTATGGCCTACATTAGCAGCACGGCGAAACTGAAGCAAATCACCACATACGAGGTTCTCGATGATCTGATGGACGAAATGGTGGAGACCCGGAAAAACTGCATGGCGATAGCAGAGAGGAGCGGGTCTCGGGAGGTGGTGGCGACTGTAGCTGCGTTCTTTCAGGGATATATATCGTTTCACTTCACCTGGAACTCACGTTATAAACTTAGAGAGCTATTCGGTGACGACTGGTTCGCGGGTGACTGTGTGTAGATCGTAAGTAGGATAAGTGTGTAAGTAGATGATCACGAACAACTCATCATCTACTTACATAGAAGAAAATAAAATCATTTGTTGTAGTTTTCAGGTGTGGATGCCAAGCACCTGCCACTTCTTTGTACGTACAATGGAGTACACAATTTATACCAGGTTCTCGTACCATGATGGTCAGAAAGCGAAGTGATGTCTCCTCTGTGACACGATTGGCGCAGGAGCTTGGGCTTACACCCAATCCTCGCAGCATATTGTGTTCTTGTTCTACCTCTCATTTTCACTTCTCATGCACATCAAGCATGACACTCAAGACACAGGTCATCTGTTGAATATGCTCTAATGGACTTGAAATCGCACCCTGTAGTGCCCAAACACTGAAACCATACTGAAATCCTGTTTACCTTTCTAAAGCACAAGTTATATCATTATACACAAGGAGCAATGAGTTATCGTTCTGGTCCATTCCACTATCAGAATATTTAGCTTGAGCAGACCTTCTCAGCAAGCATCTACCAGCACGCATCGCTTTTATTTTACGTATGCAATTCAACTCATGTCTCAGCCTTCACCCTCTCGTTAATGTCACGTAGTTGTGCAACCATATATACCTGTGCGTAAAACATAGGTACAGTGAGATGTGACTCGTCCAGTGTTCATTTGATGGCCACTCTCTTCTTCCGCAGTCTTCAGTCTGGACCTCATCAGGCCATCTTCTGAGGTTAGAGAGACGCGTGAGAGGCCACTATTGCTTCATACTCATGCAGATTCTACGTGTTGACTGCCATGTAACCTTGCACGGCCGACATACACTCTACTTTACAAGATATCTCCCCGCCATGAGATAATGAGGAACGCTTTGCCTTCTTTTGCTTCCATTCTGATAGGTTCAATTTATCCTGCGTATCCTGAATGTTCGAATCTTGTTCAATGTTCAACTGCAAGATGATACAAATTGACTAGGAATATCTAATTTCCCTGAAGCTAATGATATATTTTTCACAACCTTTTGGTGTGGACTATTTAAATGGTGAAAAATAATTTATGAAATGTAAGTTTTCAGATACATCTGTATTTATTAGCTGTACTTTAAACTTGATAATATGTATATATTTGTATATCACATGTCATTGAATTGGAAAGATATATGATCATTTGCGCGTGATGAGATTAGTTTATAAAATAGGCAAAGTTTCGTAATAATGATCTCAAACTGACTCATCATGACTAGAATGGTAAGCATTATTGCAATTTTCACAACTTATATAAATTTAGCCCTAAACAAAGTAACCAACATAATATCTTAACTTCCGAAATCAGACATGTTTATGCGATGGCTTGCCTCGCTATCATACCAAGTGATTTGATATATATATATATATCTTTGTCCATGTGTATTTGTACCACATGCGAACTAGAAAACTAGTCATTTAAAAATGTAATACGCATGTGTTTGGTGTGTGACATATACTTGTGGACAAATTCATACTCACTACAATTTAAGTATCTGTGTGAATAAATAAACATAAATATGTAAGACTAATGTCTTACATCCTGAAGTAAAATATAAATTCATGGTATGTTATTTTGCAAGTGGAAAGAGATGAATGACAAAATTTTGTGTGTTAAAGCCATTTTTTAAGTGATAGCTATAGCTTTAAAAATCTGTCCACAAGTAGACGTAAAACTCATGTCAGCTCATAAGAGAGATAGTTGGTAAGTCACCAGATTCACATGCGAGTCTACACGAAACGCGCAATCAGTGTGTTCGTGCCGACTGCGCAAGGTCCACAAAGTTCTTGCGTACTGTTAAATGACTTGCAGAGCAGAGTCTCGATATTTTGATACGACGCTCGTTTCACCGAAGGTAATTCTTTGAGCATGTACGAAATCGATGGAAATAGCCTGTTCCGGCGGTGATGCAGTTGCGCCTGCAGCTCCTGTACTTCCAGTGAGGTCGGCCATTGGACCCCTTGCTCTTAGGAAGTAGATCACCGAATCGAGAGTGGTAGCACACCGATGCTCTGATGACTCTCTGGCTCCCAATCACCTCGATGAGTGAGTGAGCTTATGGCCAACAGTTTTCAATTGTAGCACCAGCTGCAGGCGCTTGTACTCCTGGCGCTGGTGAAGACGGTAGATTCGACTGATAGTTCCGTTCGAGCACACGAGCGTGTCGGGAGTGGGCAGCTGGGAGCCGAGCTCGCTGCCGCGAGCAAAAGCATTTAGATGCACAACACTTATTAAACGGATGCAATTGTTGCCAGGTTTTCAAGTAGGAAGTGCCAGAACTCAGATGTAGATGCGATGGATGAAACACTAGGAGGTACTTTATTCTGTGACCTTTCGAACCATCATCTGTTATGATCACCCTCATCACACCAACCTCATATGAGACGCTCTCCTTGAACACGAAAGTCTTCGTACGTATCTTGCAATCTCACAACATCCATCCAATTCAAGTCCAATCATTGCAAATTCGGAGAAAAAAGTGTATGAGATTCTTCTGAGATCTTTCTCATATTCATAATCATTTCCCCTCCAAATTGGTTTTTTATTGTCTTTCTTTCATCATCCCTTCGACTTGAAGATTTAATGAGAGAACCTTACTTCCTGTCGGAGGAGGAGGAGGAGGCTTGTCAGATTGACTCTGAAGTTCGGAGTCAATCTGAAATCTCGGGTTCAGAGTCTGAACCCGAGATTTCGAGATTGCAGGTACCGCAATGCGATTGCAGGTACCGCATCTTTCCCATGCAGTTGTTACGTCACAGAACGAAGACGCCGGGTGCTCTCGGGAGTGCCACTTGTCGCGGGCAGACGGACGCTCGAATCTTCCGCCGAAATGAATTCAAATCGTGGCGCCCTGGCGCCTTCCGAAGGTTCTCACCATGTGGCACGGTCCGTCGGTCAGTCGGTCTACTGGTCCATCGGTCCATCGGTCCTCGGTCACCAGTCTGGAGGCTAAATTAGATTGCGCTCGTGCCGTCGGCGCTGCGTGCGAAGGCCGTACTCGATCGAGTTCTGTGGCGCGATGTCGCGCAAGACGAGTCTTCTCGTTGTTGGTGGGAGGATCTGCACCCGATTAGGTCACACCGATCGTTTGGTCGCTGTCGGTCTCTGGTCGAGGTCTTGCAGGGCGTCGCGCTGTACTCTACGTGAGTCTCCACCTGAGTCCTCGGCCTCTTTTTCACGTTTGGCACACCTGTTGAGATCAGATGTACGTGCTGAAATTGTAATCAAGCGAGGTCCAGAACATCGGCCATTCGTGTCACCCGGCCCATAGAAATCTTGTGATTCATGTTGTACGTAGAATTGTGTCCTCGTCCTGCTGTGCTTATCTTGTGTTCCCTTGGTCACGTATGTAATAGGTGTCCTTCCTTCCCACACGCGAAGATTTAGGGACTACGAGGCTGGAAGGTGCAGCAAGAAGGCCGCAGGAATCGTACGGTAGGTGAAGGGAACGCTTTCAGGACAGATTTTCTTCTTTCTTTTCGCATTATCGGGTCACAATTGTGTGAGGAATGTCGTGGTGCAGCATAACTTCGGTAAGCACTAGCTTCACGAGACAATGCGCTGCATGGTCAGATTCTTTGCAGAGCGGCGATGAATGCATGAATTGTCGCGCCGTAGAGATTTTTTAGTAGAGTACGGAGATGTCTGGACAAGTTCTTTTACGACGTTCCTTGTAACCGAGAGACCGAATCTTCGTCTTGGACTAATCAGCGGTGTGTTTCGGAGTTGACGAGCCATGTCGCTGCAGGAGACGTCAAAAGCAGCGACAGAGGTCAAAAGATCTGGTCAACACTTCGTCTTATTATGTGGCTGTTGTGAAGCTGACCGTCGATTGTCTATGGTCCTAGAGTCCTATTCTCACATTGTACGTTCCAAGCCTCACGGCAGAAGAGTTAGTAGAGTGCATAGCTGATCTTGAACACTCGGTTGCTCATTATAAAACCGCCACCTTGCATTCAGAAGCATGGTAGTTTCTGACGAGATTTCGACATTGCGGCTGTCGAGTTTGCCGCAAATGGATAGCGTTTCGCATGAGGTAGTGAAGCAAGAGCAAGTGTGTCGATGAGATCGACATAGGGAGGTTGCAGTTGGTTTATGCTGCTCAGACCAAACATTTCATGCACAATATGGCCGGAACACTGGACGAGAATCTTGCGGAGCCATTGTTGGAAAATTCTTGCAAACATGCAGAAGAACGCTTGAGAGGATATGAAGATGCTGGATTTTTCAGTCGTTTGGTATTTTCATGGATGAACGACTTGCTCTGGACAGGGAGTAAGAGAGCGCTAGAGGTTACTGATATTCCACGAATGGGCCCAAATGACAACACTGAGGCCTGCCAGGCAAGATTCTACGACAGATGGGAGCATACACCGGCAGGTAACCGCAATCTGGCAATCGTGTTGGGACGCGCACACATGGGACTACTTTGTCTGACGGGAGCTCTTGGAATCCTTCGTCTTTGTGTGATGTACGCGGGACCTCTTCTGATACAACGGTTCATCGATTTCACTGCTCAGGAGGATAGTATGTGGTTCGATGGCGCCAAGCTTGTTGCGTTTCTCTTCGTAGCGAAGACGCTGGAGGTTTGGGCCGACCATCAGTACAACTTTCAAGAAGAAAGACTTGGAATTTCCATATGGTCTGCCCTGGTCTCTACAGTGTACAGCAAAGGTCTGAAAATATCTGCCACAGCCCGGACAACCCACGGAGTTGGTAAAATTGTCAACTACATGTCAGTGGATTCAAGAGAGCTTTCTACATTGGCAACTCGAGTGCATGACTTGTGGATGATGCCGATTCAAATCTGCTTGGCGTTAGTGATTCTCTACGGCGTTGTTGGAATTGCGACTCTGGCAGGTGTTGGAACCATGGTGGGTGTCATGGTACTGAGCATGTCGCTAGCTTCGAAGCAAATGAATTATCAAGTGAACACCATGGCGGCCAGGGACTATCGCTTGAAGGTCACAAACGAAGCCATAAGTCACATGAAAATCATCAAGCTCTGCAACTGGGAGACAATATTTTTGCAGAGGGTAGAAGATGCGCGGGCCAAGGAAAAAATGTGGGTTTCTAAAGCCAATTATGTCATTTCTGTTGCTGTCTTTTTCCTTTGGCTCGCACCGTCGGCCGTCTCCGTGTCCACCTTCGGCACTTGTATATACCTCGGTATACCGCTCACCCCTGGTAAGGTTTTTACGGCTATTGCTACATTTCGAATTCTCCAGGAACCACTCCGATCTTTTCCGCAACTGATTATGGCAGGTGCACAAGCCCTGGTAGCTGCCAGAAGGTTGACAACCTACTTTGAAAGTAAGGAGCTGGACAGTGGAGCTGTGGAAAGGTTGCCTTTGGGTGTTCCGGACGGTGATGCCGTAGTGGTGAAGGGTGGGGCGTTCAAGTGGGAGCTGGTAGAGTTGAGCCCCACGCTTTCAAATATTAATTTGCAAGTGAAAAGAGGTTCGCTGGTTGCAGTTGTTGGGACAGTTGGTTCAGGGAAGTCGGCCCTCCTCAGTTGCATGCTAGGAGAGATGGAAAGAGTGAGCGGCACAGTGACTGTGAGTGGTAAGGTCGCCTACGTGTCGCAGAGCGCTTGGATACAAAATGGAACCATCAAAGACAATATTCTTTTCGGAAAGCACTTTGATGAAGCTCTGTACAATGACACAGTTCGGGTGTGCGCGTTAGAAGGAGATTTGATGCAACTGACTTACGGAGACGATACGGAGATCGGAGAGAGAGGAATCAATTTGAGTGGTGGTCAGAAGCAGCGAATACAACTCGCTAGAGCGGTATATCAAGAGGCTGATGTATATCTACTGGATGATATATTTAGCGCCGTGGATGCGCATACTGGAAGCTCGCTTTTTCAAGAATGTGTCCGAGGGACCTTGAAAAGCAAAACGTTGCTGCTGGTAACGCATCAGGTCGAATTTCTGCGAGGAGCAGATTTGATTCTGGTCATGCGAGATGGAGGTATTGCGCAGTCTGGGACGTATGACTACCTTCATGACCAAGGGCTCGACTTCAGTGCTTTGGTAAATGCCCACAATGAGAGTCTGAGTTCTCACGAGGACGCTGCAAGGAACGCGTCTGCGAAATCCGAAGATCTCCAAGAAACGGAGAATAGCGACCTTTTTTATTCAACCCTGGATATGTTAGAGCCTTCTTCAGCTGGACTGACAACCAGTCTAGCTAATGCCTCCATCCAAGAGGCCTTGACAGTCCTCTCCCAGCAACTGTTGAACGAGCAAGAAGGTGACGATAAGAAAACACGCACTCAGAGGAGAGCAGATCACGCAAGCGAATGCAAACCTGCTCTTGCGCCACCGGCATCAGAATCCTCTCGTCTGATAGCAGAAGAGGGTCGAGGAAAAGGTCAGGTGGGCTTGGCTATCTACTGGGCTTATATCACCAAGGTTCTCTTCGGGTCCCACGTGATTTCGCTGCTGCTCATTCAGACTGGATGGCAGGCGTTACAGATAAGCAGCGACTATTGGCTGGCTGATTCCACGGCAACGGAGAGCCAGCAAAGTTTAGAATCAAGTAGTTTCATGGAGGTGTACGCTGAGCTCGCAGTCGGAAGTGGGCTGTTTGTATTAGCCCGTACAATCCTGATAACTTTTTCCGGGCTCAAAACGTCTCAGAAGTTCTTCCAGGACATGATCAGGAGCGTGTTTCGAGCTCCAATGTCTTTCTTTGATACCACACCGTCGGGCCGATTACTCACCAGGTCGTCTACAGACCAGGTGTCGTTGGATTTCGACATTCCGTTTGGATATGGATCGACCCTAGCAATGTTGTTCCAGCTCTTGGGAGTTTTGACAGTTATGTCACAAGTCACCTTGCAGATGGTAACCGTAATCGTCCCTATGGGTGTGATCTTCTACTTCTATTCGATGTACTACATCTCCACTTCCAGAGAGCTTACCCGGCTAGATTCTGTCACCGAAGCACCCGTTATCCAGAGTTTTACTGAGACTATTTCCGGTTCATCCACAATCCGCGCTTTTAGTCATCAAGACAGATTCCTCGAACGTAACTTGAAGCTTGTCGATACGAACCTTGCCGTGAAGTTTCACGCCTACGCTTCCAGTGAGTGGCTGGGCTCTCGGCTTGAATTTTTAGGCACTATTGGGCTCTGCGTCTCTGCTCTGCTGCTCGTTGTTCTTCCCAAAGGTCTGATCCGACCTGAGCTCGTTGGTCTTTCTCTTTCTTATGGGCTGGCCCTGAACTCATGCCTTTTATCGTTGGTTCTAGCCATCTGCACCGTGGAGCAGAAAATGGTCGCCGTTGAGCGCATCCTTCAGTATTCCAAACTTTCGAGTGAAGCACCGCTGGTGATTCCCGACCGGAAGCCACCTCCCAATTGGCCCGCCAAGGGCAGCATCACCATGACCAATGTACAGATGCGATACCGCGCCGATATGCCTCTTGTGCTGAAGGGCGTGAGTTTTTCTGTTAAAGGAGGAGAGAAGCTGGGTGTGGTGGGCAGAACAGGAAGCGGCAAGTCCTCGCTCATTCAGGTCCTGTTCAGGTTAGTGGAGCTCGCAGGTGGAAGTATTGTGATTGACGGGATAGATATAACTAGACTCGGGCTGAGCGATTTAAGATCGAAGTTGAGCATCATCCCGCAGGAGCCGACTCTCTTTGAAGGAAACGTGAGGAGCAACCTGGATCCTCTAGGAGAACACACGGATGCAGAGATCTGGGATGCCTTAGAGAAAAGTCAACTGGCCGACGTCGTTAGGGACAAGGAGTCGGGGCTTGATTTTCCAGTAGCAGAAAATGGGCAGAATTGGAGCATGGGTCAAAGGCAGCTGTTTTGCTTGGGCAGAGCGTTGTTGAGGCGTAGCACGATTCTCGTGCTGGACGAAGCAACTGCATCTGTAGATACTCAGACCGATGTGCTGCTGCAAAAGACCATAAACAGGGAGTTTGCCGCCTCCACTGTCTTGAGTATAGCGCACAGAATTCCCTCCGTAATGGACAGCGATAAAGTTCTCGTCCTGGATGATGGCCTAGTCCTAGAGTTTGGGTCCCCTACCAGTCTCTTGGAAAACCCTTCCTCCTTCGCAGCGCTCGTTCGTGAGTATTGGAATAGATCCAATTCTCTCCACGAGTTGGTTTCAGCTGGAAGAGTGTAAGTAAAAGATTTGTACTATAAATCTACAACTGTACAGCGTCGTTGTTCTGAAATCAGGAACCATAAGAAGTCGTCAAGTTGAGGATTCTGATTAATCTCGGTAATACATCCAGTTGTTTATTGTTAACATGCCGTCAGCTGTCTTGAGATTTGTTGTCAGACTTCTTGCATGCCGTGGAAGCTACAATAGCTAGTGCAATAGTTAACAGGAGGAGTTGTAGAGAATCTGGTCGAGAAATCAAATTAACTTTTATAATGACTGCCAGAAGCAAGCCTAGGAACGTGCTCTGACAGTGATATATACGTGTCTACTTCCAATTGACTGCTCAAACTGAAAGTAGGATTGCAAAATTCACCGAGATAAATGCAGCTACATCTTGTATGTGTTGAAATGTTTTCCAACTTTGATCGAATAGTCGGATTAAACACAAGACGGGAGTGTGTATGCAGCTCAGCGAAACATCTGCAAGGTACGAGGCAACTCCACACATACAAGGTGTCTCCCTACTCTCCGATCGCATGCGTGACACTCTCAATGCTTTCCCTTCTTCCAGTCCCTCATATAATGTGGGCGTTGTGCGTCCACCTCCGAAACCTTATTCATGGCAGCACGTTAAACAAGATACGGAAGATGTGTAAGGAAGTGCAGAGCAGCAGGAGGTGCATTGGAGTACATTGCATGTCCAAGTATATCAAAGACTCGGACATGCTTTGCTGTATGATGGATGCTAGGGAGGAGGGTTCCACATCTTCATTCGTTAACTGGGCTGGAGGTTCCATACCCAGAGTCAGGCCCCTCTGAAGTTTGCTTTTGTGACTCGGTTCCAGGGTCGAGGTCGCTGACTTGCGTTTCGTGCCCGCTCCTCCGTTCAGGGAGTCTGAAGTGGAAGATTCCTTCTTCTGGGATGCGGCCTTCAGACACGTGAGCAGGGGGGCAGGACATGTTGCAGTGTTTCGCTCTTCCGCAAGTTCGTTTGACCTCTGACATTGAAAGGTAAGCGACTGGGGAGAGGCATCTTTCCAGCTTTGCAACGAATCGGCGCTCTTCCTCTCCTCTACCTGTTCGGCAAGTTCGTTTGACCTCTGACTCTGAAAGGTAAGCGACTGGGGAGAAGCATCTTTCCCGCGTTGCAAGGAGTCGGCGCTCTTCCTCTCCTCTATCTGTTCGGTGTTGCTGCTTTTCCTTACCGAAGGTAGGTATTGGAGATGTGGTGTTGAGAGTTTCGTTTCCTGCGAGCCAGGTGACTCTTGAGGGTCTCTCCGCTCTCTATGCTGTTTCTCTGTTTTAGGTGCATCTTCGATGGCGGCTGGTTCTCCTCCAGGTGGAGAAGGTCGGAGGAGTTCCACCTCCTTCCGTGGCCCGCTGGTCCTGTTGCTGATTTTCGACTGTGGAACGATTTGGAGAGTTGTGGGAGGTTTCGTGGCCTGGACCGTTGTTGCTTTCGGCTGTGTTGCCTCTCCGTTGTGTCTCCTTTTCGTTCGTGGTGTGGCTTCTTGATTCGCTTTCCTTTTCTGTCCCGTCTGTGTCCTCGCGCCTGGACAGGTCAAGGCGCGAGGACGGAGAGGCAACACAGCCTCTCCGTTGTGTCTCCTATTCGTTCGTCGTGTGGCTCCTTTGTTCGCTCTCCTTTTCTGTCCCGTCTGTGTCCTCGCGCTTGGACAGGTCAAGGCGCGAGGACGGAGAGGCAACACAGCCTCTCCGTTGTGTCTCCTATTCGTTCGTCGTTTGGCTCCTTTGTTCGCTCTCCTTTCCTGTCCCGTCTGTGTCCTCGCGCCTGGACCTGTCCCGTTCTGCGCCGTTGTAAAGAGGGGGTCTCCAGGGCATTTTGTGGCGAGGTGCCCCTGCCTCCTGCATCGGAAGCAGGAGTTCGGCAGGTGTGTGATGTCGATGGGGATGAGCTCAATTTTCTTTCCCAGCTTCACCGGTATACTCGAGGGGGTTGGGGTCCCGTGTTTCCACTCGACGCAAACTCGGAAGATGTCTCTGTTCGTCTTCTCCGTTCTTCCGGGGGTTGGCAGGACCGGTCCGAGGGTGCTCGCAATTTCGTTGACCCATAGAACCTGCAGATTAGTGAGTTTCGGGAACCCGACCCAGACTGGGTAGTGCTCCGGAACAAACTTGTGATCATCGGCTGCTAGAGTCCATTTCAGGATGATGAATTCCTGACGTAGGAAGCTAATCCTGGTCCTCGACAGGGCTCGGTCCCTGTCCTTCCGCGCGCTGAATTGTATGTGGAAGTTGCGGCTTCCCATGCGTGTAATCGAGGACGCGTTGAGTCTCCGATTCCTAGTAAGTTCACTGTCGACCCAGTACTTTACTTGCTCTAAACTGAGGCCACGGTCGAAAAAGTACAGCACTGCTGTTCTTTCCTTCTCTTCCCACCTTCTCTGTACGTCTTCTTCGGAGATTTCTATGGTGACCGGACTGAGTCTGTTGATTGCTTCATCCAGGTCTAGGCATGGTTGTTCACCATGCTCATTGTCTTCCAGTGATTCCGCGTCGGAGCTGCTGCTCTCCTCCCCAGACAATTCGGGGGAGATCCCAGCACCTGCTTGCTGTGGATTCGTCTTGGCTGGGCTGCCCGCTGCCTCCGCGGAGGAAAGTCGGGCACCGAGTGCATCCTTGGGAGGTAGTTGTCGTTGGGGTTCTACTTCACTGTTGTTCCCGCCTGGTTTTTCCAAGAGTCTTCTGTCGGGTTGATGCTGAAGTCTTCGTGAGTGTTCCATCTCGGGCGGTGCGTCGCCTGGGCTTGCTGGTTGTTCACCACGCTCATTGTCTTCCAGTGATTCAGCGTCGGAGCTGTTGTCACTATGATCGGAGCAGCTGCTCTCCTCCCCAGACAATTCGGGGGAGATCCCAGCACCTGCTTGCTGTGGGTTCGTCTTGGCTGGGCTGCCCACTGTCTCCGCGGAGGAGAGTCGGGCACCGAGTGCATCCTTGGGAGGTAGCCGTCGTTGGAATTCTACTTCACAGTTGTTCCCGCCTGGTTTTTCCAAGGGTCTTCTGTCGGGTTGATGCTGAAGTCTTCGTGAGTGTTCCATCTCGGGAGGTGCGTCGCCTGGGCTTGCTGGTTGTTCACCGTGCTCATTGTCTTCCAGTGATTCAGCGTCGGAGCTGTTGTCACTATGATCGGAGCAGCTGCTCTCCTCCCCAGTCAATTCGGGGGAGATCCCAGCACCTGCTTCCTGCGGATTCGTCTTGGCTGGGCTGCCTGCTGCCTCCGCGGAGGAGAGTCGAGCACCGAGTGCATCCTTGGGAGGTAGCCGTCGTTGGGGTTCGACTTCATTGTTGATCCCACCTGGTTTTTCAGAGGGTCTTCTGTCAGGTCGATGTTCGAGTCTTCGTGAGTGTTCCATCTCGGAAGGTGCGTCGCCTGCTTGCTGTGGGATCGTCTTGGCTGGGCTGCCCGCTGCATCCGCGGAGGAGAGTCGAGCACCGAGTGCATCCTTGGGAGGTAGCCGTCGTTGGGGTTCGACTTCATTGTTGTTCCCGCCTGGTTTTTCAGAGGGTCTTCTGTCGGGTCGATGTTCGAGTCTTCGTGAGTGTTCCAGCTCGGAAGGTGCGTGGCCTGCTTGCTGTGGGATAGTCTTGGCTGGGCTGCCCGCTGCTTCCACGGAGGAGAGTCGAGCACCGAGTGCATCCTTGGGAGGTAGCCGTCGTTGGGATTCGACTTCATTGTTGTTCCCACCTGGTTTTTCAAAGGGTCTTCTGTCGGGTCGCCGTTTGAGTCTTCGTGAGTGTTCCATCTCGGGAGGTGCGTTGCTTGGGCTTGCTGGAGAGTTGTTGCTGAAGGCGCGTCGCTCTGATTGTGTTGCAGTTCTACAATTGACTTGTGCCGCTGAGCCAATGTGTCCCCTGCAGGGGAGTGCAATGTCAGATTCTGTGTACAGTGCCTCCAATGTGTCCTCTGCTGGGAAGTGCAAAGTCAGATTCTGTGTGCAGTGCCTGACAGCATGAAAAGTGATTGTGAATCCTCTGTCGGTGCTTTCTGCGCGCGCGGTACTTGATGTTGTGTTGCTATAATGTCTTCCTCGCGGGTTGTCGCTATCTACTGTGCTTTGAACTGCGCATGTGAAATCAAAAAATTTGAAATATAATGAGGGTGCGTGTGATCGCGTCCTATGTCACCTGCTCTTCCTTCGACTTTGCCTGTCTTTGTCGAGTTGTCGGCGGTGTAGCATCGTTCAGGTTATTTTCAGTGTGTTGTAGCAATGTAACTGGTGTTCTTGTGTCCTAGTTGAAGTACTCGATGTTGAATGCTTCCGGAGTGAACGCCTACACCTCGCGAAGTGTAATAAAATAGCGAGAAAGTGTAGAAACGTGGCCAAACTTCAGAAAGTCTCATTGAGTCCCTTGGCCAAGTTCACCATTCGTTTTCCTACTTTCCTCTCCGTGTCCCTTGCAATAGTACTCTTCGAATCTCAAATTCTTCGGCGGTTTAGGGTGAATATGGTGAGTCAATGTTAAACCTGCTGGGCGAAATCTTTGAGATAAGTATATAATATATATATATATATATATACATTTTAAATTATTCATATTTAATCAGTCATTGATTTTTAGTTACCAATACAGTATTCACGTGTAATTTCTGTCGCCTGTAATATCCAACTGATTTCTCGGTTTAGGGTGAATATGGTGAGTCGATGTTAAACCTGGGTGGCAAAATCTTTGAGATAAACATATAATATATTTATATACATTATAAGTTATTCATGTGTAATCAGCAGGCCTCTGGTAACTTGGCATTTGCCAAATCTGTCATAAAGTATACTAATATGGCATCGTCAAAATTTTATTTATGACAAATATGAGCAAGGTATCAAATTGCTTGAATTTCTTTAAACTGTTTACAATGCATGATGCCTTCGAGTGACAGATCCATCAAGGACGATCTGTACTCGTCTTTCTCCCAACTAATCACAGAAAAATCACTCTCTACACGCGTTGTACCAGGATACACACTAGCAAATCCTCCAGCAATCGTGCAAAGCTTGGAAAACTTACGTTCAAGAGCATTCCATGCTTCATGAAAATCTACAGATTCTGGCATTTGATTGATAGTGTCACGAACTATATATTCTCTTTGATAAGCAGTCTTCAGTTCTTTGAACTCTCGTTCCAAGCTGTCAATGTACTCGTTGGTGAATGTCTTCTCAAGTCGAGATCGAAATCTAATTATCAGGTCCACGAAGCTTGATGCAGGCATGTTCACAAACTCACGAGGAAGACATGGAGGTAAAGTTGCTGCTGGTGCATTGTTACTATCCCTTTCTGGCTCGATTGCATGTATTCCTACTGCAAGACTAACTATAAGATTTCCAACTGAACAAATCACAATATATTTCTCAACTTGACACAAGCTATCGAATGACATAGCAACGAATGAACCACACCCTCGAACAAAGTGCACGACAGCATTCTTGGCAATCCTGTAAAAACTGTTACAGCACCATAAATCTTCATCTTGTTCTTGAAATAACAATTCTGAAAGTAGACCTTCCATTCCTGTCACATCCCGAAGACAACAAATGAATCTAGAAAAAGCAAGTTCTTGTTGTGTGACCAACAACGTAGAATACTGCAAAGTTTTAAACAGAAAATCAATCTCTGTAACTATAGGGATCAATGAATATAAAGCAATCCACCACATGACAGTTGGTTTCAAATCAAAATTTTTCTGATCTACGTATTCAGCAATACGGCAACGATGAGTTGAAAACCAAGGTAATACTTTCCCCAACGATAACCAGCGAGTAGTTGCAACCTTTGGACACTTGGATCTCATTTCATTGATCAAATTCTGCTGTCGACGAAGATATCCTATGGTGGCAGTTAACGTTGAGTAAAATTCTTTGTTGTGATAATCTGAAACAACAGTTTGAACAACAAGATCAAGTTGGTGTGCACCACACCAGAATCGAATCAAGTGACAACCTTCCTGTTCAACTCGAGTGGAGACACGAGTAACTATTCCACGTACTCGACCTGTCATGTTTCTGGCACCATCAGAGCATGTCGATAAGAGTGTATATACCCAAGATGGACAAACTGCATCCATAGCTTTCTCAAATGTCTCAAACAAGTTGTCACCTGTGTGTCGTCCATAAAGAGGAAGACAACATAAATGAAAACAATGCAGCCGACTTCCTACAACAAACCTCACTCTAACATCAAAATACGAGGTGGTCTCGACAGTAGATGAATCAAATGCAACAGAAAAGGCCCAACAATTAGCAAGTAATTTGCTCAGTTTTTGAAGGCAAACAGCAGCAGCAACTCGAACAAACGATGATACTTTTCCCTCGTTGCATCCACCAAGATAACCGAGAGTTAATTCTTCACGTGCACACTCCACTTGACGTGCTGTTAATCTGAACGACGAGCCAAGACCAACCATCCCTATAACAAGCTTGAAAAGCTTGATGTTTTTTATATGAACTTGATACCCTACAAGCACACTGTCAGATTTGATTGGCTCAAAAAATCTCAACGCTCGATCAATACAAACTTCCTCAGCTTCGGGATCAAACAGAAGTATACGCAGAATTACATCGACGATGTTAGCGTTTATATGAAAATATAGTTGATCTCCTTATCCAACAAAATGAGCATGCATAGTATTCGTTAAAACAGTAGCATCAAAAAAACTTCGCTTTGCGTCTATTGACAGAGAACGATATTCATTCCACTTCGTCAGGTGTTGGCTTTCGAGATGCTGTGAATACAATTCTGGTCGATATGGAACTTTAAAATGGTGGTTTTAGCCGGCTTGCGCTTCTGTCCGATCTTCTGTTCACGTCCCCATACTTGACAAAAACGACACAAAACTGATGTGACGACACCAGACAACGGATCACGCGTCAAAATCTTCAATCCGTACTCAAGTTCGTGATAGGAATTGAATGGAGTTTCGCGCTTCTTTGACGACATATCATCTACAGCAGTTCAGCAACTACAAAAACTCTTCAACAACAAAAAACGAACAGCAGATCTCTTCTCCAACAGTGGTTCACGAGACTCATATTGTCTCTGTGGCCTTGAAAGAAAGAACAGAATTCTTCACATTCTTTTCGACGCTCAAGAGTTGTTGTTGTTCACTCAACAGCAACGGGCAGATTGCTGTCATTACTTTACATCACTCAATACTTTCTGTGTTTTTAACACTAACAGACAAGAGGAATCTGTAGACTTGAAAAAACGTCGACAAAAACTGTTATTTTTATTTATGGCATGCCGCTAATTTTATTTATGACAAAACTGGCATCAGCGCCGCCAATGCCAGTTTTGGAGAGGCCTGGTAATCAGTCATTGATTTTCAGTTACCAATACAATATTCACGTGTAATGTAAATATTGTCGCGTGTAATATCCAACTGATTTCCCGCCATCAAGCATTATTCGTGTAATGTCCAACTGAAATCCGGCCATCAATCCATTATTCTTGTGTAATATCCAACTGAATAATGGATTGACGGCGTGTAATATCCGAATTCCCGCCATTATTTGTGTGTAGTGTTCACCTGATTTGCTATCATCTTATTGTAAACTTTCCGCCACTTGTGGAGTTCTAGGGTTGTATGACTTAATCATTAAGATAAACATAGAATTTAGTAAGTATATTTTTATTTTTGCTTGAATTCTAAAATATCAGTACGCAATGTCCAATTGATTTCTGTCATCAATGGGTTAGTCGTGTGTAATCTGCAATTGATTTCCGCCATCAATCGGTTATGGTAAACTTTACAGCAGTTTATGGAGTTCTAGGGTTGAGGTTGGCTTTCTTGACATCCATCGATCACTTTAAATTCCCCATATTCTTTAGAATTTTTTTGTTAAACAATTTAGCTTGAATGTATTTGTGAGCGAATGCATCTTTGAGAGAAACATATAATTAGTGTTCCATACGAAAACATTATTACAAAAATATTTTCATTTTTATTCTCACTACCAAGATTAGTTTATTTATAGAAAAAAAATTGTGATTTTATATAATTAAATTCTTTAGTATATTTCTTTTATCCTCATTATGACCTGATAATTTCTTGACCGATGTTACTCAAACGCCAAAACAAGCATATATATAATTTATATGATATAATATATACACAGGAATGTTCAAATAACCACATTGAGATGAGAAATGCAATCTCATGATCACATAACTTGTAAACAAAATTCTTTTCACACATACATCCAAGTATCAATTTAGAGTTTACTAAGTATGTATGTGGTTTACTCTTACTTTCTCTGCAAAATATACCGTCAAAGTCGAAACTTCCATCAATCCAACTATTGCTTTGCAACAAAAGATTAGCCATGGTCATGTAATGAATGATCGACCAGCTTTCTCGCAAATTTAACTCGGAAGCTCCTTGCCAACATAGACATTAAATGTTACAAAAACAATGCGAATCAATCCTCTTGAATGCGTTTTCAAGCACGTTTATTCAAACATCCCATCGGTTGTGATTCTTTCATATTCAAAAAAACATTCTCGTAAAGGAAGTATGGAAAATCTTTCAGCAGTCATGGTTTGTTGTGATTCGATCAACTATGATGGCTATGTTTGATTTGCAATGGCCAACACTATATTAGACATACATTTAGACCTTGGTTATACTTCAATACTTACAAACATGATAGATTGTGCACAAAGCGTGTGTTGTCGAAGCATGGACAAATCAGCACAAGCATATTGGGAATGTAAACTCATCGAAAGCAAAAAGAAAGCATTCAATGTTAAAACAATACCTGAGAGTTTCAACAAAAAATCTCAGAGATATTCAAATTTGATTTTCATATGCATTTGAAACCAAATCAAGAAAATCAAATCATAAGCTAAATTCTGATCGTATCCAAATCAATTATCAACAAAATCAATTGTTGTACAATGATATTATTCGTTGAATTTTGGTCTACGCTCTCACCAAAGTTTCAAAGCAATATGAACTAGCAAAACAAACAGATCTAAATACATGCTCTAAAAACTTATTTTACAACAATGGAATTGCCTTGCACTCATATGATTCGATGTCTGACTTATGTGCGGGAGTGCCACTGGTCAATCGTGACATGTTGGAACATCATTCAATCATACATGATTGAATGCTTAGATTTCACACTATTCTGTACTCATTGGATTTAGAGATATAACCAGCCTTTACACACCATCAATTAAGCGCGACAATAGTACAATAATACTGACATAATTATTACATCAGTTAGATGGCATTCAT